ATGTCAGACAGTCATTTTTAAAATATAAAATCTACGTGTCAATATATATGTGGAGTGGATGAGGAGAACAGCATGGGGTTTAGTCCATGGGCACAGAGAGTCTTTATAATGAAAACGTCCTGTGGTATTTACTTGTGTGTATGCAAACACAGTAACACTAAGAAAAGGGAGAACAGAAAAAGCCAAGGGATAAAAATGTTGAGCGACACATGCCCGAAAGGGACATCATTACCATCCAAAAACAAACATTTGGAGGAATCATCAGCATGTCTGAAAACCCATGTCAGCTGTATTCTTGGCTATCCTTGGTTCACTCTAGCAATCACTAGGTTTACTAGGCTACAATAAACAGGTTACACAGAAACATGGTTAACTTATCTTGTGTGTGAGTGTGCTAAGTTGCTTCAGCTGTGTCCGACTCCTTGCAACCCCATGGATAGTAGCCTGCCAGGCTCCTCCGTCCATGGGATTCTCCAGGCAGGAATCCTGGAGTGGGATGCCATTTCCTTCTCCATTACTTGGCTTACTTTCATTTTAAGTGACCTACTTTTGAGAAGAGCTAAAAAGGAGTGGAACTAGAGAATAAAGATCAAGAGCCATATTTTTTTAAATCAGGAAATTATAATTTTTAAAAAGAAGAAAAGAGAAAAAAAGAACAGAAGAGAATCAAAACCCCTGGGCACTGCCTTCAGGCTGGCTCTTTTTTACTTGTAAGTCCTTACATTCATAAATAATCACATTCAGATCCTCCTTCTTGCACAGTGAGCTCCTTAAGGTCAGGATCCAAGCCTGGACCATCTTTGTTTCCAGGCAGACCTAACCCTATGCCTGACCCACACTAGGACTTGATTCTTTGACCACTTGCTGATTGAAAATTAAAGGAAAGCAAGAGGACCAAACAGGAAAGGACTGGAGTCAACAGGACCATCCTTGGAAGGTTGGACTTGAGTTCCTCAGAACCAGAGCATCATTTCACATTGATCTTACATCCATTCCAGACCATCAGAATCCATTTCATAGATACTGCTCTCCAGAAAAGCATGCTGAATCCTTTAGACACTTAGTATTTACCAGAACAACAACAACAACAACAACAAAACACTCTTAAGATCCATAATTTGTCTCTGGAATATTCAGACAAGCCACTTCCTCCTCCTTCCTATTACTCATCCCCCTTCAGCCATTCCCTCAGAGCCCTGGGAACACACCTGATCCTCACCAGGTTACCCTCCCTTTTGGGCACTGATTTCATCACTTCAAATTATTCTTAGTTTCAAGTATTCTGGAGCCAAAATTGCAATGTCAGCAGACTCAGAGACTGCACAATGGAGTGCAGTAGTTCGGGCACAGAGGCTAGGATCAAACTGCCTGCATTTGAACCCAGGCATGCCCAGGTCAGTGACTTAACTTCTGCATGCCTCAGATTCTTCATATGTAAATGAGGCTAAAGATGCTAACAGTAGCCAATAACAACCTTACTGAGCATGATTGTTGAGAGGGCTAAAAGAATTACAATACATGAAATTTTCAGAAGAGTGCAAGGCCCATAATATTGTAGAAGGGTTCCTGCTTATTAGTTATCTCCCACAGAGCTGAAGAAATGATTTTATAAATAAATCTATGTTCATTTCTGATTCTAGGAAAGACTCTGATGCTGGGAAAGATTGAGGGCAACAGGAGAAGGGGATGACAGAGGATGAGATGGTTGGATGGCATCACCGACTCCATGAACATGAGCTTGAGCAAACTCCGGGAGATAGTAAAGGACAGGGAAGCCTGGCATGCTGCAGCCCATGGGGTCACAAAGAGTTGGACATGACTTGGTGACTGAACAACCACAATGTTTGTTTCTATAACTTTTCTTGCATATTTAGTACATGTATGTTGTTCAGTGAATAAGTCATGTCAACTCTTTGCGACCCCATGCAAAGGACATTGAGTCCATTGAGTCAGTGATGCCATCCAACCATCTCATCCTCTGCCATTCCTCTGTACATGTATAAGGCACAACAATTAGGAAATGCATATAAAATATAGAAAATACATACAACAGAACAACACCAGCAATGCTACTGCCCCCATTTTTTTTTTTATATTCCATTCATTGTTTAAACAACATTTACTGAGCACTTAATCTATGAAAGGCTTCAAGGGAATTTCCTGGCAGTCCAATGGTTAGGATTCTGTGTTTTCACTGCCAAGGGTCCCAGTTTGATCCTTGGTGGGGGAGTTAAGATGCCACAAGCCACGCCACAAGCCCAAGGTGGGAAAAAAAAAAAAAGGGCTTTGCACTCTTACTGGAGATAAAGTGATGAACAAAGACAGACGCGGCTCTTGCCATGGAGGTTAGTCTGGTGGGTGGGAGGTTGGGGGAGACACGCCTTAATCAAGTAATGAATGATAAAATACATGTGAAGCCGCTGTTGTGTTAAGTGCTAGATTGGAGAGGCACACATGTCATGGGAAGATCTGACCTAGATGTAAAGGTCTGTTATTTGAAGGTTGTGAGGAAGAGACGACTGAGCTGACAATGAACTCATAGGAATCAACTCAGAGAAGTCAGAAGGGAAGAGTTTGCCCAACAGAGGCACAGCAAATCCAAAGGTGATGCAGCAAGAGGGAGCAGGAGAGGAGGCGCCACCACTGAGGCTGCAGTGCGCACTAGACTCGGCTGGTTAGGGAGAGGGCGGACCTGCAGAGCTTTATAACCTTAACTTAATCATTATATTCTCTATTTATTCAACAAACGTTGCCTATGAGGATCTAGGGACATTTACATCAATTAGATTTATATCATACACCATGAGTCCCCTATGTACAAACGAGTTCCATTCCAAGAGTGGGTTTGTGAGTCCAATTTGGTCGTCCAACAAAGGTAAAATAACACAATCGGCTACATAGTACTGTAATAGCCTTATAATACATTTCACACAAATAGTACTTAAAAAACAAACACAAAAATAAAGAAAATAGTTTTGATCTTACAGTAACATAAAAAGTACGGTAGTACGGTACAACAGCTGGCATACAGGGGCTGGCGCTGAGTGACCAGGCAAGAAGAGTTACTGACTTGAGGAGGGAAGATGGTAGGACTGGAGGGTCACCGGCAACAGGAGACGGAGGGCAAGCTGCATTGTCACGACTGACGATGATAGAACACACACTCTCATCTTTGCAAGTTCGAAACGTGAAGGTTTGTATGTAGGGAACTTATTCATGCTTTTATTAGAAACTTTTTTTGAGCAATTAATACACAGTAATTTAACTCTCATTGGTGGAAATTAGGACTTCCCTGGCGGCTCAGGTGGTAAAACATCTGCCTACAATGCGGGAGACCTGGGTTCAATCCCTGGGTCAGGAAGATTCCCTGGGGAAGGAAATAGCAACCCACTCCAGTACTCCTGCCTGGAAAATCCCACGGATGGAGGAGCCTGGTAGGCTACAGTCCACAGGGTCCCAAAGAGTTGGACACAACTGAGCGACTTCACTTTCTTTCTTTCTTTCTGGTGGAAATACAGGTTCCCCCCGCCCCCAACTTTCCATTCTTATTAACAATGCTGATGGCTTCCTCTTTGTGGTCATTTGTCCAAGTATCTGTTGGATACATTCCTGTAAGCAGAGTTGCTGTTCCTGCAAATTTGTTAATGTGTTTTAATCATGATCTTGTGCGTTCGGGGGATTGGTGGAAATCAGCATACCCAGCTGTCTACAGAGCTGAGGCTAGGCTCTTCTGAGATTGGTACCACTATTACATGTAGAGGCATTTTTGGTGACTTTCAGAACCTGCTTCTTCATTTGCTTCAGTGTTAGGAAGTCCCTGCTATTTCTGATCCCCATGGATTTTTCCTACACATCCAGATCACTCAGTACTGGCTGCCAATGAAATATCTTCGTGGCTCTAGAAGCTTAACTGCCCTACTCTTGAGCGCCACAGGAGATCAAAGGCTTTCTTATTTGCTTGTGAAGGATCTTCCTCTGAACTTTAGACAGAGAAAGAAAAGGCAGTTTCTGACATTCCTTTCTTCTCCTCTGCCTCCTACTTTGTCCAGTTCCAGTTCCAGGTAATAAATTCACTGACTTGTTGAAGGCAGATGGAGCTCAGGTGATTCTACTACAGACTAGGTTTTCCATTCTACTTAGTTGACACATGCCATTTTCTCCCAAGACTTCCATCTCCCATTTTTGTCTACCGGCAAACTGTGCTTTTTTTTTTTTTTCCTTCAAAATCCTGTTTGTATCCCCACCCTTAAAATACCTTCTAAGGACCCATTTACTTTTAGGTAGTAGACAATTTCTAGGTTTCTAACGATTCACGTAGCTAATATATTCACATTTTCTTTACCTGTTCTTTGCAATCCATTTCTTCATTGCAAAATAAAAAGTCTTTTCTAAGACTAATGGGATGCTCTTGCTAAAGCAACCAAACTTTGATTAAGACTTAGAAAGAAACGGAGTATCTAGGTAAAGTTAAGCTTACCATGCACAAGCACAGTGTGAATTGCATTATATAGGTATTATTTTAACCCTCACGGCAATCCTGTGAGGTAGGTATCATTCCTTCCCCATTTAGGGGCCCTCCCCATTTCACCTGGGCTTTCCACGTGGCGCTAGTGGTAAAGAACCCGCCTGCCAATGCAGCAGATGGAAGAGATGCAGGTTTGATCCCTGGGTTTGGAAGATGCCCTGGAGGAGGAAATGGCAATCCACTACAGTATTCTTGCCTGGAGAATCCCATGGACAGAGGAGCCTGGCGGGCCAGAGTCCATGGGGTCGCAGAGACTGGAACACAACTGAAGCGATTTAAAGCGCGCGCAATTTTACAGATTAGGAAGCTGAGGCTTAGGAAGTTTGTCACATATCCTTGACCACACAGTTACCATATGGGGAGTTTACTTCTGCTCAGTAAACTGACCTGAAGAAAACAGAGGTGGGCTAGAAAAGGAAGTATAAAACGCGGAAAATCAAGCAAAGGGGACAGCAAGTGGGCGGAAGCCGCCCTTTCACCGTTTCCTTCCCCAACCCCCGGACCAAGCCTCCAAAGTAGCCCGCACGCCTCCCAGCGGCCACATCTCTGCCACCGGCACTTCCGGTGTCGGGACAATGTCATCACCCAGCGCCGCAAGTCGGCGCCGGACGCCGGCGTGCGCGTGGCGCGAGACGTCGGATGAGAAGGCGGGCTTTCCGGCTCGGTTCAAAGCCATTTCCGTCAGGAGCCGGAAGTCCGTCCTGGATGGCTTCGGGGGCGGCTTCTGCGTGGAGCTGATCGCAGGGGCCACTGGCCTTCCCGCGCCCACTGGTTCCCTCATGGTGCGGGCCGCGGCCGCCAGTCTGCGCTCGGATAGGCGGCGCTGAGGCGCCGGGGCAGCACGCGACATGTCGTCGGGCCTCCGCACCGCCGTCTTCCCGCGTTGGAAGCGCCACATCTCAGAGGAGCTGAGACGCCGGGACCGGCTGCAGAGGCAGGCATTCGAGGAGATCATCCTGCAGTGTGAGCGGCGGGCGGGCCCAGGGGGCGGGCGGGCGGACCCCGCCGAGGCATACGGGGCCGCCAGCAGGAACCCCAGGCCGGGCCCCGGCGCCTCTCGCGCGTCTCGCTGCCGCCCCGGGTTCCCAACGCCTGGCGCAGCCCCATGCCTTTTTGTATCTTTTCCTCTTTTCCATTTATCCTTGAGTGTGACTGTGGAGTGTTTCTCTGCAAGTCTTGGATTTTCTTCATGGGCAGTCTCCGTGCACGTTTGTATGTGTAAATCCCAGCTGCTCCGCACCCAATGCTTGTGTAATTAAATAGGCAGCTTCCAGAAACGGGCTGTTTCGGACATCGTGTTACTGATATGGGCACTGACTTGAAGCATTAACTCGCGGCATTAGCGTAGTGCTCTGAGTATCACGAAATATTTGCCTTTCATTTCTCAAGACCTGTCCTTACACTCCGCCTTCGTGTTCTTTGTGACACATCTTGAGACTTAACTCACCTTTTAGTCGGGACATCGTAGGCTTTACTGTTACTGAAAACTTGGATATGAAAGAGGTGGGCCACACCCACCGTCGCTGCAGCAATTTGAGTACAAAAATGTTTGTGCCCTTCAGTTCAGTTCAGTCGCTCAGTCATATCCGACTCTTTGTAACCCCATGGATTGCAGCAGGCCAGGCTTCCTTGTCCATCCCCATCTCCCGGAGCTTGCTCAAACTCATGTCCATCGAGTCGGTGATGCCCATCCAACCATCTCATCCTCTGTCGTCCCCTTTTCTTCCCGCCTTCAATCTTTCCCAGCATCAGGGTCTTTTCCAGTGAGTCAGTTCTTCGCATCAGGTGGCCAGAGTATTGGAGTTTCAGCTTCAGCATCAGTCCTTCCAATGACATTCAAGACTGATTTCCTTTAGGATGGACTGGTTGGATTTGTGCCCTTAGATGCCTTCTAATGAGCATTTCCTTACCTTGCCCCCCATTTTACCCTAACTGATGACACATTTGGAGGAAGAAACGAGCACTGTTGGAACCTCTGGTTCCAGGTCTGCCCCTTGAAGTATGCCTTTAGGTCTCAAATTCTATTGATGATGAGATTCAGTGTAATAGTAGTTTATACCCTTCATTGAATTCTGATCATGCTAAATTTGTGGTTCCTACACGTACCTGCAGGTTAGAATTAGATGGGGATCTTTTCAAAAATTACAAAGTCCAGGCCATACCCCAGACCAACTAAACCACAGGAATGTGGTAGGACATGGGGGTCAGTATTTCTTGGTGCTCCCCAAGTAAATCTGATGTATAGACAAGCTTTCGTGCTGCAGTATTTTTCATGTATTGTTTCACTTTCTGAAAATTCCCTGAAACAGGTCCTGTTGCCCTTTATACAAATGAGGAGTCTGAGACCAAGAGAGGTTAGGTAATTTCTCCGGGAAGCACAGCAGAGTAGATAGGGCCTAGATTTGGACCAAGACTTGATGGCTCCTAACTTTTTTGCATTTTTGCTTTTCTCACTGGGTTCCCCAGGAAATGGTCCTAGCTGAGCTCATCCTCTTAGCTAAAATGGAAGAAAAGGGAGATGATGGGTGTGCCACTGTTGCACTAATTCTTTACACTCTTAAGAGACTGGCAGCCTGGTGCTATTTCAGAAAGCCAGAAGCACAGGAAACTCCTTATTCAAACGTGACTCCTCATGGGTTACATAAATTCAAGTCATTAGGTATTTCATCTCATGCTTATTCTTTATTTTTATTTTTTTTAGTTCTACCACTTTATTGCTACCAACCCATTTCCCTCCACCCTCGTGCACACATGCTTAGTCATGTAATCCCATGGACTTCAGCCCGCCAGACACCTCTGCCCATGGACTTTTCCAGGCAAGAATACTGGAGTGGGTTGCCATTTCCTTCTCCAATGCTTATTCTTTAAAAGCTGATACACACTAAAAGTCACATCGGGTTGGCCGTCTGACTACAGTCCCCTTACCAGCCTCACTTACCTGCATCTATAAAATCGGGGTGAAGCTTGCCTTGCCTGCTTCATAAATACAGTGCTGGGCATATAAAGTGCTTTGAATGCCATCTATGTAATTGTCTATAAATGGAAGGTGCTTGCTTGTCATCGCATTGACACAATTGAATGTTTTTCTGCACTTTGAAAATGGACATCTTGAAGGGAGTGGAGGATGTCGAAGGCTAGTCAGAAAGACAGGTCAGTCCTGTCTTAAGAGGGAACATGTCTTCAAACAGCCTAGTGAGGCGTACAAGCCCGGGGCGGGGGAGCAGTTGGAGAGGAGACGGGGTGAGGAGCAATAGGACATGGCTACCCTGGCCTGTGCAGATCTCCAGTTTAGGCAGGGGTTGATGTTTGGGAGATCACCTCTGGTTTGACTATGAAACGGTCCCACTCTTCATTGCCCTGCTTCTCAAAGAGGGGGACAGAGTTTGCTGTCAGTCCTGCCTCTGGGCCTGAAGAGGAAGATGAGAAGAGGCCATGGGGACCGCGGGTGGCTCCCCTCCCTCTCCATCCTTCTCTTGAGAGGAGCTTTTAGGAAGGATCCCTCTTGAATACCTCCTGTCCTTTGAAAGACCCACTATCACCAGGCATCCATCTGTGACGTTTTTGAAGATCTTTATCAAGGCCCTTTGACACAGGTGAACATTCAAGGTTGGCATCCCTTCCCTCTTCTGAGCTAGTTTATTAAATTAATATAGATGAAGACAGTGTTTCTGTTTCTGCCCAGGCTTTCCATCTTCAGAGATGAAAAAAGTGGGGCTCAACTCTAAGAGGAAAGACTAGCCCTTCTAACAGGAATTGTTACTGGGATAAACCCTGTCGCGTTTTTGTCGTGAAGCAGCTGTCGTCTCAGACGTGTGGGGTTAGTGAAAGCCCGCATCAGGTGTGGGTTTTCTGTAAATTTCCCGGGGCCACTTTCTTCTTCTGCTTCATGCACCTGTTCCACTTCTGATCTCACTGGCCCCCTGGGTGCCTGTCATTTCTAGCCCTGACTTGACTTTTGACTTCCTTATTGTGTTCCCATCACATTTATTATGGTTCTAGAACTCTCTTTTTTGAACTCTCTGCACCTGTATTCTTCAGCATGGTAGGATCTTGCACCTAGTTGGTCAAGCAGGGAACCTCAGGATAACCTTTGACTTCTTACTCATTACTATCTGTTAATGTCACTTGTTGAGTCGCTAAGTCATGTCCGACTCTTTGCAACCCACAGACTATAGCACACCAGACTTCCCTGTCCTTCACTATCTCCTGGAGTTTGCTCAAGTTCATATCCATTGAGTCGGTGATGCTATCCAACCATCTCATCCTCTGCCGCTCCCTTCTCCTTTGCCGTCAATCTTTGCCAGCATCAGGGTCTTTTCCAATGAGTTGGCTCTTCGCATCAGGTGGCCAAAGGATTGGAGCATCAGCATCAGCCCTTCCAGTGACTGCTTGCTTTTAAAATCTGTTGTTTCACCATTGCCAGTAAGAAGAGGTCTGAATTTTCCCATCCTGCCCTCTCATGTGTTGGAGTGACTTTTATTTCTAGCCACTTACTAGGCAGCTCTAAACCTTTTGCCTGGACTGTCTGTCTTCTTCACTTGTGAAACCATCTGAGAAAATGAGTAAAAGCTCACTTTTTCTCTTCCTTTTTATACTTGACCTCCACCCCTCGCCACCCATGTATGTTTTACTCCTTGTGGTCAGGGACTCTGGTTTGTATTTGTATCCCTAGTGCTCTGATCTGAATTTAAGGTAGCTTTCCTCTTTTACTTAGTGGTGCATAGCACTTCATTTTTCCATTGTGTTTTGGTATGTTGTTTGTTTCTTCTTCCCCAGGTAGGAAGCTGTGGGAGTAGAAAGAATGGAGAGGGGATGTTTCTGGGGGGAGTTTTCAGATTCCTTTGTCTGGCTGCCTGTGCTTAGGCCAGGAAGCATCTAAGGAGTGTATGTTCCTGGAGTTTGGACGACTGCTACAGTTGGTGACAAAGTGCAGTATACCTAGTACTTTGATACCTCATAAAAGTGAAACCAGCCCCATCATCTTCTGATTATTTTTTTTTGGTCCAGATCTTTGTAAGACATTAAGTAGTAATTAAATGTACATACGTTATATTAACTTTTTTTTTTCTTTGATAGATAACAAGTTGCTGGAAAAGTCAGATCTTCATTCAGTGCTGGCCCATAAGCTACAAGCCGAAAAGCATGACGTACCAAACAGGCATGAGATAAGGTATTTGGAAACTATCCTTTGTTATTTATGTCCCCCTTTTAATTGAAATTTGTCTCTGTTCAATTGTCACTTCTCTAATTTCGAAGCAAACCAAGTACTATGTTTGTGCTCCAGTTTTGTTTGGGCCTCCCTTGTCGCTCAGCTGGTAAAGAATCCACCTGCAATGCAGGAGACCGGGGTTCAATTCCGGTTGGAAAGATTCCCTGGAGAAGGGAAAGGCTACCCACTCCAGTATTCTGGCCTGGAGAATTCCATCAACTGTATAGTCCATGGGGTCACAAAGAGTCAGAGCAACTTTCAGTTTACAGTTTTTAGGTTTTGTCAGTTCCTTTCAGTTCAAAGCTTCTGAAGCCACATAGCTAAAATCTTTTTTTTTTGAAGGCATGTGGGTACTTCCCCACTAGAAGGCTCATCATCAGTATGATGTGAGCTTGATATAAGCACTCTTGAACAGATTTACATAGATCTTGCTGGTACAGGATTCAAAGGCCTGTAAACATAAGCAGTACAGGTCTGTTTAATCTTTTTTAGTTCAGTGTGTTGCAGCATATTTTAGTATGTGATCACACCAATGAGTTTCAAAAAGCTTTCTTTTTTTTTTAAAGAAAGACTAGGAGGAAACCTGCATTTTAATAGGAAGGGTAGGTATTGCTTCATTAACCCTGTGAGTGTATGTTCATGCTGGGAGTTTGGTATGTTTACTTGGGTCCTTCACTGTCTCTTTCTGAGGGTCCTAAGCAGCTTAAATGGAATCATTCTAGAGTCTTACTGAAAGGTTGTTGCTGAACGATAAGACGCCAGGATTCTTGGCCTCTGGAGGAGACGAATTTAATCCGGGGCCAGAGACGAGGCTGGATCACTCAGAGCTTTTCTGTAATAAAGTTTTATTAAAGTATAAAGGAGATAGAGAAAGCTTCTGACATAGGCATCAGAAGGGGGCAGAAAGAGTACCCCCCCCTGCTAGTCTGTAGCTGTGTGTTATATAGTCACTCGCAGTCTGTTAATGAAATGGAAGGAATGTCTTAAAATTTAGAATGGCACCAGATAATTCATCCCAGGCCATAAAACAATTGACTTGAATCTTGTAGAAGGTCTGGTTACCGGGCAAATAGTTTCATTTACATAGATTAGGGGAACAATATCTGAGTATAACAAACTGGTTTGTCAAGTAGGTTGAGCCATTTGGCGGAACCAACTTGAAGATAGAGTCTGGGGTTCATTAACATATCTGAAGACAACATTTCCATAAGAAAAAATGTATTGGTTAACTCAAGGTTTGAGAGTAGTTAGCTTCAGGTGAAACCAGGTGTCATGGCGACACAGCATTTTAAGAGAAACCTCCTTTTACATTTGTATAGAGAAGAAAAAAAATATCTCTAGTTTGTTTCTTCCTGCCACTTAAGAGAGATAAAAATGTCTGGCACTTGCAGCCTATTTCTTCCGTTTGGAGACCCCTGTCCTTCCTGCCTGTTACCCTCTCATTACTGTCTCCCTTTTCCATTTGTTCACCATGTTTGCTCAATAGCTCAGTGGGTGAAGAATCCAGCTGCAGTGTAGGAGACGCAGGTTCAATCCCTGGGTTGGGAAGATCCCCTGGAGGAAGAAATGGCACCCACTTCTTGCCTAAAAAATCCCATGCACAGAGTAGCTTGACGGGCTACAGTCCAAAGGGTTGCAGAGGGTCAGACATGACCGTGCATGCGTACAACTTACATGGTAACCATACCCATTCTTGCTCTAAAATCTACATGTTTTTTGGTATGTCAGTTACATTTTCCCCATTGTAAAAGCAAAGTTGATGGTAATTTGGGGTTTTAGAAGAAAAACAGAAATGCTTGATGTAGCTTATTTCATTTATTCCTGTCGCCATATCTGCTCAGTACCTGCTGTCCATGTTTCCTCGTTGGCGAGATGGTCTCCGGACAGACTGGAGTGGACAGAGGGACAGATGGCCCAGCCTCGGCTGCCTTTCTGCCTGAGCACAGTTCAGGAGAGCATGCCTAAGCTGTGGCCCTGGGGGGCCTCCTCAGTATTTAAAATAGTTGCTGTGCTCTAGTCAGCTTAGGTGTAGAGAAGCCACGTGACCGTTTTTCATCTAAATTCAGTCAGCTGAAATCCTGGAACATTTTATTTCTATTTGGTTAGACTCGTCGTTTCCAAAGTAATGGAGCTTCAGTGTCAGTCCTTCAAATGGATATTCAGGCTCCAGTACTTGATGCAAAGAGCCGACTCATTGGAAAAGACCCTGATGCTGGGGAAAATTGAAGGCAGGAGAAGAGGGTGGCAGAGGATGACATGGTTGGGTGGCATCATTGACTCAATGAACATAAGTTTGAACAAGGTCCCGGAGATAGTGAACAATAGGGAATCCTATTGTGCTTCAGTCCATGGGATCGAAAAGAGTTGGACACGACTGAGCGACTAAACAACAAGACTCTTGGTGACTAAAGTCCTCCATCCTTTATCTATCAGCCAAACTCATTTGCTTGGAAAGGTACTACAAATAAATATACAACATTCTTTTAACTGAGTATCACTGGGGTGGTTGGGCTTCCCGGATAGCTCAGCTGGTAAAGAATCTGCCTGCATTGCAGGAGACCCTGGTTTGATTCCTGGGTCAGGATGTTCCCCTGGAGAAGAGATAGGCTACCCACTCCAGTATTCTTGTCTGGGAAATCCCATGGACAGAGGAGCCTGGTGGGCTACAGTCCCCGGGGTCACACAGAGTCGGACACGACTGAGCGATTAAGCACAGCACTGGGGTGGTAATGTAGATGGAGGTCCTTGCTTTCCTGTAAACTTGTGTTCCTAACCAGGCCTCCTCCTGACTGCCTCATTCCTATCCTTATTTTCCACAAGTCAGCTGCAGTTCCCTTTCTCCCTCAGTGTCCCGACCCTCCCCCTCTGCAGTCACCCGGCCAGTTGATTCTTTGCCCACAGCATCCTCTGCGTCTGTCCCTTGGTTTGCACTTGTGTGCCTTCCCCTTCATTGCCTACCTGTGCTTCCATTCCTGGACTGTGGCAGGGGTCTCGTTCAGTGAGACACCACTGTGGGCCAGGCGCTGGGATACAAAGATGAACAAGCCAGAGTCCTTGTTCTCAAGGACCTGAGCCTCGTGGGGAAACCAACTCAGAGGTGTGTGCTGGCGCCATGTGCGTGTTCCCAGGAGATGGGGTCTGATTGGTTGCTTTCTCTGTTTTCCCGGCTGTCCTTAAGTCCTGCCCTGCCCATCCCATTCTAGTTAATTCTAAAACACACTGTGCTTAAAAAGTTTTCTGTCATGATTTTCTGGCTCCCCTCTTCAGTGTTTTAATCCCTTTGCTAATAGAAGAGATTAAAGTTAAACTCTTTCCTGGGAAATAGTTGACTGCAGCCATTTTCTAAGTGTGCTCCCTGGACTGCAGCCTTAGAAATCTGTTAGAAGTGCGGAAAGTTGGCCTCACCCCAGACCTCCTGCTTCAGAAGCTCTCAGGGTGGGGCCCAGTTGTCTTTATGAGGAAACCTTTAGGTGATCCTGACGACCTCTGACACTTAGGGCCCACTGCCTTGGCGGCTGCTCAGCCCTTATGAGCCATCCGAAGGTCCCGAGAGCATGAGAGACGCAGACTGTCAGCGCAGGTTATCGGCCCTTTTGTTGGACCTGATGAGTCCATCTGGGATGAGGCCCAAGAATCTCTTAAAACCTGCTGTCTGGATGATCCTTTTCTCTGTCTAGTGGAGCACTGGGCTTTTATAAGAAGTTTGGCTTCTTTGGTGAGTAAAATTGGAAGCAGTGAAAAGGCTGTGAGCAGAGAATAGAGCGCCCTGGGTCCTTGCCTTTGTCTCAGGGATCTTTTCTCTACAATGCCAGCTTCTTGGAAGAGGGGACTAGTTGATGTTTTGCATATTTCGCTTTGCTTCGCATTAAAATGAGAATCTGATAGCAGTTATTTCTTATCTTCCTAATTCTCATACAGAGTCAGTTACCCAAGCCTGTTGCTTTTATTGCCTCACTTAGGGTGGTTTCTTATAAGGCATGGGTCACTTTCTAGTCTCCAGACTTCGACCTCTTGGGCCAGGATTGAGGAAGCACTGTGTTGCCTCAGAGAACGCAGCATTAGGGTGTCTTAGCACCTGTGTTAAAATGCTTTTAGAGACGGAGGGAACATCACTCTGGTCCCCTTTCCCTCTTTATCTCTTACTAGTCACTGGGAGGAGATGGTTCCCCCATCCTCCCTTCAGGTGGTGGTACCCTAGTTTGCCAGCCGTCTTTCCCCTGGATGGTAGTTTCAGCTGCTCACTATGGTCTGATGGTTTACATCTGTAGCTCCAGCTGAGACCGGTCTCCTGAGTCACCCATCCACAGTCTGCAGGTTCTGAGGTAGTGTGCACACATCTGCAGACTTTCCCAAACTCCATTGGCTCTCAAGGTGGCCTGAACTTAGTCCACGGCTTCAGATGTGTTTGTCTGCTGACAGTGTCTCTGTGTCAGCCTCCAGCTTGGACATCTTTACTTGAAGTCAGGCTCTAGTAAATGTGCCTTTTCCCACTCGGCGTACCCCCATGGATGTCCGAGGTAACCGTGTTCTTCAGCCACCCCCTGCCTCCGCCTTCTCCCACAGCCCTTCCTCCTGAGGTGGTAACGTCTGCCTTTGATCAGCCACTCAGGCCAAAAGCCTTGAAGTCATCCCCGACTCCTGTCTTTCTGTTGTTCCCCACGGCCAGTTCAGAGGCAAGTCCTGCAGTCTCTCTCCGCAGTGGACCTACCTCGGATCTGACCACGTCTCACCACATGGCCTGCCGCTGCCCTGTCCTGATCTGCACTTCCTCGAGTCCAGACTGTAAAATAACTTGCTAACCGATCTCCCTGTTCTGCCCTTGCCCCCCTGCAGCCCGCTCTGCACCCAGCAGCTATAGCGATCCTTTGACACGTAAGTCATTCCTCTGCTCAACACCCTCAGTGGCTTCCGATCACGCAGAGGAAAAGCCACAGTCCTCAGGGCTCCGGGAGACTCTGCATGGCCTCCCTGCTCCTTCCTGACCCCCTGCACCCCTGCCTTGAGTTGCCTGCCTCCAGCCTCTGTGACGCTTGCTGTTCCCTCCGCTCACACAGCCCTGTCCCCAGGCCCACACGGCTAGTTCTTCACTTCTGTTGTGTCTCCAGTCTTGCGTCACCTCTCGGGCTGCCTTTGGTTACTCCACATGGAACAGGAGCCCTATCATTCTGTTCCCTTCTTTATTTACACTACTAAGTTTTTCTTCACAGCACATCTGACCACCAGCCTCCATCCATCCTCTCGCTTGTGGTCTGTGCTCTTGGCTGGTTGCAGCGTCATGTGGGCAGAGGTTTGTGTCCCTGCCTTCTGCCCACTCCCAGAGCAGCCCCGGCTCAGAGCTGGCTCTCAGATACTTGTCGACTGAGGGAACTGCGTTGTCTCCTCCCTGTTCACCTGAACTTCATTCTGGAAGCCATCCTTTATTCCTGGCACGGCTGGTGGTTTGGGTTGTGACTGGTTGGTTTTATCCATGTCTCACGGCTCCTCCTTTCTGCTTCAGGTTTGCAGTGACTCATGACTCCACTGGCCTGGAGAACTGAACTGCTTTATTGGCTTTGCTGTCATCTACAGGCTTCAGATTCCAAAGTTACTGTTCCAGTGTCTGATTGAAGGGGTCTAGGGTCTGATTTTTTCTTTTTCCCTCTTTTTTGCATGTTCTCTTCATCTGCCTGGTTGGGGCATTTAGTCCTGGACATGATGGTTCATGGAATGACAGTCAGCTGCAAGAAATGGCCCAGCTGAGAATTAAACACCAAGAAGAACTGACTGAATTGCACAAGAAACGTGGGGAGGTAAAGAAAGATAGCCTTTCTCATCTCTCCCTGAGGGTGGGGGCGGTGGGGGGCAGGTACTTCCACTGGCATTTGCAGCCATTCGGGCTACATACAGCATCGCCAGCTCTCTCTGTGGGAATGAAGCAACAGGAAAGGTGAGACACACCCCCCGCCAACATCATCAGCCCTCGAGATAACTCCCAGGAGGCATGAAAAGTACAAGTGGAGAAAACGTAGAAAGAACCCTACTCCTCAGTCGACTGAAAGTTTACTGATAACCATCATGAAGTGTGAACCCTGCAGTTTCAGAAAAATTCTTTGGGACAGAGCACCTTCTGGGCTCTGTTTACCCTGGATGGTGGTCTAATGGCAGGTTATAAAGGTCTTCAGCTGAGTTGGTGGTTTCATCAGCTAAAGAGTCTGGAAAGGTCGCCGGGGTGGAGGGGTAGACAGGCGCTCTCAGCAGGAGCCCAGTAGTCAACCTAGAGCATCACAGGTCTGTCCCAGGCTGCCTGCAGCAGGGGAGGCACACGCTGAGCTCGCGAGCCTCCCTGTCGGCCCTTCTCTCTTCCACACAGCTCATTTCTTCTTCCTGCCGTGGCCCAACCCCACAGGCACCTATTTTTTTTTCTTTAAAATAAGTCACTCTTACTAATTTCCAACTGAGGTCCTAAACTCTCTTGTTAATGATGAACGTGTTCTTTACCCCCCCAAGTTAGCCCAGTTGGTGATTGACCTGAATAACCAAATGCAGCAGAAGGACAAGGAAATGCAGATGAACGAAGCCAAGTGAGTAGAGACCAGGCCTCCTTCAGGACCGGGCGTGGGGTCACACTTCCTGTTGTACTGTCCTCTTGTGTGTGGGGCCAGTAGCCCCCATGCTGGACTCAGCACCAGTTTCATTTCTGTGCAGGCATAGCACGGGGACCTTTTCTACCCTCTGAGAATGTGAAAGGCAAGGACAGTGCCCTCAGGCCTCTGGGATCCCAGCACACACATACCCCCCTGAGAGACACCCCCCTGAGAAGTAAGCTTGGCTCTGGGAAGCGAACACGAGGCAGCCTGAGTTCTCCCCACAGCCACTGCCACCTGTGGGAGCGGCGTCTCCTGTGGTGGGCACGGGAACAGGGTGCGCTTCTGAGCAGGTTATTCTTCATCTGGGAGAAGCCTGCCAGACGAGATAAACAGAGCCTCCAGATCTGGGACCTTTGAGCTGGAGGGGAGCCTGGGTTTCCTCTGGGCCTGTTCTCCGACTCTGCTGCGAGGGCTCTCCGGAGGCATAGAATGAAAGGTGGGGAACTAGCTTAGTCTCAGTGAGGGAAAGAGCAGATGGAATGCACAGATCCCTGGCCTCCTGCTGAGCTGCCATCACCACTCTCAGTTCAGCATCAGAATTTCCCTCTTCCTTCCCACCCTGCTTCTCTGAACCTGAACTCTTCATTCACAGTCTGGTGAACTTGGCCCGAGGTGTTGCCTCTGCTAACGGGATTGTCCCTAAACCCCCGGGGCTGGGCTTGGCCAGGTGAGGTGCCCGAGCTGGTGGCTGCGGTCACTGTAGGGCCCAGGCTCACGCAGCTCTCCTTGCTCTTTCAGAATTGCAGAATACCTGCAGACCATCTCTGACCTGGAGACCGAGTGCCAGGAGCTGCGCACTAAGCTTCAGGACCTGGAAAGAGCCAACCAGACCCTGAAGGATGAGTACGACGCCCTGCAGATCACCTTCACCGCCCTAGAGGAGAAGCTGCGGAAGACTTCCGAGGAGAACCAGGAGCTGGTCACGCGGTGGATGGCCGAGAAAGCCCAGGAGGCCAACCGCCTAAACGCAGAGAATGAGAAGGACTCAAGGTGGGAGGTGACCCCGCAGTCAGTGAGTCTCATCGTTGGTGCAGTAGAAGCTAGAAAAGCAGGACACGCCTGGCAGCTCTAACCACAGGGAGGGGGCATCAGGAAACACTGCCAGCAGGAGAAGGGGCAGTAGTGGGTGAAAAAGAGACCTGGATTTATGAGAACACTTTTATAGCTGAGCAGAGCATTACCTCCCTGAAGGGCTTTGGCCCATTACTGTATTTGCCAGTGAATTCTTTCCATGTTTCAAGAAGAAAAGCTAATTCTTGAACCTTATAAATTAAACCGGAATTAGAAAAAGATTAAAATCCTTCCCCTCATTTTATAAAATTGCCCCAACTAAAAATTCTGATCTTGCCAGTGTACAGAGTGACTGTGGGCCAACGTCACTAGTAATAAGAGTCTAAAAGAATTAGAACATTTGATTTTAAATCCCCACGTCAGTAGTTTAGAATTTGAAAAGATTATCGTAGTTAAAATCTAAAAGAACAAATACATGGAATAGGAAAGAACGTTAATAATGATGAGCCCTAGTCCTACCAAATACTGTATGTAGAAAGATTTTGAAATCTGTGTGAAAACAGAAAGCAAAAGGTAGAAGGAAAAAATGTTACTCCGTTGTTTTGTGATAAGTTCCTAAATAGGAGTATGGGAAGACTTTAGAAACATGAAAGGTAATGGCAATAAAAAATGGACTGTATAAAATCATAGGTTTCTTAACATTGAAGAACACTGTAAAACAACCAATGAGGGTATGCAGCTATAAAATGCATGTTCTTAGTATAGAGTCTATTAAGAAACAGGTGAGCATTCAGACAGATGGATGTAAAGCATAGATCGTAAAAGAAGTGGACGGGCTCAGTGAGTTTGGTTAAAAGGGTTGTTGGTAGGAAGGAAGGTGGGACATTTCTGGTGGGGGGTGGGGGCTGTTTCTTCAGCCCGCTGGAGGGCTCTGGAGATGGTGGGCGCCTGAAAAGTGTTCCTCTTGTTGGAATTCATTGTAAGTGAGTCATGAGACTGACCCACAAATACAATTCCATGACTGTCCGTTATTCACAGAAGTGAAAAGTCAGAAGCGGTATCTACCTTGGGAGGAAAAGAAACTGATATTTTCATACAGTGGGATTTTATGAAGTCATTTAAAAACAGACATACTGAAGTTAATATTAAGAAAAAGTGAGCTATCATTTTCATTTTCTTTCTGTCTCACGTTTAAGTTAAATTGTGTGGCTTATAAGGGCTTCCCTGGTAGCTCAGCTGGTGAAGAATCCGCCTGCAATGCAGGAGACCCCGTGTGATTCCTGGGTCGGGAAGATCCACTGGAGAAGGGAGAGGCTACCCACTCCAGCGTTCTTGGGCTTCCCTGTGTGGCTTATATGTGGAGCTCTTAGACAGCTGGGGAGTGGTGAGGACACGGGGGTTCCCTGGAAGTCCATCCGCTGAGGGTGAGAAGCTGCCTGAAGGAGAAGCCGGCGTGCTGTTACGCGGAGGGAGAGTGCTGGAATGTCAGGTGACTTTGTGGTGACGGCGGGGCGTGAGGCACGTGGCACACGTGCCCCAGCTGCGTCCCCTGAGATGTTTTCCTGGGACTGTGCCCTTGCACGAGGTGCCTCTGAGTGCATGCGTGGGGCCTGGGCGTACTTTTCGTCGTGTGACTCAGCTAGCTCCTCCTCCTCGGAAGCCTCCCCCGCCCCTCTTGCCGCCGGTTCCCCAGGTTGGGTGTCCTGCCTCACCTGGCAGCTTCTGTTTACCTGGGTCGCAGGGGGCTGCGTCCCCTGCTCGTCTGGGTGTGTGCCCGCAGGCCGGCACAGTGGCCGCTGTGTGGGACGCCCCGGGGAAGCCGTCAGCTCTCAGGTTTCCTGTCGGCCTTTCTGATGAAAGCCCGCTGCGGCCGCTTTCTTCTCCCTGTGCCTCAAGCTGTGTGCCTTACCCACCCCTACCAGGCGGCTGCCTCTCCTATAGCGGAGCATTACACACCCCACCCCGAGACTCTGCTCTTCCCTCAGAGATGGTTTAGAGGTCACCTCTTAATTCCACCTACGAAAAATCTGTTAATTTGTGTTGTTTGTCACTTATTCTGTAAACTAAGACTGACTTTTCATCTTCCAGGTCAGGTATGGGATTAAGAGTGTAAAGCATTTTTTTTAAGCTACAGCCTTGTCCTGTTGCAAATTCTGCTGTGTCACCTGCAGGACCTGCCCTTTTTGAAAGTTCCCACTATGGTAGAAGCATTTTAGAAAAAAAATTTCCAGAATTCTTGACCTTAGCTCAGGAGCAGGGCTGGAGTTGTAGGTTGGGGGGGTCCTTCCACCTCAAAGGCAAAACCACAGATACAAGTGAAATCGCCATGGAAAAGAGAGGGAGGCCAAGGCTTAAAGGTTAAGAAGCTCCTGAATTTAGGGCTTGGGAAGGAAAGTCAAAAATGGTTCTGAGAGCGGGGAGAGAGTGGAAGCAACTGTGGACCATGTGAAACTTGCGCCACAGCCGAGACTTGGGTGTTCAGTTCTAGTAAATTGAAGCTGCAATACATTTTGACAACTGAAGAATCTCACTGTACCTCAGTTTCCGCGTCTGTAAAATGGGACTCATAGTATTCACCCTCGAAGCTTGTTATAAGTGTTTAATGAGTTAAAATCTGTAACATAATAAAACCGTGCCAGAGATACATACATTTTTATGATTATCCGTGCTCTTCATCTGTTAGTGTGAGACTGTTTACTGCAGAAAACTTAAGTCTCCATCATGACTAACCCTGGATAAACCTGGGGCACGTTTCTGTCCTGAGAGGCCCTGGGTTCCGTGGACAGGCTTCTCTGCTGGTTCATTGCTTTCTCTAATAACATAATACCTCCTAGGGCTTTGTTCTGAAATCCATTATAATGGGGTCCTTTCTGATGCTACAAGTGTGGGGTTGGGCCTCTGGGTATGTTTGCCCAGGGCAATAGTTACTTGAATATTCAGTGCACTTAAAAAATATTATTAGAGCTAGTAGTTTTTTAAAAGCCAAAACCCCTTGTTTGCTTTAAGTAGGCATAAATAGTGGGTTGTTTTTTTTTTTAAATAGGAGGCGGCAAGCCCGGCTACAGAAGGAGCTCGCAGAAGCAGCGAAGGAGCCTCTGCCAGTTGAGCAGTGAGTAGAGAACTGCGCATTAAAACTATGCTCTTAGTCATTTGCTTTGCTCTTCTGAAATAGCTTTATAATATTTTGTTTCTGTAAAACCATTTTATAGATTGTAGGAAGAAAAGTAAAAGACTTAGGAGAGAAAATAAAAAACACTCATTACTTTCCAGGAAGTTGTTGGCTTCCAGGAAAGGTGAGTTCTGACTTCCTTCACCCTTAACCAGCGACAGCCTCGCTGTCTTCCTGTTGACACCCTGACACATTTTCTGCCTCTAGTTGGAGCTGTTGCAGTATGATGCTGGGCTCTGGTTGTGTCTCCTGCTCTCTGCTTGGTTTGTGACTTCATGTGGAGTTTGGGCAAACCTTTGAAGCTTGAGTAAAAACTGGGATCTCCTGGAACACAAGGAAATGAATAAAGATAGAGTTTTTCCTAATCTGGAGTCAGGTGGAGGGTCTTCCCTGAGATTTGAGGCTTTGTTTTGAGAGTGGTGGGTATTTTAGTGACTAAATTCCCTTTGCTCTGGTTCAGAATTTGTCCCCCCCCCCCCCCCCCACCATTGAAATAAATTGTGAAATATAGTATTAGAGTTAAGATCCTCTCTTTTAAAATGTTGGTTGCTTCCTTATAAATGAAGGGGAGTGGTTTCATTTCATCTAAGAGTCATTGGCCAAAGGTCTTGATTTATAAGATAACAGATCTCATACCAAGCCTTTGCTTTAGATGTAGCATGTGTGTGTATCTTCTATCTTCCCACATGGGGAAAGTGAATGTCAGGTATTTTTGCTCAGAGGTGCAAAGTAGATAAGTAGTTGATCTAGAAATGAGATTTGGTTCTCCTTAAAAGTAACAGCTGATGAAAGCATCTTTTGTCTGCCTGCTATTGGCCAATGTGAACAGGTGAGTAGGTGTAGAAAGGTAAAGCGTCCTGCTGCAAACACACAGCAAGTGGCAGGGGCAGGCTGGACACCTCAGGGTGTCTGACTGTAAAGTCCTGTTCTTACTCTCCTGTGCTTCCCTAAAAGTAGAGTTTCTGGGTCAAAGAATGCTTTCATCTTTGAAGGGTTTTGATAAGTTACCAGATGCTGGTATTTTCTCATGGTTCTAGGTCTTTGTGCAGTTTCAAGTACCTGCAACTGTACAGTTCTGTCTTAAACAAACCATTTACTTAGGCTCAGCTCATGTTTATCACTCTTGCCATCTCTGCTGTTCTGTTGTTACCCTTGTGTGAACAGAGATGACTCTTCCCAAACCAGCAGCGAGAGGAGAAGAAAGCCCAGCCTGTTCTCTGTCTTCAGGCCCCACCTTTGTTCTCCTCTCAGTTCTCCTCTCAGCCCTGGCCAAGATGGGGGTCAGTTACACGGGATCCTGAAATCAGTAGCCAAGGAAAATAAATCTACTTGAACTTGGTTTGACTTGCTTGGTAACAGGTTCTGAAGTATAGATTATATTTACATAGTCCAGATAATCATGGGAGAATCTCTTCCAAGTTCCTGTGAATCCAAACATTTGGTAATAAAGTCTCGGGTTATTAGTTTTTATCAGTTTACTTCTCCATGAAGATTGCAACTTGGTAGGAGGTCGTTAAGACCAAACTAATTACTTGCCTTTCCTCCAACCAGGAAAGTGGGGAGGAAGGGGAATTCCAGAGGGGCTTTGCATCTGGTGGGATAAACAGCAGAGGAGCACATTTTTTTTTTTTTTAATATTTATTTGGCCGTGTCAAGTTGCGGCATGCAAGATCTTTGTCCTTTGTTGTGACCTGTGGGATCTTTAGTTGAGGCATGTAAACTCTTAATTGCGACACGTGGAATTAAGTTACCTGACCAGGGATCGAACAGGCCCCTTACGTTGGGAGCACAGAGTTTTAGCCACTGGCCCACCAGGGAAGGCCCCAGGAACACATTCTTGTGACTTAGTTCACATGTAATGTGATGAACTCACCAAATGTTAGAAACACCAAGTACTTAAACATAAGCATCAACAGCCAGAGTCAAAGATGAAATGTGTTTAGATTCTGCTTTCCTGTCTTTTATTCTTAAAGTAATACTTAGACCTGGGTTGTTTACGTGCCCGTTGATCTCATTGCCCTTTTAGCAGTCCATCTTCTTGTTGCCTTGGACCGTCCCCTTGTCCCGGCATATTCTTCTACACCGTAGCTGCCCCTAGCTGTCCTCCATGTGTTGCTCAGCCTGCCTCCTGGGAACTGTTTCTTGCTGAGTGCTGCAGTCTGGTGGTTGGTGTGCGGGAGACTTCTGATGAGGAAAATCTTCCCTGCTTCTGGTTATGTGGTTATGGACTTAATAAGCCACCATTTCAGTGCTTTTCGAGTGGGAGCTGTGTTTGGGCCTGAAGAGAGCCAGAGCCCCCTTCTCGGGTTATTCTCAGCTGGAGCTCTGGACCCGACTTAGACTGTTGCTTTTCCTGTTGCTCTGATGGCCGCTCTTTCTCTCAAGAGAAGCGGAAACTGGCTCTGTCCCAGCCACGTCTCCTGGGCCGTGTATGGTTAGGAAGTGGTGCTGCCTGTTGGCCTCAGCAGAGCAGGCTCATCACAGAGCTTCTGTTCAGCGGAAGCAAAGACCCGGCCTCTCGCCCTTCTTTCCAGGGATGATGACATTGAAGTCCTCACGGATGAAACCTCTGAGCACCCTGAGGAGACCTCTCCCGTGCGAGCCATCAGCAGAGCGGCCACGTAGGTAGACGGGTTGTGCCAGGAATGGAGCGCTCGGGGGGCACCCTGGCAGCCACCGTGGGCAGGACCAGGGAGCAGTGTGGGGACCCCAGCTGGAGCATGCAGCCCCCCTCACTCGACCATGGAGGGTGTGGGCTCCAGAGCATCCCCATCTTTCTCCGTTCGCCCCTCCTTAACTAGGAGGGAGCCATCCCTCAGTGGTGCCTCCTGCCGTGAAGAGAAGCAGAAAGAAGTATAGCAGCTTCCTGAAGGAGGGACCTTGTTAGGCTGGGTGATTGTTTAGAGCATACTGTTTAATTCTTAGCAGGGCTCCAGGATTTTTTTTTTTTAATTTGCCAAAGCAGAACCAAAAGAATGGGGTTTGTCCTTAACCCTACTAGAAGTTGTTAGGTCAGTTAGACAGTTTATTGGCCAAAGCATCATTTCCAGGGAAGTTAATTTAAGGCTCGGGAATCTTACTTCTTTTGAGGTTTCGAGGCTGGGTGTTCCCTCCTGCCCTCCCTCTGTTTTCTGGTGGTTCAGTCCTGGGAGGGGTTCTCTGCTGGGGTTTGGGAACTTGGGAAACATACTCCCAGGAACTTACTTTTGTAGACTGTTTTTGATTGATTGTTTGGGCAGAATGTTTCTAAGGTTTAAACCTATCCTCCCCTCCTCTTTAGTAAGCGACTCTCGCAGCCTGCTGGAGGCCTTCTGGATTCTATCACTAATATCTTTGGGTAGGTTAGAAAACCTTCACCTTTCCTTGTGTGTATATATATATGTGTATAAATATACCTAAGTACATGTACATGATTTGCTAGTGTTTTTTAAACGTGCACCAGAATCTCAGTGCAGAGTATATGCAGATGCCTTAATTTCAGCTTTTCATTTAGCTTCTTCCTTTTTTCCCTCAACTTCCTCTCTCTTAATCCCGCTGCGTGCTGACCTCTGGCCTTACCCTTTAGTCTGTCCGAGTCTCCCCTTTTGGGACATCACTCTTCTGATGCTGCCAGGTGAAAACGTTATCCTCTCCTAGCCCAGCATGCGAGTGTGGGTCGTTGATAACCACGTTCATCACCGCTTCACTGCCCCAGTCATCACGTGTCCATGTGCCAATAACCAGGACGCTTTGCATGTGCCTAGGCACGCCGTCCACCCTTTGAGCGGGGCAGATAGGTTGAGCGCTTTGTACAGTTAACTCAAGCTCTGGCCGCTCTTCCTTTTGGCATGTGTTCAGCTCCACCCTGACCACAAGTGTACCCCAAGAATGATGGTAATCAGGCATAGGAATCATCTTGAAATAGTTTTGTGAAAATACCCACGAGCCCCCTTGGAGCTTGTGGTCACATTAAGTTGAGGACGTGTCTAGCGGTTTATTTGATGGGGGCAGCGGTTGTTCAGGCTTGCTTTTCAGTGTTGTGTTTCGGAGCCTGTGAGTTAGCGAGAAGGAGAGCGAAGGTAAGTACTGTCTTTCCAGTTGTCACTGTGTCAGGGGGCTTCCAATTTGGGGGGCTCATTCTGTGGTTTGGAGGGTCTCGAAGGGAAAAGAAGCTACTGATAAGCGGCGTCTTTGAGTCCCTGCTGAGAGGTGGGCGGGCCGTGAGTCCATATAGTCCTAACACTGTCCTTTATGTTACTTCTTAGGAGGCGCTCTGTCTCTTCCTTTCCAGTTCCCCAGGATAATGTGGATCCTCATCCCGGTGCTAGTAAAGAAGTGAGGGTGCCGACGACTGCAGTATCTGTCTTTGTAAGTGTGGTTTATCATCCCCAAGCCTCACCAAGCTTCTCGCGGAAACAGAGCCTGACCATTGAAGGATCCTTTCTCCTGCTGCAGCTAAGCTTTCCATTCCGGTTTCATTTACGTGGAGCTGTTACACCTGTTGGCTCTCTGATAGAAAAGGTTGATTATATTTTGATAAGCATAGCAAGATTGCTTGGTTAAAATAAAGCAAAATCCATTAGTTTTGCTCATCTTCAGAGAACAGAGTTGGTTTCCAGCCCCCCTCCGTGAGATATAGGCCTGGGTGAGAGAAAGGATGGGAGGGGTGAGACAGGAGGACACTGACTCGGGATAGTGAAACGCGAGAGAATAACTCTTGCATTTGGCGTCACTGCTTGGCTCCAGTTAAGAGTTTTTAGTCAACGATCTGTTCTGGAAGGTCGGTCGGGCAGCTCTTGGCTTCATTAATTATGCCCACGTCCGTATGACTTCTGACCATCAGGAACACCTGGTTGGAAGCAGGAGACAGGCCTAGGCAGAAGCTGCTATGATGTCACGGCCAACGCTGGTGTGAGAAGCTGGGTCCTAGAACTCAAGGTTGATCCAGGTCCCTGCTGGCGTGATTGAGCAGGCATGAGACCCGCCCAGGGAAGCAGAGTCCTTGGCTCGGGGCTCCCAGAGGGGGCGGGGTCAGGGGGGAGAGCAGAGCCCAGTTGGTTGGGCTGATGCTTTGATTGCACAGGGAGAGCCAGCTTTGGGGAGAGAAAGACTTGCTGTTAGAATGGGGTGGAGTTTACAAGGCAGGAGCTTTCAGTTTCAGGCATAAAGGGGAACTTTTAACAGTTACTTCTGTACAATGAACTGGCTGACTGAGTGGCCACCTTGGTCATTGTAAAGAGAGTCCTGCTCTGGAGGAGGAGGTGGGTGGCGAACCATTCCAGCCCCTTCCCACTGTGCTCCTGTGATTCTCTAACGGGCCGGGCCCCTCGGAGGTCAGTGATGATTGGTAAAAGGTCTGATTGCACGTAAGGTCACAGTCCCCACCCTGCCCTCAGCTCCCAGCAGCCCATTTTTCCCTCCCATCACATTTGAGTCATGTGTATGGGCTAATGGAGCAGCTGATAGCATGGGATTCTGTCAGTGCGTGTTTCTGAAGAGTCGACAGTGCACAGCTGACCAGTATCCAACAAAACCAGCCACGCTGGAGCTTGATGAGCGGCAGCCATGGGTGTGATGGTGCATGATCTCAAGTTTTCAATCTGAGACCTCCAAAGTGGAAAGGGAGCACTGGAAAGAAAACAAATCGTATGGAGGTGGAAAGTTGGACCACCTGTCAGATGGCTTTTCAGCACTGGGACTAGAGAGGATGGCGAGAAGGCAAAGCAATCATAAGTGCTGTTTATATTCCAGTCAGCTTTATGAGTCACTTTCTCAGCAGTTGAGGTACCTTTTTCAGTCCCAAGCAAAGGCAAAGATGCGATTTTATATTCCTAAAGGGACCTTTTTAGGCAAGTGAGTGACCTTTTTAGTGATTTAATATTTATAATCCAAGTGTTGCAGCCTTCACCTCCCCCAGCCTTTTTATTATGAAAATTTTCAAATGTAAGCAGAAATAGGGATTAAAAACTGCTGTTGGGCAGCTTCAGTTAGTCACATTAGCCAGTCTTACGACCTCACACATACACAAAGTTTTGCTGGAGCAATTTAAAGCAGATCTCATAGTGATTTTACTCATGGATATTTTGAAATCCATGGTCAGAGGAGATGATAGTGACGAACACTATTCTCGCACCCCATTCTAGGCTGGGGAGCTTCCTGTCTGGTTTCCCTTCTCAGCTTGAACACAGATGCCGTCTTTTCAGACGTGTCCAGTGTGGATGCCAGTCTCAAGACATTTCTCTGTGAAGAATTAAGTTCTCCCAAAATAACACCTGTTCCTTTTATTGAAAGGCTTCGTCATGGTCAGATGCGATCCAAGCTTACAGGACTTGCAGAAGTCCTTATTTTTATAGATGAGCAAAGTGAAGCTTCAGAAAGTTAAGAAACCTGGCAGAGGTCCAGCTGCTGGTAACAGTGAATATTAGTGCCATGTTGTCTCCAGAACGAACTCCTGGAGTCCTCTCCATCACTGACTTGTGGTAGGACCGGCAGCTGCTCTTGTTAGGACTGTCCGTATTAGGGTATACCCTCACTGGGACAATCAAAATGAAAGGCTTTTTTAAAAAAGGATTTTTTTCACTAATTTGATACATAGTTTAATACGTGTTTTAATGCAGTCTGGACCAGAAGAGAAGCAGTTAACCACAGATTTACTTTTAAGCTGTGAAGATCATAGTATAGATTGACATTACATTATTCTTAGAAGAAATAAAATTAACTCAAAGACAAACTTTAAGCAGTTAGTCTCTACAGTTTTTGAATGTTTTTTAAGAATATTGCACAGTATTTAAATAAATGGAAAAAAACTGTAAGAGTTTAATGACAATAGAATCTTTGGAGACTGTGGGCCAGGAACCCGACTTTTTGACCAGTGTTTAACGTCTGGGTAAGCGTCCGGAGCATTGATCTGTCTTGGCCCCCTTCTTGGGAGTGGCGGTTACCCCAGTTTGAAGCTGGGCGTCTGTCTTGCAGGACGCGCACGACGGGGAGGTCAACGCTGTGCAGTTCAGCCCGGGCTCCCGGCTCCTGGCCACGGGAGGCATGGATCGCAGGGTGAAGCTCTGGGAGGTGTTCGGAGGTGAGGTCTCTCCAGAGTGAGAAACAAAGAAGCGTGCTGGTGATGTCTGGTTGGCAGTCTGAATTGCTCATCTTCTTGAAATGTGCAGTATTTTGTGTGAGGAATCATCTGACCAAAGCATTGTTACTCCCAGTTACCCTTTACAGCTGACACAGCCGAGTCTGTGTTTGCTCTGGGTTTCCACGTAGTGATGAGAAAATGCTACTAAATTCCAGATACTTTAGCGTTCGTGTTTTCTCAAGTGTATACCAGTCAGAGCATCTTCTAAGATAAGGCAGGTTTTAGATTTGAAATAAAAAAGTCTTAGTCATGGACTAGTAAAATTGCACATAAAAATTAGTAATAAAATTACACATCAAGCTGTGTATTTAATAATGCCAATGGCCATCACCTAGGGAAAAAAAGACATTGTATCTAAGCTTGAGACTTAAGAGATGAGTATGGGACTTCCCTCGTTGTCCAGTGGTTAAAGATCTGGCCAGTGCAGGTGACATAGGTTCTGTCCTTGGTCCAGGAAGATCCCCCAGGCCGAGAAGCAGCTAAGCCTGTGGATTGCAACTACTGGGCCTGCCTACCCTCAAGCCTATGCTCCACAGCTGGAGACAGCCTGAGCACTGCAGCGAAGACCCAGCACAGCCATTAATTAGTTTAAAAGGAGGGTGTATCATCTTGTTGTTCAGTGGCTAAGTCATGTCCGACTGTTCGCGACCCCATGGATTGCAGTACACCAGGCTGCTCTGTCCTTCACTGTCTCCGATTTTGCTCATATTCACGTCTCAGTTGGAGTCGGTGATGGCATCCAACTGTTGCATCCTCTGCCGTCCTTTCTTCTTTTGCCTCTATCGGTGGTGGTTTAGTCACTAAGTTGTGTCCAACTTTTGCGACCCCATGGACTGTAGTCTGCCAGGCTCCTCTGTCCATGGATTCTCCAGGTGAGAAAACTGGAGTGGGTTGCCATTTCCTTCTCCAGCCTTCATCAGGGACTTTTCCAAATGAGCAGGCTCTTTGCATCAAGTGGCCAAAGTATTGAAGCTTCAGCATCAGTCCTCCCAGTGAGTATTCAGGGTTAATTTCCTTTAGGATGGACTGGTTTGGTCTCCTTGCAGTCCAAGGGACTCTCAGGAGTCTTTTCCAACACCACAATTCGAAAGCATCAATTCTTCAGTGCTCAGCCTTCTTTCTGGTCCAGCTCTCACATCGTACATGACTGCTGGAAAAACCATAGTTTAGAGCAGACAGACCTTTGTCAGCAAAGTGATGTCTCTGCTTTTTAATGTGCTGTCTAGGTTTGTCATAGTTTTCCTTCCAAGGAGCAAGTGTCTTTTAATTTCTTGACTGCAGTCTCCATCCACAGTGATTTTGGAACCCCAAAAAAAATAAAATCTGTCACTTTCCACTTTTTCCCCCTTCTGTTTGCCATGAAGTGATGGAACTAGATGCCATGATCTTAGTTTTTTGAATGTTGATTTTTAAGCCAGGTTTTTCACTCCTCTTTTTCACCTCATCAAGAGGCTCTTGTTCCTCTTCACCTTCTGCCATTTGAGTGGTGTCATCTGCATATCTGTGGTGGTTTATATTTCTCTCGGCAATCTTGATTTCAGCTTATGATTCATCCGGCCTGGCATTTTGCTTGATGTACTTACTCTGCATAGAAGTTAAATAAGAAAAGTGACAATATACAGCCTTGTATTACTCCTTTCCCAGTTTTGAACCAGTTAGTTGTTCAATGTCTGGTTCTAACTATTGCTTCTTAGCCTGCATAAAGATTTCTCAGGAGGCAGGTAAGTATTCCTATCTCTTTGGAGGTCTTTAGTAGTCTGGTATTCCCATCTCTTTAGAATTTTCCACAATTTTTTGTGATCCACACAAAGACTTTCACATAGTCAATGAAGCAGAAGTAGACGTTTTTCTGGAATTTCTTTGCTTTCTCTAGGATCCAATGAATGTTGTCAATTTGATCTCTGGTTCCTCTGCCTTTTCTAAATCTAACTTGTACATCTGGAAATTCTTGGTTCACATACTGCTAAAACCTAGTTTGAAGAATTTTGAGCATTACCTTGCTAACATGTCTGGTAGTTTGAACAGTCTTTGGCATTGTCCTTCTTTGGGATTGGAATGAAAACTGGCCTTTTCCAATCCTGTGGCCACTGCTGAGTTTTCCACATTTTCTGACATAGTAAGTGCAGCACTTTCACAGCATCATCTTTTAGGATCTGAAATAGCTCAGCTGGAATTCCATCACCTCCACTAGCTTTGTTTGTAGTGATGCTTCCTAAGGTCCACTTGACTTCACACTCCAGGATGTCTGGCTCTAGGTGAGTGACCACACCATCATGGTTTGGTCATTAAGACCTTTTTTGTATTCTTGGCACCTCTTCTTAATCTCTTCTGCTTCTGTTAGGTCCTTACTGTTTCTGTCCTTTATCGTGCCCATCCTCAGACAAAATGTTCTCTTGATGGCTCCAGTTTTCTTGAAAAGATCTCTAGTCTCTCATTCTGTGGTTTTCCTTTATTTCTTTGCAGTGTTCACTTAAGAAGGCCTTATGTCTCCTTGCTATTCTCTGGAACTTTGCATTCATTTGGGTATATCTTTCCTTTTCTCCTTTGCCTTTTGCTTCTCTTTTCTCAGCTATTTGTAAGGCCTCCTCAGACAACCACTGTGCCTTCTTGCGTTTCTTTTTCTTTGAGATGATTTTGGTCATTGCCTCCTGTAGAGTGTTAGAAACCTCCGTCCATAGTTCTTCAGGCACTCTGTCTACCAGACCTAATGCCTTGAATCTATTCATCACCTCCACTGTAAATTCATGAGGAATTTGATTTAGGTCATATCTGAACGACCTAGTGGTTTTTCCTACTTTCTTCAATTTAAGCCTGAGTTTTGCAATGAGGAGTTCATGATCTGAGTGACAGTCAGTTCCAGGTCTTGCTTTGTTGACTGTATAGAGATTCTCTATCTTTGGCTGCAAAGAATATAATCAGTCTGATTTCAGTGTTGACCATCTGGTGATGTTCATGTGTAGAGTCTTCTCTTGTGTTGTTGGAAGAGGGTGTTTGCTATGACCAGTGTGTTCTCTTGGCAAAACTCTTATTAGCCTTTGCCCTGCTTCATTTTTTACTCCAAGGCCATCTTGCCTGTTACTCCATGTATCCTCTTGACTTCCTTCTTTTGCATTCTATTACTCCATGTATCCTCTTGACTTCCTTCTTTTGCATTCTATTCCCCTGTGATGAATATCTCTGTTTGGTGTTAGTTCTAGAAGATCTTGGAGGTCTTTGTAGAACTGTTCAACTTCAGGTTCTTTGGCATTACGGTGGGAGATAGACTTGGATTACTGTGATACTGAATGGTTTGTCTTGGAAATGAGCAGAGTTCATTTTGTCAATTTTGAGATTGCACCCAAGTACTGCATTTCGGACTCTTGTTGACTGTCAGGCTATTGCATTTCTTCTAAGAGATTCTTGCCCACAGAAGTAGGTATAATGGTCATCTGAATTAAATTCACCCATTCCCATCCTTTTTAGTTCACTGATGCATAAGAATGTTGATGTTTACTCTTGCTATCTCCTGCTTGACCACGTCCAATTCACCTTGACTTATTGACCTGACATTCCGGGTTCCTATACAATAATGTTCTTTAGAACATAGGACTCTACTTTCACCACCAGACCCATCCAAAACTGAGCATCATTTCCACTTTGGCCCAGCCATTTCATTCTTTCTGGAGCTATTGGTAATTGTCCTCTACTCTTGCACAGTAGCAAATTGGAGACCTTCCTACCTGGGGGGCTTGTTCTTCCAAGATCAAGATTGAGTCTCTTTGATTGCGTTTTGTTTTAGAAGTGACCTCGGAGTACTCAAAATGGGATGGCATTGAAACAAGAAAGGGGAGTTAGTGAAACCTTCTCCCAAATGTCTGAGCTTAGGCATAGCCCACTTTCCACATTTTGATACTTGGTTAAATATACATGTGCTTTTAACAAGACAAGGTCAAAGGACAGACTGAAGGATTCTGTAGGAACCACTTTGTCAGGTCTCCTTAGTTGGAGCACATGTGTGCTCACTGTCCAGTAAGAGGTAGCACTGTCATGGCTTTTGTCTGTTTTATTTCCTCTGAGCCTCACTGTAGCCCTTTGCTGTTAGACAGGTGGGTATCACCCCTGTTTGAGAGATGAAAACTCAGAGATGCTTCTTGATCCATGTGGGTGCTTTATGTGGGCAGAGTGGTGAGCTAGGACCTGAGCCTGGGTGAATTGCTGAAATTTAATAATAAAATGATAAGAATAGAGATTTGGTGACTTAAAAAATATCTACACAGGTAGTCTATTTTGATTATACCTTGCAAATAAATACAAATAGCTCTAGAAATACTTTCATTTTACTCCTTGGTCAGTAAAAATACCTGTAAGAAAGTTAGAGATCCAGCCACTAGTAGAAGTATTAGCTTTTTGCTGTCGAAGAGGAAGTGAACACTAATCAGAATTAATACTGACATAATTTGTGCCAGAGCATAAGCTGTGTTAGTAAAATGAAAAATTTCTACTAAATCTACAGAAATAACATAGAACATCTGGCAGCATTTTTTTTTATAGTTTTCAGGAACAAATATTAGTCATGTTCTAACTAATTATAGGATTTTTCCTCCACAGATGGCTTACTTGGTGTATAATTCCCCACCCCCACCCCACCCCACCCCACCCCTTGGCTAATATTTACTGAATCTTGGAAGAGACCAAGTCCAAAAGGCCTTTCATGAAACAGGAGGATCTTTGGTCTTTCGAGCTCCGTCTCTTGTGCAGACTAGCACTCAGTGATCATTGCTGAGGTTTTGGCACTTTGTCACCTGCCAGACAGAGCAGTGTTTTAGGCATGAGCCACAGAGAGAAGGAAATGGCAACCCACTCCAGTGCTCTTGCCTGGAGAATCCCAGGGATGGGGTCGCACAGCGTCGGACATGACTAAAGTGACTTAGCACAGAGATATTTTTTAGAATTTGCCATAGTATTTTTGTCTGTATAAAGATATAATCTAAATAAAGTCCTTAATTAGTAGGTGTTGACCTTTTTTAGAGTCTTGAAAATCTTTTGAAAGCTAGGATCCAGGGAAAGGCATTAAATTGTGCTGTATTTTGCAAATTAATTCAGGGATTTACTCACCAACTTAATAGTCCTGGCCATAAATGTATTTGACAGCTCCAAATCCATATTTATGTCATTTTTATTAGCATTCAGAAGTCCTGAAAGAAAAGGCTGTCCATTGAAATGTATACTATTCTGTGCTCCTGTCTTATGAATTTGATTTGAATGGTTCCCTAACTATTTCCCTAGCTTGTCTATCTAGGTTATCCTTAAGATACCCTTTAAAGAAGGAGTTTAATCACAGCATCATGGAGATTTATCCTTTTATCTGTAAAGTTGCCCTCAGGGTGGCCAGAGTCTGCAAGCAGAGTCCAGGGGTGAGTGGCCAGGCCTGTCGGTGAGAGCCTGGGGGTGAGGTGGGCTTCAGGGGAGCGCTGGCAGGCGACTGGTTCACCAGAACCTTAGGTTCACATAGGTAGAGTGAACAAATAAATCCCAGAAACACCAGACTAGCTTTACTGGAAATCTAATGACTAGCCAGCTTATATAACTATAAGTAAAACTTTCTTTTCGTACTTGGGTTCTGAAATTTTAACGGTCAGCTTCTATGAAAGTGATAGTTAAGTTGACAAAGATGTGTTTGTGTAAGTTGAATAACTAAATAAACTGTAGGTCAGTTGACATGTTTTTAAATTCCTGCACTTCTGTAAAAGGAATTGATGACACTGAATTTCTTAAAAAGAGCAGTGTAGGAGCCAACTGGAAAATGCTGGGCTCTGCACCCTCTTGTGCATTCATTGCTTTGCGAACTGGTCAGCTGAAAATTTTGGTCTCATTATGCTGTTTGTCCTACTACTTGGTTCTGTAAAGACGCGGGGAAGTTGTTTTTGACCATGTAATTAGCTTCCATTGTGTTTGAAGTGCCTCATTTTAATTGGTATGTTGGCATCTTTGTTTTTATGCAGACAAATGTGAGCTCAAGGGCTCCCTGTCTGGCAGTAATGCAGGAATTACAAGCATTGAATTTGATAGTGCTGTAAGTACCTAATATCCATGGAAATGGGTGAGTTGAGAGGTATTTAGAAACCATTTTCAACCTCTGGTTCTTGAAATTTAAAAATAACCTACCTGGTTTCTCTGCTGTTTTCTATCTTAATGTTAGAAAAGGATGCCAGTAGGTTAAGAAGTCAGTGCTGATCGTGAGTAGGTTGAAGATGGGTAGGGAAGATAGGTCTGTGGGAACCCAGTTAGTCAGCATCTCGCCAGACTTGATAAAGGCTCTGGTTTGGGCCGAGTCAGTGCAGGTGGAAAGGAGAGGGTCTACAGCTGGGAGGCGAGGCTGGGGAGTTGGCGCCTCTGGGCTCGTGGACTTGGGCGGGTGTAGAGAATTAGTACTTGCACTTACCAAAGTGGGGTGGAAGTGAGCAAAGGGGGATGAGTTCCATTTTGAGCTGGAGGTGTAATATCTACAGCCTTCAGGCAAGGTTGAGCAGGCTCGGGTGAGAGGTCTGAAGTTAACGGGGATTGATAAGTTAACAGAATTCTGGTTATAACGGTATTCAGATCAGGTATATGGTTTTAGTCATCTAAACATTCTTGGGTTTGATATGAGGAAATGTGTATCATGTGAACTGAAGCTCTCTGTTTTTCCTTCTCCCCTGCTTTCCTGTAGGGATCTTACCTCTTAGCAGCTTCAAATGATTTTGCAAGCCGCATCTGGACCGTGGATGACTACCGGTTACGGGTAAGACCCAGTTAAGAAAGAAAGTTAGTGCAGCCTCCAGACTTCCTGTGGTTGGGTATCAGTCACAATATGTAGGAAATGTCAGGGTGATTTGTTAGGAGAATTGTATGTTGTCCTGCAGATCAGACTTGATTCCCCCTGCCCTTTCCTCCTTAGGAAAATTGATGTTTCCACTTCACGTTCTTTGTCCAATATGCAGCTCTGAAATATTTGCCATAGGAAACCATCACATTTCCATGAAAGACTTCGGATACTCCTGTTCATAAGAGCTAAGGTTTTTAGGTAGGTGTCAGTCTTAGCTTAACTTCAGCTATTTTAGCACCAGCGTGTAAGCTGTGTTTCTTAAGGACCCCAAGACTTAATCACCTCACAAAGTAGAGCTGGAAAGTAGGCTATGGAGAAGTTCTTGTGGGTTATGATAGAGATAAAACACCTCACACAAAGCCAGGAGACAGGTGTATGGGAAAGTAGGAACCGTGGGTTCAGATGTTGAAGAAATCTGCAGTCTAAACCCACACTCTCCAAGAAGTCTCTTGGATTCTATACAAAGACAGAAATTTGATGGTTATATCACTTTTGTTCTAGTTAGAAGACATAGATTAATTTAAAGACACATTTTTCTCATTAAGCTTGAAGCAGTGTTCACATGAGCTTATTAAATGAAGGCTACTGAAAGATGAGGTGAAGGATTTACTTGACACTGATAGGCATTTACCCCCAGAAAACACTTGATAGAAACCTGTGCGTCAACTCACATGACAAGCAGAATGTGTGATGTGAAGATGAACTTCCTAGAGATAATCTACAGGGAGTTGGGGGGCTGCGATACAGTGGTCTGGGAGGTCGTTTCCAATGGCCTGAGGCTGTGGTGCAGGGACGGAGCCAGAAGAATGGCTAGAAACCCACCGCTCACTCACCACCGGGCTTTCCATTTCCTTCAAGGAACTGTATGGAAAATAGCCAGTGTTAGATGCTAGCTGGGAAGATCCCCTGGAGGAGGGCATGGCAATCCACTCCAGTATTCTTGCCTGGAGAATCCGCATGGACAGAGGAGCCTGGCGGGCTACAGTCCATGGGGTCGCACGGAATCAGACATGACCGAGCAACTAAAACACGGCACAGCAAGGTGCTAGCTCACACACAAAGGGTTGTAATTCCTGATTCTTAGCTGAAAGACAATCCAAGTGCAAAGCATGAGACGTGAGGATGACAGAGACGGCTACCTAATGACAGCTGAAGGGCCTGTTTCATGTTCTTGAAGGAACAGGGAGGTGGACTCCTGGATGCTTGTGGGCAGGGCTGGACGCCTCTCAAGTCCCAGTTCACATCTGTTCCCATGCTCAGATGAGTTTTCAGTTGAGGCCCGATGGTCCTGCATCCTCAGCTGGGAAAGGTGGTCTAGCCTGTTTGGTAGTATCACGGTCCGTCCTGGGGCATGCCTTCTCTAGGTAACCATCAGTTACTCGGTGGAAATTTGTGGTGGGGTTGGATTACTCTTGCAGACCTTAAAACAGACCCAGTAGTCGAGTGTGTTACGTATATTGTTGTTGTTCATTTGCCCAGTCGTGTCCAACTCTTTGCAACCCCATGGACTATAGCACTCCAGGCCTCCCTGTCCCTCACCACCTCCCAGAGTTTGCCCAAGTTCATGTTCATTTGGTCGGTGATCTGTCCAGCCATCTCATCCTCTGATGTCCTCGTCTCCTTCTGCCCTCAGTCTTTCCCAGCATCAGAGACTTTTCCAGTGAGTCATCTGTTCGCATCAGATGACCAAAATACTGGAGCTTCAGCTTCAGCATCAGTCCTTCCAGTGAATCAGGGTTGATCTCCCTTAAGATTGACTGGTTTGATCTCCTTGCTGTCCAAGGGACTCTCAGGAGTCTCCTCCAGCACCGCAGTTTGAAGGCATCAGTTCTTTAGTGTTCTGCCTTCTTTAGGGTCCAGCTGTCACAACCGTATGTGACCACTGGGAAGACCACAGCCTTGACTATACAGACCTTTATCGACAGTAGTATCTCTGCTTTTCAGCACACTGTCTAGGTTTGTCATCGCTTTCCTGCCAAGAGGCAGTCTTCTGATTTCATGGCTGCAGTCACAGTCCTCAGTGATTTTGGAGTCTAAGAAGAGGAAATCTGTCACTACCTTTTCCCCTTCTGTTTGTCATGTAGTAATGGGACTGGATGCGATGATCTTAGTTTTTTTAATATTTAGTCTTAAGCCGGCTCTTTCACTTTCCTCCTTCACCCTGATCAAAAGGCTCTTTAGTTCCTCTTTGCTTTCTGCTATTAGAGTGTTATCATCTACATATCTGAGTTTGATGTTTTTCCCATGTGCATTGATTCTGGCTTGTAACTCATCCAGCCCAGTATTTCTCATGATGTGCTCAGCATGTAGGTTAAACAAACAGGGTGACAGCAGACAGCCCTGTCCTACTCCTTTCTCGATCTTGAACCAATCAGTTGTTCCATATAGGGTTCTAACAGTAGCTTCTTGACCCACATACGGGTTTCTCAGGAGACAGGTGAGATGGTCTGGTATTCCCATCTCTCTTAAGAGCTGTCTATAGTTTGTCATGATCTACATAGTCAAAGGCTTTAGTGTAGTCAATGAAACAGATAGATGTTTTTCTGAAATTTCCTTGCTGTCTGTATAATTTAGCGAATGTTGATGATTTAATCTGTAGTTCCTGTTCCTTTTCTGAACCTAGCTTGGACGTCTGGCTGAAGCCTAGCATGCAAGATTTTAAGTATGACCTTACTAGCATGGGAGGTGAGTGCAATTGTCCGATGGTTAGCACATTCTTTGGTACTACCCTTCTTGGGAATTGGGTTGAGGATTGACCTTCTCCAGGCCTGTGGCCACTGCTGGGTCTTCAAGATTTGTTGACATAATGAGTGCAAAATCTTGATGGCATCATCCTTTAGGGATTTAAATAATTCTGCTAGAATTTCATTGCATCCACTAGCTGTATTATGTTATATACATTACTGCTTTTAATTCTCAGGAATCCAGGGGAGGTAGGTAGATGGGAAAACCGAGGCTTAGCTAAGCCCGCAGAATTGCCTGGGGTCACGCAGTGAACAGATGAAAAGATGAGACTCGGGACTGAGGCCTGTGCTGTTTCCTGTGTTCCATTGGCCTGAATCATTTTCAACTGAGATACAGCAAAACTGTCAAAAGAGTGCAAAGGGACATACAGCCTTCCTTACATTTTAGGCCCTTAGATGAGTGAAACAAGGAGTTGGTGCGGGATGGTATTTGTACCTGGTAGAAGAGTTCTGAACAGGTAGGTGTCAGCTTTTGGGTCTGAAATTAGGAGACCTGGAGGTAGAGTGAGCTGGTTTGCAGAGGTGGGCGAGTCTTGCTGGCGGAGCTGCTGGAGCCCCAAGCTGGGTGCTGATGAGCTGGGGGTTGGTGCCAGGGCTTGTAGCCTCCTGTGTTGGACCAGGGCTCACAGCCGTGCCCTCTCACTTGGTAAATGTGTGAAGGAGGTCAGAAGGCCTTTTTAGCAGGTTCGCATACCCACAGAAACCACATGAAACCCTTACCAGGGCCCAGGAAGTGAGTAGGCTCCCTGTCCAGGAGGCTCTGGCTGCTATATTTTGCAGAGGATGTTAGCAAGCTTGAATGGGCATCGTGTTCTGAAACACGAGATGCAAGCCCTGGTCAGTGTCTCCTCAGCTCGTATGCTGAGGGGGCGGTGTCGGGTGAGACCAGAAGGCCAGAGCGGCTGGTCAAGTGCTTGCTTTAAAATTCTTTGGGAAAGGTGTCCTAGAAACAGCCTGGTGCTGAAAGGGGTCCGTTCCAGAAGACGCCTTTCAAGGTAGGGTGTTTTCAACTCTGCCTAAACAATCTTACAGTGGGGTCACTCAGTCATGTGCGACTCTTTGCAACCCCGTGAACTGTGGCCCACCAGGCTCCTCTGTCCACAGGAGTTCTCCAGGTAAGAACACTGGAGTGGGTTGCCATTTCCTACTCCAGGGGATCTTCCCGACCCAGGGATCAAACCCGGGTCTCCCACATTACAGGCAAACACTTTACCATCTGAGCCACCAGGAAAGCCAGAAAAAAAACCCTCAAAAGATGAATGTAAAACTGAGGAACTGGGTTGAAGAACCTGCCCTGCCGACCTCTCTAACGCTGATGTGGACAAGGGGCTTCAGTGTGGCCTGGCTCTCAGATGATGGTTTTTATTTCAGAAACCTCCTCATCAAGGTCTGCGTTTCTCTGAGGTCACCTGTCTTGGTTGCGTTGATGGTTACTGCCTGCATGGTGGGCGGCCCTGCCCGTGCAGAGCCCGAGGGCAGAGAGCGCTCCGCTGGGAGACTCAGGCTGCTCTGACTTCAGAGCATGCTCTGACTTCATGTTGGCTCTGAAAGAGGAAGATAAAACCTTGAAGTAGTGTTAGAAGTTAAATGTTACCTTTTTTTGGGGGGGGGCTGTTCGGGTCTTCATTGGTTTGCTCGAGCTTTCTCCAGTTGCACGGAGCAAAGGCTCTCTTCCTTGTGGTGTGTGGGCTCTTCTTTGTGATGACTTCTCTTGTTGCAGAGCATAGGCCATAGGGTGTGTGGGCTCAGTTGTTGCCACTCACAGGCTTGTAGGGTGTGCGGCTCAGTAGTTGGGGGCACACAGACTTAGTTGTTCTGCAGCATGTGGAATCTTCCCAGACCGAGAATCAAACCCACGTCCCCTGCATTGGCAGGTGGATTCTTATCCACTGTGCTACCAGGGGAGTTCCAAAAGTTAAATGTTAGATATTAATAAGTATCAAAAATACTGAATGGGTAAAAGAACTTGAAATAAATCTGATCCACTTAAAATAACTTAAAAATCAATTTTTAAGTGAATCAGTTCAGTTCAGTCACTCAGTTGTGTCCGACTCTTTGTGACCCCATGGACTTCAGCAGGCCAGGCTTCCCTGTCCATCACCACTACCGGAGTTTACTCAGGCTCATGTCCATTGAGTCGGTGATGCCATCCAACCATCTCATCCTCTGTTGTCCCCTTCTCCTGCCTTCAATTTCCCATCATCAAGGTCTTTTCAAATGAGTCAGCTCTTCGCATCAAGAGTTTCAACTTCAGCATCAGTCCTTCCAGTGAGTACTCAGGACTGATTTTCTTTAGGATGGACTGGTTGGATCTCCTTGCAGGAGCTAAATTCCATACCATTGAGAGCATGGAGATGGAATTAGCCAGCTTCATTCAGGTTTTGTCCAACTGGACAAGAAGAAGATAAGCAGAAATCCAGAGTTTTTAGAAGTAACACATGTGAAGAGCTAGGAAATAAGTCACAAGGAAGCCTTATACTCATAGATATTCATTGCAGTATAATTTCTGATTGTGAAACTTTTAAAGGGATCTAGGTGTCTGCTGGCCAAGGAAGTTTCAATTAGATTATAATCTCATTACTTGAAGCCTGTTTAACTATTATAGACTGTTTGCCTATATTAATTACATTACAAAAACTCTAGAGGGTCAACTCTGTGCCATGTGCATGGGTCACCCTTCTAAGCAGCATGAGGAAAAGATTAGTCTTTTACAGACTTGAGACCCAGGGTATTCTGGCCAAACATTGAGACCCTCAAACTGTATATTTTCAGCTGTCACATGGAAAATTGCTTGTGCCGTGAAATAAAAAGTGGATTCCAGGCTATGCAGTTTTGAATGCAGTGGGTTACATAACTAACACAACATTGTAAAACAGTTATACTCCAACTGGGGGGAAAAATGTACAGAAAGAAACAAAAATGTAGTGGATAAATCTGTAGGGATATTTCCATATTAACATGCAGTTAGGGTCAGCAGAGGGAGTGCATTGGCATTGCCCACTTAACAAGCAATGTTTTTTCCTCCTGGTGTGTGTGATACGCGATTGTAATTTTTTGGTGAAAATAGTTTTCTACTAATAGCTTACATAGCATGAGAAGTGCCTACACGAGCTTTTGGTCTCTCCCCAGGGTTTGTGCAGATTAGATGACTTCTGCTGAGCATTTTTCAGTAGAACAGGTTAAACATACTGCATTTAACATGAGCTTTGTTGCTGGAGCTTGCTTGATCTTTTCAGAAGGATCAGTAGGGGGTTGTCACATAGCCTCGGCACGGCTGCCACCTGGCTGGCCATGATTGTAGGTTGCTGTTCCAGCTTCAGAGAGGTTTAAACATGAGAGGAAGGAGGCTTGGAGTCTGGGCAGACTTCCCTTTCTAAGAGGGGAAGTACATGCGGCCCTGAGCTTTCTGTTCCTGTGATAATGTGGAGTTGTTCTACTGGGCAGAGAGGGAAGATTGGTTTCTAAAATGTTAACTCTCAACTTTGAGATCTCAGTTCAGGGATTTGGAGTGAAACCCAGGAAGGTAGCAGTTATAGTAAATATATTAGGGTCTTTTAGAAGCTGCTTTTTAGGGTGGTGAGGATGGTATTCCCTGGCGAACCAGTGGTTACTATTCCATACTTTTCATTGCCAAGGGCCCAGGTTCAGTTCCTGGTTGGGGAACTAAAATCCATCATCCCACAAGCCTTGAAACAACCACAACCGAAAAAAAAAAGCCCCTTAAAAAAAATTATAAAAAACACTGGTGAATATCTGAATGCCCTCTGAGCCTCTGAGATTTCCACATAAATATGTTTATCCATGTTGAGAAATAGGAAAGACTTGGCTGACTCCCCAAATCCTTTCCTGCCATCCCTGCCACCCCCAGCCGGCTCTCCCCTTGGGCTCCAGTAGTGCAGTGATGGGCAGAGGGCAGCGACCCTCCGTTACAACCCAGTGCTGCATTCCTTGGCCTCCCGGGGAGACGCCATGGCTGGCATCCGACAGCTGGCCACAAAAAGATGTGATTGTTGGGAATGCTGGACTCTGGCTGTGGTCTGACGTTTCAAGCTGAGACCTCTGATTGAAAACGCCTGGAAGTCTTAATTGTTTATTTAAAGAGTCCTGATGTTTCCTTTTATAAATTATGCCTCCAGTGATCCTGCCTGGTCTGACTTTAAATAGGAAACTGACTTTTTATAATTCCGACTTCCAGAAAATGGCAAGAACGGTACAGACAGGTATCTGTAGTAGCGCTTATTTCAAGAAGGTGCTCATCCCCTCCCCCCCTTTTTAAGTTGTGTAATTAGCCTCAGTAGAGGATGCAGATTCAGGAAGTTTCTACATGTGTTTTTTTTTTTATGCTTGGGAGAAGACAAATGTTATTTTTCTGTAACAGACAAGATTAAAGAAGCAGCATAAATCTAATAATAAGTAGATGCCATTAGTATATGCATTGTCGCTTTCCATTTCGTTGGCTAATAAGACTAAATGCAGATATCTTATTTTTGTTTGCGTTCTGTATGCTGTCTTTGGTAGAGCCTTTACTGAGTACTTCATTATACTGTTTTTATGCATCCTTTTTTTTTCAGATTGACCTACCACACTGTTAGTCCCAGATGCACAAAATAGTGCTTCATTATTCCTATACATTGCCAAATGATCATCACATACATCCAGCTGTCATCTGCCAGCAAAGTCATTGCAGTATTATTAACTGTACTCCGTGGCTGCAAATCCCATCCCTGTGAATCCTTTTGTAATTGGGAGTTTGTACTTCTTAATCTCACTTATCTTTTCTCTCATACTCCCCACTCCCCCCGCAACCATCGGTATATTCTCTATATCTGAGTCTGTTTCTGTTTTGTATGGTCTTAAATTTGGTTTTTAGATCCCACATACAAGTAAAATTGTGTGATATTCGTCTCTGTCTGACTCATTTCACTTAGCATAATAACCATCTAGGTTCCTCCATGTTGTCACAGATGGCAAAATTTCATTCTTTTTTTATGACTTGATACTCCATTGTATATATTTACCATGTCTTTATCCATTTGTCTACCATTGGGCACTTAGCTTGCTTCCATATCTTAACTGTTGTGATTTATGCTACAATGAAAATAGGGGTGCATATATCGTTTCAAATTAGTGGTTTTGTTTTCTTTGGAAAAAGTACCCAGAAATAGAATTGGTGGATCATACGGGGTTTCAGTTTTTTTAATTTTTGGAGGGCTTTTTTATATGATTTTCTTAATGGCTACACCAGTTTACATTTCTCATGTATCTGTTGGCCGTCTGTATGTGTGTTTTTGGAAAAATGTCTGTCTGGATCCTCTGCCTGCTCTTCCTTTATTCTGAGGATGTGGTCATGTGAACTTTGTCCTAGTGGTGTTGGATGTTTTATTTTTCTGTAGCCTTTTTTAAAAATTTATGATGAGAGGTTATTCTCTTCATCTCGATACCTCACTGGTGGGAAGTACCCAGGGACAGGCTTTCTGGGTGTCTCCCTGAGCCGATCATCCTCTTGTCTCTTGAGTTCCCCTGGCTGGACCTCAGGGTGTCTGGAGGCGCTGGCTCCCAGGCAGTTGGCCCCTGACTCCCAGCGCCACGCCCAGAGGCTCACCCTGGCTATGTTCTGTCTCCTAGCACACGCTCACGGGACACAGTGGCAAAGTGCTGTCTGCCAAGTTCCTGCTGGACAACGCACGTATCGTTTCTGGAAGTCACGACCGGACCCTCAAACTCTGGGATCTACGCAGCAAAGTCTGTGAGGAAATTCAGTCTCTGTGTCTGAAAGATGTGATACTAAGCGCAGAGCTGTTTGTTTCTGCGTTAAAGCCTGCATTTAGTGTGATAACACTTTTTCAAGTGCGGTCTCATATCGGGTGGTGATGATGTAGGGGCTGTTTTTCAAGTTTGAAGCTTCATTTAAATAAACAGTTCCGACGCCTTAAGCAAGGGTGAGAGGGCAGCGGCGTCGGGTTCACATCACAGAGGGGCCTCTGCCTGACTGCTCGTGTTCGGTGTTCTTCTAGGCATAAAGACGGTATTTGCGGGATCCAGCTGCAATGACATTGTCTGCACAGAGCAGTGTGTGATGAGTGGGCATTTTGACAAGAAAATTCGTTTCTGGGACATCCGGTAAAACACCCACGAGCTTGGTGGGGAGGCGGATGAGAGGGCGCTAGAACTGTGATGGTGTCTTGTGTGTGGGTTGTGCTGCTGCCCTGGAAATGGCAGAAATGGGCTCCAGCCGACATTATCTTCCCTGTTGGATATTCTTTACCCTGAAGTAGAATGTCACAGTCGTCACCTCTGAGCATGCCTGTGTCCTCACTGGTCACTTTACTAGCTGCCAGGTAAACAGTGGGACAACTAGGTTGTCAGGTAGATTCAAGCGTAACTGGGGAGACCGACATACAAGTCTGCAGGGTGTGCTGAAGCAGGGCTAGGCACTGCTGTGCAAGGATGTTAAAGACTGTCTCGCAGGATGAGCCTAGAGAAGAACCCCAGAGGGCAGCTGGCAGGGAGTCAGGTGAGAGCAGGTATCAGGCTGGGTGGCATCGGATTGCCTCAGGCTCTGCACACCGTTGATGAATGACGTAATCTTATAAGCCGTCAGGCGTTTAGCAAGAGATTCCTTCCCGATTACATCGGCCGTTTTAGAGGGCGTCTGAGGAGGCGGGAAGTCACTGCAGCCTTGAGGAGCTGAACTCAGGGCAGTAGAGGGCGACGTGGAGCTGGAGTCGGTTCCTGGGAGAGTTTGGCCGGCGCTCATTACAGGTTAGATGTGGAGGGTGAGGAAGGGGAGAAAGAAGTAAAGCAAGATGGAGAATAAACGACAGGTTTAGGGAGAGGATGCTGTGAACATATTCAGAAAAGGGCATTAATTGGCAGCTTCTAATAGAGTACTTGGGAAAACAGAATTTTTGAGAAGCTGGATGGGAGAAAGATTCAGACATCCTCACAGGAGGACTTTGAAGACATGAGAGTGGATTCATCAGAGCTGGTGTGTGAGGCGACAGGAGGGCAGCCCTCAGGGAGCTGTCAGGAGGGCTGAGTGGCTGGAAATGGAGAGAAAGCTGGGGGTCTTGGTGATGGGCCAGGTGTGGGGAGTAAAAGGGGAGGCGTCTAGTCAGCGTGAGGTTGGGTTGGTTAGAAGTGGGCAACTGTGATTAGTTTCACGTGTACTGGTTGGCTGACAGTTGAACTGAAGTATGGAATTATAGAGCTAAGCTGGATGTTAGAAGGCTCCTGGTCCATCCCCTAATTTAACAGATGAAGGCCCTGAGTCCCAGGAGGTGGAGCGGCAGCAATAAAGTAAACTCTCTGCCTTCATTATGGTTTGGGATAGGAAATCTTTTCATCGAAAGTTTACAACAGAATGACCACAGGAGGGTTTGCAGCTCCTTTGGCTATATCACCAGCAGTGCCTAGTGGAGGATGGCTACTCACAGACCTGGCGTGGACTGCGGCCCAGAGAACTGGGAGAAAAAAAGGAAGAAGAAGAGGTGGCCAGGGTGTCCGGGCTCCACGTCTAGAGTCGCCAGGATGGGTTGGAGGTCCTGGGAGCTGAACTTTGTATGGCAGGATTCCCAGGAGAGTCCACACTTGTCCGTAGAAGGCAGCCCAGACCCGCTAAAGCAGATATATACATCTCTTTGGAGAAGCTGAAATGATAAAATTGAAGTAAAACAAATTATATAGTAGCCCTGCTTAGTTTATACTGATCAGAAGCTCTGATTGCAATTATTGTATTTCAGAAATGAGCAAGGAAATTAATTCTTACCAGTTTCAGAGTTCTGATAATCACAACTACTTAATAGAATCTGTTGATGGCAAAATAATAAAAGCCGAGGCTGAGGTTGTTTGTGTGGGGTTGGGAGCGCTTCTGCTGTCCTTGAAGATTACTGCATTCTTGTTGAATTGACTACCCTTCCCGCTCCATGGCATGCCACCCTGCTTGGAATGGGGAGGTTCTGACCTTTCTGTTACATTTTCTCAGATTTTCCATCTTTTTCGTAGATCAGAGAGTATTGTCCGAGAGATGGAGCTCTTGGGAAAGATCACTGCCCTGGACTTAAACCCAGAAAGAACTGAACTCCTCAGCTGCTCTCGAGATGACCTGTTGAAAATTATTGACCTACGAATAAATGCTGTCAGGCAGACATTCAGGTAACTGAAGACACTCTGGTTGGGTTTCCAGAGCCCTGCCTGCGCTCACACCCTGAGTGGCGTGGACTCCAGGGTAACGGTGCCTTGTCGTCTGTTTCAGCGCACCGGGCTTCAAGTGTGGCTCTGACTGGACGAGAGCTGTGTTCAGGTTAGTTGGGGGGCGCCTCCTGCCCCAGCCCGCCCGCCCCAACAAGGCTCGTCTCAGGGTAGAGCAGGGGCCTCCTCCCACTGGGAAATGAGCTGAATCTGTACAGTGTCTCCACGCGAGCAAGTGTCCTGGAGCGTACCTGCAAGTTCAGTCCTAGACGTTGCTGTCACTCCCTCTTTCTGAAGTGTCCCTTCCGTGGCTGAGAATGTGTGCCCTCCTGGAAGCTGCAGTGATAAACGGGCTTGTTCACCTCTGTCTGCTCGCTACAGTAGAGCTCTGAGAGCTTTTCGGGCAGCGTGGGGAGTCCTGGAGCACAGCGGAGTGGGCTCCCTCCCTTTCCTGTTCTCCCGTCTTGAGTGTGGCCGTTCTCACAGACACACTGCCACGGCCAGGGCCAGTACTGTGGAGAAGGTCCTCCACAGTCCTCACGTCCTTCCTTTTCTGCTTTTGCTGAACCGTGTGGCCGGGCAGTTCACCAGCTGAGGGAAACCCTTCGCCACTTGGGGTTGCCTTTGACCTCCCTGTGTGCTCGAGATGACTGGGGACGTGTGCCCCCAGGAAGTGCTGCGCTGGCACCATTTCTCGTCAGCTGGTGAGGCCAGATAACGGTCTAGCAGCTTTCAGCCAAAACGGCTGTGAATAGCATCTTGGGGTTTCTGGGTACCCAGGAGTGGTCATGAGTTTGACTCATAAGCGAAGACCAAACCTGACTTCCTGGGGAGAGGTCCGTGAGGACGCTGACTTGAGAGTGGGTGACGAACGCTGTTTCTTTTGTGTGTCCTCCAGCCCTGACGGCAGTTACGTGGCAGCGGGTGCGGCCGAGGGCTCGCTGTACATATGGAACGTGCTGTCCGGGAAAGTGGAGAAGGTCCTCTCAAAGTATCACAGGTAAGACGGCGACCCCTCTGAGGTGCTAAGCAGGCCTGTGGCTCCATCCCAGAGCCTGGTGCTCTCCCAGGCGTGGACCCGAGGTCGACCCCATGAGGGCCATGTCCACTCGGGCTCTCTGCTGCGGGTGAGGTCAGTGGAGAGAAGCTGGGGCCGTTCTCAGCGGACCGCAGACCGCCAGGTCCTGCTGCTTTATGTTCCAGGACGTTCCAGTTAGGGCGGCCACTGAAGAAAGGCTTGGAGCCCCGTGTTCTGCCTCTTCATCTTGTGCGCACCCCCGCGTCCTTCTGCCCCTTCACTGCCCTCCTCCTCTGCGGCCCCGTCTCCCTTCTAGTCCCTTTCCTCAGGAAGGTGACTGCTTGTGACCACTGGTTTTCACATACTTTGCCCCAGGCACCTTTTTGTCTCAGCTTCGTCCTGTCCCCACAAGCTCAGCTCCTGCTGAGAAGGCAGGCCCGGCCGGGGCTGCCGCTCATGGTGGCGCATCTCCCGCTCCCCAGCCAGGCGCCTTGCGGCGCTCCTCAGAGACTGCAGTGTCGCTCTTAACTCACTCAGAGCTACTCCCTGAGGGCAAACGTGATAAGGCCTGGCTCCCTTCCTTCCTAAACTGCCCCCTAGAATCACGGCGGGCTTCCTCCAAGTTCTTTTGCTCTGCGAGCGCCTGTTTGCACGTGGGGGGGCCACACTGGCGAGTAAACTGGGTGCTGGGACAGGCCTGACTGACTCCCTGATGGCGAGGGAGCCTGGCGCTCAGCTCACTGAGGTCTCACCCATGTCCCCACCTCTCCCTTTGAAGCTCGTCCATCAACGCGGTGGCCTGGTCCCCCGCCGGCTCCCATGTGGTCACTGTGGACAAAGGAAGTAAGGCCGTGCTGTGGTCGGAGTATTGACAGCCCCTCATCGGGAGAGTGCGGATCTGGAGCTGGAGGAGCTGGCGGGCCCCACGGCTCTGTCCTGGCAGGGGGTGTGTTGGGTGTGGCTTTGACCTCCCGAGAGGAGCGTGAGCCGGGCCGGGGCCTGCCTGCGAGCAGGGTCCCTGAGGGTCACGGCTGAGGCCCCTGCCAGCCTGGAAGAGCTAACACTGCAAACACTGACGCTGCAGCCCTCAGCCAGGGGTTCAGGTCCTGCCCAGATTCGAGGGGCGAGAACAACACTACTGGCGCCCGCCTCGCATACCTCAGTGGGGGCGCGGGGGCGCCCGCACTCTCCCCTGGGCGGCAGTGCCAAAGGCGCCCGCACTCTCCCCTGGGCGGCAGTGCCAAAGGCGCCCCCACGCCAGGGCGTTGGTTCTCCCCCGTGCTCTCTCCCGTCCTCCCAGGTCGAGCCTGGCCTGATGCATGTCCTGTCACCTTGGGTCATTTCCCAGGGGACCTGCTTTAATCGTTGGATCAACAGAAATCCGAACAGGACCCCCGCCCTCAGGTAGCCCATGGGGGCTGCCCTGGCCTCTGAGGAGACGCGGCCTGGGGTCCTCCCTGCTGCTCTGTCTGTGTCAGAGGCTTTTCCTCTGGTCTCACCTGATCACTGTTGGAATTTCCCTCGCTCTCCTGAAGTGTTCTTCAAAACTGCCTCTCCCCACCCCTGCTGCCAACAGTTCTACATATCTATTTCTTGACTGAGAAATAAATCTGTTCATTTAAAAAAAAAAAAAATGGGGGTGGGGGTAGGAGAGGAAGCGCAAAACACTTTTTCCAGAAGAGCGGGTGTGCTGTCAATCAGCGAAGACTGATTTCCCGAATCACCTGGAACTTCACAGCCACCAGCCCGCCACCTTCTTCCCGCCACGCTGGGGTGAGGGTGGCTGGTGGGTGGGATCGGAAGCCTCGGGTGTATTATCCCCGAGCCAGCAGTTCCGGGTCATGCCCCTTTGCCAGGCCTACGTGCAATACCCCCTCGGTGCTTTAGTGCAGGAAGCCCATTCCAGGAAGCATGGAATGCCATCTTTAGATTTCAGGACATGTGACTAGGCCAGGGAAAAACTGGCCTGTGCAGTTTTTTTTCTTTTTTTTTTTAAGAAACAAACACATGTATCTTTACCATCTTACTTGTTTATAAAATTTTAGTTTCTTGAGCGCTGAAACACCATTAATTCTTATCAGTTACTCATTTGCACTTTATTTTTTTCCTCCCGTACTTGTTCTCCAGACACTTACTGGGGGCAAGTGCTAGGGCAGGGCAAGGAGCGGGGGGTTCATGTGCCCCATTTCCCCGGCCCTCGCCTCCCTCATCTGCTGTCCAGAGGACTTGCATTGAGAGGAGTTGAAGTTCACAGGCCAGGGCACATCTTTTATTTATTTAATTATGTTGCCCAACAGAACTTGATTGTAAATAAAAGAAGAAATCTGTTATATACTTTTCAAAACTCCATGCCTCTTGGTGGTTATTTTATTCCTCTTCATCCTAAAGGCAAAAAGCTATTTCTTTCATTTATTTTCCTGGTACTCATTTGTTTATAAGTAATGGTTAATACTTTCCCAGTGCCTTTCCTCATGGTTCATTGTTACTGCTGTCTATAAATGTCAGTGTTCCAGTTTCACATTATTTGCAGATCTTCACTGAATGTAGAGAAGGCTCTCCTGGGGATTTTGGTAGCTGTGTGGCGTGCTCCGCGCTGTGGCCATACGAGCCCGGACCCCCGCACTTGAGACACTGTCCATAGACTAGACCGTGTACTGTACGAGTCTCTCAGCCGCCAGGCCCCTTCTGTGCTGAAGGCGCATAAATTTCCTCAGAGCAGCTCAAGATATCTAGAAGCAGCCTTGTGCCATAACAAATTAGGGTCACCCTGGAGTATCCCCCCTGCTCCTGAGGACCTCTGTCCAGCCCATCACCACACAGTTGCCCAGCAGCTCAAGTTGGGGTTTCATCATGATCCAAAGTCTTGGGGGCAGTGGAAGGAGGGGAGCCCATGGCAGTCAGCTTCAAGGAGGTAAGTCATTCTTCAGAAAGGCTGAACGCAAGCAAACCAGTAGCCTGATTGTCCTGTTTTCCTTAACTTTTCAGGGGAGCACGTCTGCTCTCCGCTTCTGGCAAGCGCTCTTCAGCTCACCCGACTCAACGCTGGGGTACGGGCCGGGCTCCCACCGAGGTGGAACATGCTTCCCTCCCCCTCATGGTCTGTTCTCTGTCTCTCAGGTCTTCTGGGCCATTCCCCCGGCGCTCCTGGTTCCATTTGTCAGGGCAGGAATGGGCATGGGAGTTTTTAAAATTTCCCTGAGCCAGTCCTGGCTGGTTGGAGCTGGAGTGGGCTTTGATCCCGACATTGGCATGTCTCAGGTTGACAGTTCAAGACTTAAAATTTATATTCCCAGGAATTCCCTGGCAGTTCGGTGGTTAAGACTCAGCATTTCTCTGCAGGGGGCATGGGTTCAATCCATGGTCCGGGAACTAAGATCCTGTATGCCACCTGACACAGGCAGAAATAAAATTTATATTCCCTAAGTCACTTCCCAGAATCATGTGATGTATCAAGTTCTGTGTCTGTCTTCTAAAGCATATACTGTGCACACATTCACCTTTTATCTGACAAATCTAGTAAGGCCCCGGTGTGTCTTTTCACATCACAGCACACGGGGAATTTCGTGTGGACCCTGGACAACAGAGGGGCCTGCCCCGACCTCAGGAGCGTGTGTGCTAGGGAAGTCCATGTTTTGCAGGTGTATCGAGCTCCCTGTGTGTCTTCACGCCTGTGGCATAGCCTCAGCCAACCATGACTTTGGGGAACAAGAGCATGGACTTGAAGCTCACGGCCTGGGCAGGACCCTGGGAGAGGCAGGGGGCAGTGAGGAAACCTTCTGCAAGTCGTGCCTGTTTTCATAAGGGGTCTCGGATTCTGTCAGAGGTGAAGGGTCTCCTGTCACAACTGGGGGAGAGCTTCCCAGCTAAGCAAGAAGCTGTTCCAGAGTCCTGGCCCCCAGGCGGGCACTGGTGCCCAGGGACACCCACCTCAGCCGCCCACAGTGTGAGGCGGCGGGAGCGCCTCTTCAGGGGGCGAGCTGCCCAGGCTCGTCTGCACCGCGTCGTCGTCTGTCTTACTGAAAGCCCGCTCACTAGAAACGCCCAGTTTTCAAGCCAGTAAACTTTGGAAATCTTGAGTAAAGTGAAGCGTACCCGTATTCACATGGATTCTGTGGAAACAGGTCGGATGTGTGGTGTGTGCCCGTGAGAGTGGACTCGCATCCAGAAGACAATTCTTGTCTCCCGGAGCTCTGGTTTCCACCTGTGCCTCAACTTCCCTGCGTCCCCTCCAGACGCTCCTCCGCCCTCTCGATGGTCTGGCCACAGTGGGCCTTCAGCTGCTCCCAGCTCTCCGTGGATCCTGCTGGGCGCCGAGCTGCCCTCTTTCAACCCTGAGCAGAGGGCATGAAGGGAGCACCCACGTCTGGAGGATCCAGAACCCACAGGGGCGGAGGAAACACCAGTGTCGGAGCCCCCTTCCTGCCTCTCAGCAATTTTCCAGAGTATTTTACAGCAAACCAAGTATGCCGTTTCTCCCCTAGATCAGCATGCGACCTAATAAGGACACCATGCCATAGTTACACCTCCGAATTAACAGAGACCCGGTGTCATCCACCCCTGGGTCAGGAAGATCCCTGGAGAAGGAAATGGCAACCCACTCCAGTATTACTGCTTGGAAAGTCCCATGGACAGAGGAGCCTGGCGGGCCACCGTCCATGGGGTCGCAAAAGAGCCGGACACGACTGAGCGACTAAAGGTGTCATCCATGATCCGGTCTGTGTTTGAGCTCCTGATGGTGCCAGTGCGTTGGCTTGCTTAGGTCGAGATCCAGTTAGTGTTTGCTGCACAACAAAGTGCCATGGCATGTAGTGGTTCCAAACGAGCATCGTTTCTGTGAGCGGGCATGGCCAGGTGGGTTCAGGGAGACTGGTAGACGGCGGCTTCCCTCATATCTGGCCATTCATTTGCCATCAGCAAGGGAAACAAGGACGATGCACTAAGAAGGCAGGCGTCTGTAGCACCAATTGTAGCTCCACCTGGTCACCTGTGTTACCCACTGGCTGGAGCAGATGGCATGGGCAGCCCTGCCTGCCTCTGCAGGGCACTGCCCAGCAGCATGGGGACATGGAGGAGGATCTCCACAGCGGTTCTGGCACCTGAGGTCCCAGCTGGATTTGGCTGACTTTCCTCCCATAAGTGATGTGTGTGTCCCACGTGGGAACATCGTGGGCTTCCCTGGTGGCTCAGTTGGTGAAGAATCTGCCTGCAATGCAGGGGACCGGGGTTCGATCCCTGGGGCAGGAAGATCCCCTGGAGAAGGGAATGGCAACCCACTCCAGTATTCTTAGCTGGAAAATCTCATGGACAGAGGAGAGCCTCATGGGCTACACAGTCCATGAAGTCACAAATAGTCGGACATGACTGAGCCTCTAAACCACCACCACCACGAGGAACTTCCACCTTGGAGGTTGCTGTGTGCCAGGCCCTGTGGATTTGCTCCCACCCTAGGACCTGGGGAAGAGAGCAGGGGAAGTCAGGCTTTGGGCTTCATTTCTCCAGAGAAACGGACTTAAACAGTAGATAGGTATGCTTGTGAGCCATGCCTGTAAGAAGATAGGCTGTATGCGGTCCAGTTTCTAAATAACCATATGAAGGACTGCCCTAGTGGACCAGTGGCCAAGAGTCTGAGCTCCCAATGCAAGGAGCCCAAGTTTGATCCCTGGTAGGGAACTAGATCCTGCAACTGAGTTCTCATGCCAAAACTTAAAGATCCTGCAGACTGCAACTAAGACCCAGCACAGCCAAATTGAAAGAAAGCCATATGTTCTGCTGCTCCCGGAAGGGGCAGCAGAGATTCTAAGGGGTCGTAAGCCAGAAGTCTCAGAATCAACCGTATCTTTGACTTTCAGGTAATGCTAAGCACAGAGTGGGTACTCTTAAAAGTTTTTATTTAATAGAATTGAATCAGCAGAAAGAAAAGACAGGCTTCCCTGGAGGTCCAGTGGTTAAGAGTCTGCCTTGAAATGCAGGAGACATGGGTTCAATCCCTGGTCTGTGAAGATCCCACATGCCATGGAGCAGCTAACCATGCATGCCTAGAGCCTGTGCTCTGTAACAGGAGAGGCCACTGCAATGAGAAGCCCATACACCGCAACTAGAGAAAGCCCGAGTGTGGCAATGAAGACCCAGCACAGCCGAAATAAATAATTTCCTTGGAGAAGGAAATGGCAACCCACTCCAGTATTATTGCCTGGAAGATCCCATAGACGGGAGCCTGGTGGGCTACAGTCCATAGGCTCGCAAAGAGTCAGACACCCCTGAAGTGACTTAGCATGCAGACACGCACTGGGTCACAAGGTAAAAATAAATGAGTTTCTTTTTCTACTATTTTTAAATGTATTGAGTTGAAATTAACATAAAATTAGTCATTTTAAACTGAACAATGGCATTTAGTGCATTCACAGTGTTGTATGAGCACCACGTCGAGTTTCAACAAGAAAGGCTAGATGAGTGTCCTTTTTCTTTTTTTCTAAACTTCTGGTCTCTCCGTAGAGAAGCGTGGGCCCTCATCTTGCTCAACAGGCTGCAAGGGTGAAGTTCTGCAGCCTGTGAGGCTTACACAACAGAAGCGTCTTACACCCGGAGACTGGAGTCCTGGCTGAAGGCACCAGCGGGTGTCCATCCTGAGGCCTTGCTGCCGCTGAGCTGTGTGCTCACGGGACTGTTTGTGCAAGGAGAGTGGCGATCCTGTCGGATCAGGACCGCGCTGATGACCTCGCTCAATGGCCCCACCTCTGAATACCATCACACGGAAGGGTAAATGGGCTACAACATGGGAGTCTGGGGAAACATGCTCCCATGTTTCCTCCATGACTCCTCCAGAAGGCTCTGCCTAGTTTTGCTCAGCTACAGGAGTAAGCATCTCAGTGTGGTGGTGGTGTTCAGTTGCTAAGTTGTGTCCAATTCTTTGCGATCCCATGGACTGGAGCATGCCAGGCTTCCCTGTCCTTTGCCATCTCCCAGTTTGCTCAAATTCACGTCCACTGGGTCAGTGATGTCATCCAACCGTCTCATCCTCTGCCGCCCCCTCCTTCTCTTGCCCTCAGTCTTTTCCAATGAGTCAGCTCTTTGCATACCAGGTGGCCAAAATATTGGAGCTTCAGCTTCAGCTCAACTTCAGGAGGAAGCACCTCAATGGTGTCAACTCCAAACCCATTACCATTGAAGCCCCCTCCAGTGTCGGGACCCATGTGGTAGGACCAGAAAGGAAGAAGCGCTCACGTCAGGACGAAAGAAAGTGGATCAGGACCTTTTCAAGGCCTTCTCTGTACATTTGATGCCTTTCCTTGACTCCTTCTGCAGATGGAGAAAAGAATATAGTGAGGCGGATATAGTTTCTCAGGATTGAAGTGGACTCATCAGTGAGCCATGACAATCCAGGGCTCTAGTCTGGGGCTGTTTGCACAGCTTGCTTCCCACACACAGAAACCTGGCAACCATTGGCACCAATGGTTAGGCACCATTGTCAGCGTGATGCCTCAGGATGGATATTTGACATCTGTCTTGGGGAGGACCCCAGTGGTGAGAGTTTTCAGTGCCCATGAGGATTGAGCACCTATATTCTAACAACAAGCAACATTCTAATCAGGAAAAACTGACATGTGGAAGAGATTGGATTAACTTAGACCCATGCAGAGAGGTAGAAGGGAGGTTGATTTCCATCCTCACAAAAAATTTCCTCACACCACCCGTTATTTCAAAGAGAAGTGGTAGTGATTCCCCCATCCCTGGAAGCATTCAACAACTTCCTATGGATATTGTAGAGGAGCTCAACACAAGGGATGGCATGTAGACTAGATATTTTTCAAGGATCTCTGCCCACGGGGTTCCGCTTAGGATTTCAGACAGCCAGCCCAACCCATAACAACAGCCCTCTATTCTTACAGCCAGTTGACTAAGAGGTACATGTTGGAATTAGGGTAGTTCTGGTTCCCTGGCACTTCATAAATAACAGTAACCTCAAACTTGTCCAGTGCTTTCTGCTTCAGTAGAACTAAGGCAGTGAGGACACAAGTTTTCATTTTGCAGTTGATGGGTTAGCAGACTGAACCAGTTTCCCTCATGCATGTGCCCTAATAAACCCTTAAGACGATCACCTAGCCCCAAAGCCTCTAAGCTTCTTAGCTGTACATCCCACCCTCCACCCCCTCGAGCTGGCACTGCGTTTGGTGTTGGGAAATGGAACACGGGGTTTGTAGCTGCTTCTCACTGGATCTGACGCAAGAAACAAGTAATGCATAGCCAGGGAGTGGTTCCTAGACTCTGAGAATTAATAGACCAGTAAATTTCCAGAAGAACTGTAGCAAGAGTTGGAAAACTTTTCATTTTGGCCAAGTAAGGATTTTTTTTTTTTCTAAACTGCCATCTACGCTCCTCTCTATTTTATAAAAGGAAGAACACTTTGTCCCTCTGCTTAGCAGCTGCATTCTGAAATATTTATGGGTAAAGTGTGTGTCTGCAGTTTACTCTCAAATGGTTCAAAAGGAAAAAGGCGATAGATGAGCACGTGCAGTGAAATGTTGAATCTCCGTGTGGACTACGGGGGTGTTTATTATTCTGACTTTTCTCTGTTTGTTTAAATTCATAATCATTTCTAGAAAATGTAAAACAAATGACTGAAAGCAAATCAGTGGTTACCTGGGACAGGGAGTTGACTGAAACGTATGCCACGGAACCTTTAGGGGCAACGGAAATGTGTCTTCATCAAACTCTGCACTTAAGATGGGTAGATTTGGTTGCATGCAGAGTATGTATCTATAAAGATTGGGAGGAAGAAGGACATTTATATTTAAAAATTTAAAACTTCAAATAAGGAAGAAAAAAGAAAAATTTAGAACTTCATAACCTTAGAATAAAGAACCACCCTCTATACTGAAAACATTTAGGTCTATGGAAAAACTGACAACAGTGTCCTCATTTTCCTTGATTCTTCACCAAGCGGAGAAAAATTCACTACAGACCAGGGGCTGGGAATTACTACCAGAGACTACGATCTCCAAAAAGAGTGAGGTCTGAAGTGCAGCGCACCCCAGATCCTCCTACCTGTCCCAGTGCTGACAGGTCAGTGACTGAGACCTCCACCCTGGGGGCCTGGGGCTAGCACAGCTACAGGAGAACGGGGGTCCCAGGGGCACCCACAGCTCAAGGGCAGTCAACTGATGGAGACACTAGAAGGGCCCTGGTCATTTATCTTCCTCTTGTTATTATTATTATTTAATCTTTTTTTTTTAACTGCACCTCACAGCTTGTGGGATCTTAGTTTCCCAACAGGGATTCATCCCAGGCCCCCGGCAGTGAGAGTTCGGAGTCTTAACTACTGGACCACCAGGAAATTCTCTTATTTCTTTCCTTCTTTTTTTTTTTAAAGGGAAAAGAGAAGATTTCTTAAAAACAAAACCTAATATTTCCTTCACACAGACCACCAATGTCAGCTCCTTGGTTCCTATCCCTGAAGACTGCATATAATGTATATGAAGACACACATGTGTCCACATATATCCACACATAGACTTGTGCATTTGCAAAATGCGATCATGCTACACATACCATCCTGTGACCTTTGTTTAGTCACAATCTCAACCTTCCTCGTCCAGTAATTTCCATGCCACCTGTCTGAGGTCAAATAACAAACATATTCCAGGGGCTCTTCCCAACCCAGGGATTGAACCTGGGTCTCCTGTATTGCAGGCAGATTCTTTACTATCTGAGCCACTAGAGAGGCCCCAAGAAACATACTACTGACACGTTATTAGATTATATTCAGATTTTCCAAATGGGCCCAAAATGTCTATACATCCTGTTTATTCAATGGGGACCACACAGTACATCTGAATATTGAGTCCCTTAACTGTCTTTTAATCCAGTGCATCTCTTTTCTATGATATTAACTTATGAAAGATACCAGCCACTTTCTACATTCATCTGGTAGCTTTCTTGTGGTCCTATCTAGCTATTCTTTGTATGTCTTACAAATGAGAAGTGATGTCTAAAGGCTTGATGGATTCCAGCTGTCTCAAGATGACACATCACAGTGGCTGACTCTTTGGAGATGCTAAGATTGACTTCGGACCACGCCTGCTCCCCCTGTCATGTGGTTGCAAAAGGCTTGCACCTTGTGAAGTCTTGATCCATATGGCATCACTCTGGTGTCGTAGGAACAGACATTTCCCCTTCAACTCTTCACATAATGGTTTTGACACCAGTAAAGAATCCTCATCTGAGTCAGTAATGTCGTCAGTGTTTTACAACATTAAGTTTTACTGTTATTCAGCTCTGGTGAGATCAGTGGCTCAGAAGACATTGTTATTGAAAAGACAGTTTATTACTTACAGTTCCTCAAAGTGGGGCAGGCCACCCATGGAAGCACCAGGGGCCAGTCAGATGGTAGGAGGATCAAGGAGAAAACATGGGCAAGAGGTTTTTTGTGGTTTCCTTGAGAAAGAACTGGTGAGACAAGATAAGCAGACTTAAGACGGGTTCTTTACTTCAGCAGGCTCTGGGGTGCAGGGGCTGTCTCCAGTTGTCTGACACCTGGCCCCAGGATGACTGACAGGAGCAGGGCAATAATGGTTCAGAGTATGAGACCCCCAGCAAAGCAGGAAAGGAGGCCTATGGTGTGTTCACATCCTGGGTTGGCTGATGCGGACCTGAAAAACAGTCACTCTGGGAAAAAACTAGCCCTGGGATGGCAGTCTCTCCAGGGTCAGCAAAGCCCCAGATGTCAAAGCATCAAAATTACAGAAAATAAAAAGGCACAATTAACACAGTCAGAGTTTGTCGAGTGATGTTTTTCTAATTCTATCACTCTCTTACATTTGTGAGCAGACATTCCTCCTTTAAAATTTTTAAAAGTTAGGACTTCCCTGGTGGTCCAAGGGTTAAGACTCCCTGCTCCCAGGGAATCCTGGTTTGATCCCTGGTTAAGGAACTAGATCCACTTATAGATCTAGATATATTTTTAAATTTTTATTCTCATAGAAATGAGATTTTTTCCCCAACTTCAGCTGTTGCCAGCCAGCATACTGTTGCAATCCAGTGACTCGTCGATATTCTCCACGCTTATTGAGGCCCCGATTCTAGATACTGGAGATGGGAGAGGAACTAAACAGTCAAGAATCTCTTCAGTCCTCAACCTACAATCTAACAGTGGTGGGGGGGGGGGGACAGACAATAAAGAAGAAATTAATCAGTTCTCCTCTATGTTAGATGGTTGTAGGTGCTACAGAGGAAGGTAATGCAGAGGAAGAGGACAGAAGTGTTGGATGGGGTGGTACACCAGGATACAGATGGATAGGGTCACGGTGATGTCAAGACTCAGAGGAATAAAGGGAATGAGGCGGGTGACTATCTGTGGGAAAAGTGTTTCAGAAGAAGAAGCAGTAGGTACAAAGGCCCTGAGGCAGGTTTGAAGAAAAGCAAAGAGGCCAGTTGACTGGAGCAAAGTGAACCAAGTTATGAAAAGGGGGCCCAGATCATGCAGGGTTTAGGTGGGAAGCCACTGGGGTGTTTCAATAGATACTAACACCCCAAACATCAGAACTGGCTTTCTGCTTAGACTGGCTTCACTTCCAGACATCAGCTCAAGTCCAAAACACACACGTGTTAGTGGCCTCACCATCCCCTGCATTCACTTCCTGAATATTCTATTCCAGACACTGGAATATAAACATAAGGGAAACAAAACAGCATGGGGTCCCTGACCTCATGGAGCCTAGAGTCAAGCATGAAACGAAAGACCATAAAATTATCTTGCAGACAAGCATCAGCTGCAGAAGAGCCTCCAACCTCGTCTGGAGACTGGGGAAGGCTCCCCTGAGGAAGTGACTCTTCATCTGGAGTCTGAGGGTGGAAAGAATCAAGGAGCGTGGGAGAAGAGGGTGGTTCCAGGCAGAAGCAATAACAGGTGTGCAGTGCAGGGAGATGGGGAAGGGTGGGCAGAGGCTGGAGTGTGTGACTAAGTTCTGTGTCTAGGAGTCCGGTGGGGGTCCAGTGGCTAAGACTCCACCTCCCAATGCAGGGGGCCCAGGTTCGATCCCTGGTCAGGGAACTAGATCCCACATGCCGAAACTAAGACTGAAGGCCTCACAACTAAGACCCAATGCAGCCAGATAACAAATATTTTTTCAAAAAAGTTCTGTGCCTATAACTGAGAACAAGGTGAGATGCTGAGCAGGAGGGTGGCTACTCAGGGCTTGGAAGGATGTAGTCAGACAGCAGTAGACATTATTGTCCAGGAAAGCCAAGGGGCTGGGGTGGACCCTGCGGGGGTGGGAGGACTAGACCGATTCGGAGGATACCAGGGCAAAGTTGACAGGACTCATGACGTAATGGATAGGACCACGGGGTAGAGGAGAAGGACAGCACCCGTTTGGCTTGCGTAACACCAGCATTCATCTTGAGGTTGACATTTCTCCTTGACCTTTTTGTCTTTATCGCCCCCCCCCCCCAAGGTTGCATTAGCTGCCTGCTGAGTTTAATCAAGCTGGTTGAGCTCTGGAAAATCCCTTCTCCTGGTGATAGCGGGAAGAAGGGATAATCAGTCTATTTCCAGAACCCAAAGTGGGTTAAGATAGAAAGTAGCTTTGGTCTAGCTGTCATCCCTCCCCTCCTCCACCCTTCCCGGCTCAAGCGGGTTGGCTCCTGCGAGCCCACCGTGAGCCCCTCTGGAGGGAGACCGAGAGGCCCTTGCCTAATGCTGAGAACTGCTGAAGCTACCATTTCGTCCACCGCAGCACTAATCCTGTTACTGCTCTGCTCCTTCAGTGGGATTTGGCTTCTAGACTGAGATGTGGGTGCGGGGCACCCTCTCCCAGCTCCCTACAAATCCCCCTGAGCGGTCAGCCGGGGCCCGTGTGGAGTTGTCTGGGTGGACGGGGCAGGGGCTGGCTGTCTCCTCATCCCGAAGGGCACACACACCCTCTCCCCACCTCCTGGGCCCTCCAGGCTGGTCGCACGAGGTACGTGACCACCCTCCAGCAAAGCCTTCTCAGAACCTTGGGGCAGGCCAGGAAAGAGCCAGGACCAGGGAGACTGGCATCTTCGTGCAGTCAGTCTGACCCAGTTACTTTCCTCGGACATTGCTTGTAAAGGAAACTCAGAAGGTGTTGAATTTCAGACAGCTCGGACTGCCTCTTTGTTGTGGGTAGAGCTGGGAATGGTGAGAGAGAACTCTGCTCAGTGTGAATTGCTGAGCAGAACTTTCAGGGGATTTAACGGATTTTTTAAATGATATTCATGAAGTGGTTAGGTTGTGGTTTGCAGGAACTTTTTCTACCTTAATTGACATGATACATCGTCAAGATAGAATTTTAAAATCAATCTGGCTTACTGTGACGATACCAAGGCTTAGTCTCAAAGTAAAACCTTCTCGTGGGAATCTTTCTGAAGTGAGGTTTACTAAGAAGTGAGGTTTGCTGGTGAGGCTTACTAAGAAGTGTTTGAGGCTTATCAAGAAAAAATAAATACCTTAAAAAAAAAAAGCAGCTCACTGTAGTGAAATACAAACCAGACAAAGGCCTTATTGAGTCAAACGTGGATCTCGAGGTAGAAGGAAATGTCTAATGGATGCGCAGTATCTCATGAGTAGGTTTTGTTCCGAGAATGTTCTCGACGTTATATTTAGGATGTCTTTACCTTTCTGCAGCCCTCGAACACCTGACGTACACCCTAAAGTGGAAGAAGCTGCCAGGGACAATTAACGCGACAGCCAACATGCAGGCCCATAAGCCCGCCCCAAACCACGTTATCTTCAAAAAGATCTCCCGTGACAAATCGGTAAGTGGGGCAGATGTGAGGGGCTCGAGTGATGACTTTTTTAATGGGCTTTTTCGAATAGATGGGATCAGGATCAAGGCCCCGTGAGGTCAGTGGAAGTGATGTGTGTGTCATCCATCTCTGTCTACTGGATGATAAATGAGATGTAAAGGGATGACTTGCAGAAATAGTACTTCTCTTCAATCTCACCAAGAATTCAGCCCCAGGACCCTTCATCTTCTCCTGATCTCTCAGTCCCCAATCCCTCTCCTCCAATTTTACTTCTTTTTCTAGCCTTGAACCCTTGACTTACATTTCAGACGTTGTTTTGGTAATGCCTATAATTTACTTGGGCCTTTTTCTATCGTCTTGCCTACCTGCCTGGGGAGAGCGCTGATGCTGGGTCATGCAATTCTCTACCTTCGGCGCCCACCCCAGGCGCCAAGCTCTCAAGCCCTAATGGGCCTCCAGAACCACTGGATAAGGGCGTGTCTCCCGATGCTCCACAGTGCCCACTGTGGCTGCACGGCCACCAATACCCTGGCACCCTGCATGCTCGGCAGAGGTGATGCCACTGTTGGCTCCATCAGGGGGACGGTAGGTGGTCTAGATGTGCCTGTGAACTTCCTGGCCTCGGAGACCCAGTGAGGGCCCACCCCACAGCCTCTGTGGATGGTGTCTCCTTGCATGGCTCGAGGGGCTGACAGTCTAGTTCTGTGCCATCCAAGGCAAGCTGCACTTCTAATTTTAAAATTTTCTATTAGCCATGTTAAAATGGTAAGAAGAAACAGGGAATTCATTTTAATACTACATTTTATTTAACCCAATATAACCAAAAAACTCAACATGTAAATGGTATAAAAAGTATTGAAAACACTTGTTTGCTGTTTATTCAGTCACCAAGTCATATCTGACTCTGCAACCCCATGGACTGCAGCATGCCAGGCTTCCCTGTCCTCCACTATCTCCCGGAGTTTGCTCAAATTCATATCCATTGAGTCAATGATACCATCCAGTCATCTCATCCTCTGTCACCCGCTCTTCAATTTGCCTTCGATCTTTCCCAGCATCAGGGTCTTTTCCAGTGAGTCGGCTCTTTGCATCAGGTGGCCAAAGTTTTGGAGCTTCAGCTTCAGCATCAGTCCTTCCAATGAAGATTGATGATATGTTAAATTTATTTTCTAAGTTGCTGAGACGTGATGTGTGTTATACATTTACAGCACATGTCAGTTTGGAGTGGCCATATTTCAAGTGTTGGGGCTACCAGTAGATAAGTACTGGAGGATTGGACCTAGGTCATCCTTCTAGATGACTCCTGAAGCCTACACTGTGCCTGAAAGAAACTCTCTGAATCTTCTTGGGCCTCACAGGCTCTGCACAGACACTCTCCCCTTCGCCTCTCCTCTCCTCCCTGAGGATCTCCATCACTTCCGTCCAATCCTGATTCTTCAGGGTGACAAGTCAGGTACCCCGCAATCTTTCATCCTCCCAGCTCTCTTCCAACGTGGTTCTTTCCAGTGAACTTTATCTTGACTTCCAGCAAAAGAAGAGAGAAACCATTCCTGCTGGGTATTATCACTTTCTCACTTTTTCCTTACTCCACCTAGCTAGACCTCCTTTGACCTGGTAAACTTAGAATTTTTGTATGTAGGAGGAAAACATAATTCATCCATGACTCTCCATATTAGGTTCATTCCCACTGCAAGTGTTGTCTGGCCTCGGGCATGGTGTGCCAGGGCCCTGGGTCAGTTTCTTTCCGAATCTCTCCACTCCTCCGTCTTGTGCGATCTTCATCCCCTGGCTGGTGGCAAGACGGCTGCCCCAGCTTCAGGGGACTCACCTTCACTTCCTTCCAGAAGAAGGAAAAGGCTGTTGATTCCTGGGGTCTCTTAAGGGTGAGGAGGTATTTCTCCAGCAGACTTCTCTTTATTTCATTGGTCAAAACTGACTACATGCCCACCTTCAGCCCATCCTGAGCCAGAAGAATGGGAGCAGGACATTCAAGAATCATCCTTCATGATGGATGTTTGCTAAATTTATTGTGGCTATTCAGTTCAGTTCAGTTCAGTTCAGTCACTCAGTCGTGTCCGACTCTTTGTGACCCCATGGACTGCAGCACGCCTGGCCTCCCTGTCCATCACCAACTCCCGGAGCCTACCCAAACTCATGTCCAAAGAGTCAGTGATGCAATCCAACCATCTCATCCTCTGTCATCCCCTTCTCCTCCTGCCTTCAATCTTTCCCAGCATCAGGGTCTTTTCAAATGAGTCAGCTGTTCGCATCAGGTGGCCAAAGTATTGGAGTTTTAGTTTCAGCTTATAGCTTTGTGCCTATAGCTTTGTGATTTACACAGACATCATTATATTGTACACCTTAAACTTAAACAATATGTCAATTATATCTCTGTAAAACTTGGGGGAAAAAAGAACGATCCTCTGGGGTGCCCTCCTTAACACAACCACTTGGGGATGGTGGGCCCTGGATGCAATTGGTGACTTATCCATGAAGATGGTGCGCGTGGCTGTCAGATGGGTAAGCAGCAGACTGGTTGGAGCCTTGCCTCGTCCACCCCACTTTCTCCACCTGCTCCTGTCTCTTCCCCCGCTTACAATTGCAGCAGCGGACGTGCTGTTGCTTCCTCTGAGGTTCATGCTACTTACAGCCTGGATTGTGGCCCACCACCTCCTTTGGGTCCTATCCCAAAGCCTCCTCCCTCTGAGGTTCTCCTTCCCTACCAGTACCAGCCTGAGCATGACAACAAGGACCCACCTCATGCATCTTAAACACAAGAACAAGAACAACAATAGCCCCTTGACCCCATCTCCTTTCTAGCTTTCTTTCCTTCACAGCCACAGCTTGAAAAAGAAGAAGACATTCTGTCCCCCTACCTTCTCCCTTCCCATTCACTCCTCAGTCCTTCCTCCTCCCGACCTCTTTCAGCTGCCTATCTGGCTTTCCTCTCGCAACCCCTTCTCCACTTTGCTGCCAATGCAGCCAGAGCCTCAGTGTTCTCCTCCATAAAATGGGTTTAACCCTTAGCTTGTAGAGTAGTTGTGAGGATTAAATGAAATAACGTACTTCGTGTGCTTAGCTTGGTACCTGGTACAGGACAAGCACCACATACCCCTTAATTGCAGGCCTTTCATCCTGTTTCAAATGCTTCCACATCCTCCTGGAATCTTCAGGGTCTGGTCTTGTAAGATCCTTTCTGGCCACTTGCATCTCCATTTGGTGGCTACGTACCTGCAGGTGAAACCATAGGCAGCTCCAGAAGCATTCTCTTGGCTCTGGGCTTTTTACATGCTGAGTTTTTTTTTTTTTAACCCAGAAAGCATCCTTTCACCATAACCCACCCCGCTCCCAGCACTGGTTATGATCAGGTGCTTCAACATCAATCATGCAAATAACCTGGAAGCCACAGAGATCCACTCCTCCTGGATAACCACTACAAGGGAGCAGATAAAGGAGATGATTTAATGCCAACAGAAACTATTTTGAGTGTCCATGGAAAGAGACATATGAATTCCAGAGGCTTAGGGAAGAGGGGGCTAACCAGGGTCCATGCATTCACTCATTGATGCACTTAGCAAATGTTGATTAAATACCTGCCGGTACCAGACACTGCACTAGACATGGTGATGGTTGAAAGATGCATGAGAGAATTCTCACCACCATGGTCACAGTGCCATGGCCTAAGGTGGTGGCGGTGGTGAATCCAGCCCATGGTCTCCCACAGTGGGGGTTGGTTAAGGGACCTTTGATGCCAGGGGTGTTGAAAGAGACAGGACGAGGGCTGGGACCTGAATTCTCCCTTCCCAGCCAGGACTCCTTCCCCACTTCTTAAGCTGTATCTGTATGGATGCTCATCCGAAAGGATTTCAGGGACACCAAAACATCTGCCTCTTGCTGAGTCCAGAAATTCTTCTAACAAGGAGGTGAAACCTTTCGATTGCAGCTAGAAATGAAAGGTTCAACATGCAAACAGCTGACAGGAGCCTCATGCACATAAGCGTCACTTTCTACTAAAGTATCAGCAACGAATCTGCCAAGTTTGCCTGGTTGACAGCAGACCTGGGCTCAGTGGGAAAAGGCGGGGAGAACAGGGTCTTCCCGAAGAGCTGGAAAGAGTTCCTTGGAGCAGTTTCGGAGGCTGAGGAAAGACCACAGCTTGCCCGCAGTCCATTGTCTCTGCCCACGGCCTTGCCTACGGCCAAGCAGGGCGCGAGGAGGACAGGGGAGCCGAGCAGAACGAGTGCAAACGTCCCCGTTGTTGCTGATTTTTCACATGATTGCCTCCAGGTACTCTGACCATTGAGCACCCATCTCTGTTCTCACAGGTCACCATCTACCTGGGGAAGAGAGACTACATAGACCATGTTGAACGAGTTGAGCCTGTGGGTAAGTCGATTTTGGGGTGAGATCTTTCTAAATCTACATATGTGTATTTTTTTGCTTGCACTGGGTCTTTGTTGCTTTGCACAGGCTTTCTCTAGTTTCTGCGAGCAGGACTCCTCTCCAGTGGCGGTGCGTGGGCTTCTTATCTCGGTCCATCTCTGGTTGTGGAGTGCAGGCTCTAGGCACGTGGGCTTCGGTAGCTGCAGTTTTCAGCTTCAGTAGTTGTGGCACACGGGCTTTAGTTGCTCCCCGGCATTTGGGAATCTTCCCGGACCAGGGATCGAACCAGGGTCCCCTGCATTGGCAGGCAGATTCTTATCCACTGTACCACCAGGGAAGGTCTGGGCTGAGATTTTAATGCTGGCTTTCTTTTAAGTCATCAGACACCTACTAGTTTTGTGTTTTTTAAAAAAATCTGGCTTTGTTAATAATCTAATCAAAGAAAGGCAAATTAAGACATCATCCAGGCGCCACTGGCTGATTGGAGACAATTTTAAAGAGTGTGAGAGAGACAAAGGACTCATCTCTGGAGTATATAAAGAAAGCTCAAAACTCACCAGTTTAAAGAGAAAACAAGATCCAATTAGGAAATAGACAAACAAAATGAAAAGACATTTCATTGAAGAAAATATATGAGTGGCACATGAGCACACAGAAAAATGTTCAACAACAACAACAAAAGAAACATGTTCAACAACATTAGTCGTTAGGGAAATACAAATTAAAACCACAATGAAATATCATTATACGCCTGTCAGAACAGCTAAAATTGAAAACAGTGACAATACCAAATGCTGGCGAGAATGTGGAGACCCTGGATCACTCAGGCATTGCTGGTGGGAATTGTAAAATTCCAGCCACTCTAGAAAACAGGTTGGTGGTTACTTTAAAAGCTAAATATATACTTATTATATGACCCAGCAATTTGCATTCCTGGACATTTATCACAGAGAAATGAAAGATGATGTTCACACGAAAACTTGTGTGTGATTGTTCACAGCAGCTTTATTTGTAATGGCTCCAAACTAGAAAGAGCCAAAACGTCTCTCAGTAGGTGAATAAGATTAAACACGCTGGGGCATGCCCATGCCTTGGGCTCCTACTTGACAGTGGAGAAGAATGAACTGCCAGGGACTTCCTTGGTGGTCCAGTGGTTAAAACTCCAGGCTTCCACTGCAGGGAGAATGGTTTCTATCCCTGGTCAAGGAATTAAGATCCCACATGCCACAATGCACCACCATTTTTTAAAAAATTTTTAACTTAATTTTAAGTTAAAAAAGAATGAACTACCAAACCATGCTACAGCTTGTAAGTGTCAAGGGCACTATGATGAGTGGAAAAAGCCAATCTCAAGAGGCCATATGCTTTATGATTCCATTTATGTAACATCTTAGAGATGACAACATTATAGGAAAGGAAAACTGAATAGTGGTTTCAGGGGGCTAAGGTTGGTGGGGGGGAGGTAGTTGGGTGTGACTACAAAGGCACAGCCCTGGAGGGAGATCATTATTGTGAGGGAACAGTTCTGTGTCCGGATTGCCGTGTTGGTAACACAAAATGTCCATTTGATAAAACAAGTTAGAACTATACACACACTGTACCCATGTCGACTTCCTGGTTTTGAGATTGTATGCAATTATCTAAGATGCAACCACTGGATAAAGGACACATGGGGACTCCTCTGTGCTGTCTTTACAGCTTCCTGTGAATCTATAATTACTTCAACTCAAATTGTTGTTTAAAAAAAAAAAAGAGTGTAAAAGACTGGCAATTTAGGCAGTAAGATGAGCATGTCCTTCAGCAATGTCCTTTCTAGAACTGTCATTTGGCAGTTATGTTATCAAAAGCCACATTCAAGTCTACCATGGATAGAGATTTATCTACAAGGATGTTCATTGCAATTTAATTGTAATGGGGAAAATCAAAAATATCCTGAATGCCCTAACAAGAGAAGGTTGATTAAATATTTTATAACAAATCTGTTCATTGGAGCAAATGGCCACACATTTGCTCCAATTTAAATGAGTAATACATACTATGTGAGTGTGTGAGTGTGTGTGTGTGTGTGAGTAGATGTTTGCAATATATAGTTGAGTGAGGAAAGCAGTGAACTGAACGTTATATTAGGATCTCATTTTGTTTTAGTAAAAACTTTTTTATAAATGCATCTAATCTGGAGAAATCGTGCAATGGGTGTCTGTGGGTAGTGGAAATGGGGTGACTTTTTTCCCTTTGTTTACTTCTGTTTCTAAGATTCCCCTAAGGGGCATGGATTCCATATGATATGCGCACGCGCGCACACACACACACACACACACACACACACACACACACACACTTCAGGAAGCCTCCAGCTTCTCCCACGTCCTCCACCCTCACTGTTCTCTCTCTCTTGGTTTAGACGGCGTCGTACTGGTGGATCCTGAGCTCGTGAAGGGCAAGAGAGGTGAGGGGTGCTCCTCCACCCTCCAGGGAGTGGCGATCTGGTCTCCGCTCGCTGCAGGAAGGGGATGTGTGTGTGTGTGCGCGAGGAGAGGTGGGGAAGCCCTTGCACACCCATTCTCACCGCCAGAGCCTCTGACCCGCACTCCCTCGTACGATCCTCGGGACATGGACTCTGTTCGCACCAGGGCCCGCTGTCCGCATCTGCCAGAAGGAGGTGGAGACTCAGGGAAGCTGCTTGCTCGAGCCGACTGGATCAGGGACGGCAGACAGACCCCGGAGCCCAGGGCTGCCCCTCCACAGACTGCGTGCTCACGCCCCTCTCCACAATGTCCTATGGTTCCATGTCCAGGCAGACTCAGGAGGGCTCCTTTCTGACTTTATCTGAAAAGCGAGGAATGGAGGCTGCTGGAAGGCAGAGTTTTTTTTAAGCTGACTTGGGTGGTTCTTGGCTTCCCAGGTGGCATTCATGGTGAAGAACCCGCCTGCCAATGCAGGAGATGTCAGAGACCTGGGTTCCATCCCTGGGTCGGGAAGACCCCCTGGAGGAGGGCATGGCAACCCGCTCCAGTACCCTTGCCTGGAGAATCCCCACGGACAGAGGGGCCTGGCGGGCTACCGTCCATGGGGCCGCAGAGTCGAACTGAAGTGACCTAGCGCACGTGGTGGTCTTGGACCACGGCAGCGCAGCACACTCGGTGATCTCTGGCTGCTGTGAAGTGTGTGGCAGAGCAGTGTGATGCTAATACCAGTTGTGTCAATTAAATGGGAGTCCATCTGATTTATCACTCAGTTCCATTCGAAACGTGCCTCTTAGAGTCGTTGCTATCAGCAACCTACAAGGAGTTGTTCCTCACCCTGGATGTGCTCTGGAGTATGTCAGTTGTAGGGCCCTCAGCATCCTGGGGACAGGGCAGAAACAGGCTGACAGCTGCCCCGCTCTGCTGTCTCTGGCAGCGCCCTGCTCCTCTCTTACACCAGGAGGAGCCGGTCCCAGCCCTGAAAGTCCACCCCCTTGGCCAGGAAAGCATTTTCCGGAAAGGCAGGCATAAATCCAGGTCATCTCTGGGCACCTTGTTCCTACAAATGTCGTCTGAGGGATAAGCAAGTGATCAGTGACTCTTCTGAGCTTAGCACCAAGGGGCACTTATCCTTGAGGTGGACACAGATAAAATCCTTAACCCACAGCTCCCGAGGACATGGGGGGACATGCTTTCCATTCAAGCGCAGGGCACCTCGTGTGGTTTTATTTACCACATTAATGACAGCTGTAAACAGTCCATCCTCAAAACACATGTCATTGTTCAGTAGCCAAGTTGTGTCAGACTCTTTGCGACCCCATGGACTGCAGCATGCTAGGCCTCCTGTTCCTCCTTATCTTCTGGGGTTTGCTCAAGTTCATGTTCATTGAATCACTGATGCCATCCAGCCATCTCATCCTCTGTTGCCCTCTTCTCCCTCTCCTACTCAAGACGTGTGTAGCCTCATATAATTCCTCTGGTCCGCCAGGGGCACCATTTACATCCGTCTAACCACAGTGAATTTTCATAAGTGCCGAAGATTTAGAGAAAGCTCAATTAAGTTTCTGAGCCATTTGAAAAGACAGATTTCCTCTGGAACTTGGTTTTACCTCTCCATCTGGTCCCTGAGCCCCTGGCTCACTCCCCTCCCGACCATGTCCAGATCAGGCATTCCTGAGTTCTGAGTTTTACTCCCTAGCGCTGTTCCGGCTCTGCTTCTTACCTTCGCTCTCAACTCTAGACAGACCTCCTGCCCTCAGACCCCGAGTGACCTCACCCTGTTTAAAGGTCTCCTGAGGTCCCTGAGCTGGTGGATCAAGAGGAAAAGGGGGGAGGGTGCGGGAAACAGTAGAGTCAGGAGACAAAACGTGGCCCCTCCCAGGGGCCTCACTGCCCTCGACCCAGCCCTGTAGAGTAATTAACATAAGCCAGAGGGAGGGAAGGGCCAGCTGGGTGGTGAGTTCCTCAGGTCCCAGCCCCTCAGGATGCTGAAGGCTGAATGCCAAGACCCGCAGGCAGGTGGTGTCAGCCCAGGCAGGAGTGCCAGGCTGACTGACCGACCGGCCGGCCAAGCCCACCCTTCTTGTCTCTCTCCCAGTGTACGTATCTCTGACGTGTGCCTTCCGCTACGGCCAGGAAGACATCGATGTGATCGGCCTGAGTTTCCGCAGGGACCTCTACTTCTCCCAGGTCCAGGTGTTCCCTCCCGTGGGGGCCTCAGGCGCCACCACGAAGCTGCAGGAGAGCCTGATTAAGAAGCTGGGGGCCAACACCTACCCCTTCCTGCTCACGGTAGGTGACATCGCAACACCCCCTCCACCACTGCACTGGTTCCTTCCACCCCCAGCACCTTGTGATGTGACTGGCGGCCAAGGAACGGGTCCAGAGTAATGGCTTCACATGCACAGGCCTTCAAATTGCACCCTTCTAGAACTGAGGAAATTCTAGATTGCCTGGGCTGTCATTGTCTTTTTTTTTAAGTCCTTGAAAATAGCCTCCTAGCCTTTGAAGGCACCATTTCAACCTACAGTTTAAATATTTAAACTGCATCCGACCACCTAATTATACGTGCGTGTCACGCCTTCACTTGCACTTGTCTATAAAAAGAAAGACGTGCCCCTCAGTTGGCCCTGAGGAGTTTCTAAGCAGGCAAGAGTTCCCCGTGAGCCAGGAGATCTTAGTGAAATGAGATCCTGTCTGTAACCTTGAGCATAGCCTGGGGGTCATGGGAGAGAAATCGCTGGTGGAGCCGAGGGACCCTGGGGCCAGAGTTCCTGCCTCTGATGACTCCATCCTGGACTCGCTGTGGGGATAGCTACCCTCTTCACTAGCATGTTTGTGGGCCTTAAGATTACATATTCCTCCAAAGTTATACGGTTCAGGCTTAAAACGGCAGGAGATTCTGACAGGCTACGACAAGAATGAACCTTGAAAGCGCAGTGTTAGGTGAAAGTAACAAGTCGCGTAAGGAAAAATGCTGTGTGATTCCACTTACATGGAGGATCTGGAGTTAAATTGGTGGAGACTGAAAGTAGGGAGGGTGGTCTCCAGGTCATGGGGGAGTAGGGAATTGGGGAATTGATGTTTAATGGGTACAGAGCTTCTGCTTGGGATGACGAAAAAGTTCTGGAAATGGATGGTGGGAACCATTGCAGGACACTGTGAATGTCCTTAATGCTGCTGAACTGTATGCTTGAAATAGTAAGGTTTATGTTTTGTGTGTGTGTATATATATATATATATCATATATATATACACATTACATATATAATACATACATATATATGTATATATGGGCTTCCTAGGTGGCACCAGTGGTAAAGAATCTGCCTGCCAATGCAGGAGACACAAGAGACTCAAGTTCAAGCCCAGGGTCAGAAGGTCCCCTGGACGAGGAAATGGCAACCCACTCCAGTATTCTTGCCTGGGGAATCCCTGGTTCAGAAGAGCCTGGTGCACTGCAGTCCATGGGGTCACAGAGAGTTGGACACTACTGACCATGCATGCATGGTGGAATACACGTGGAATAACATTCTCTGAACGAAATGATCTGTTGTTTCTTTCCACAGTTTCCTGACTACTTGCCCTGTTCAGTGATGCTGCAGCCAGCTCCGCAAGATGTGGGCAAGGTTGGTTCCAGAATGAATCCCAGGGATTCATTCATTCCTTCAAAGGATTTTTAAAAATAGCCTCTTTTTTTTTTTAACATTCTGTTTTATTTATTTATTCTTTAATTTTAAATGTTTTATTTTGTTTGAGGTATAGCCAGTTAACAAGCAAGGGTGTAATACTTTAGCCTTTTACCGTGGAAGAGTTCAGACTTACCCAAAAGTAGAGAGAACGTATAATGAGCCTATCACTTGCCTTGAGCATTTCCTAACCATGAGCAGCCCTGTGAGTGAAACAGACGGTCTCTCTCCTCCCTGAGAAAGCTTGTTAGCTGGTCTAGGAGCACACGTAGGAGCTGGTCAATATCAACAGAGAGAGAGAAGCGCTAAGCGTTTCATAAGGAAGGAACAGCACGTGCCCCAAGTAGACAGGTGGGAGAGCTTGGCTTGGGCGGGAAGCGCCATGGGGTGGGCGTGGAGCGGCGCGGGCTAAGAACTCCAAGTGCTGGTGGGTATGGATCCGTATTTATTTTCAAGCCAGGTTTTAGCGTTGTTGAGATTCCACAGTTTCACAGGACCAGTAGGACTGTGACTGACATGCTGTTGTCAGCCTGCGGGGAATTAGCTGGTGGAGGGCCCATGCTCACAATGGTGCCCCCATCCCCACCCCCTTGTGTTAACACAAGAGAGAAGGAGGTTAACGGGGGGCAGGGGATCATGCTGGGGCCAGGTGGGGGCCGGGCAGAGGGGCTGGCAGATGCATTTGTTCCACCCGTGCAAGATTTTTTAATTTTGTTGATTTAAAATTCAGGAGCCTTCGCTCCAACTTCCATTTCCAGCTTCGCTTCAGAAGTTGGGAGAGCTGCCAGCTCCAGGTCCCCTGGCAGCCTGGCCACGCTTGGCTACAGCCGCAGAGCAGTTGCCCGCCGGGGTCGGGCATTGGAGCCCCAGCACGGGCGTCTGTGGACCCCACGGGCCCTGTGAGCATTGCACCTGTCCCCTGGCTGCAGGCTGCGGACCGTCAGTAACACACATGCACAGCCACTTCTGAGGACAACTGAACGAGGGGTGGGCTGGACGCCATGAGAGGTGGAGGGAGGCGAGGACCAGTCAGGATGCCTGACTCACCCTCTGCAGCTGCTGGGGGCGCACGACCTGCAGACTGGTGGCCTTTGCTGGGGCTTCGCTGGGCACTCTCCTTGAGCTAATGCCATTATTTCATCATGAGCACACTTCCAGATCTAGTCTTTATTTTTTTAAGATTTTTTTTTGATGTGGACCATTTTTAAAGTCTTTATTGAATCTGTTACAATAGTTTTAAAATTTTTATTTTATTTTTCGGCTGTACTGGGTCTTTGTTATGGCCTGTGGGCTTAGTTGCCCCGTGGCATGTGGGATCCTAGCTCCCCGACCAGGGATTGAACCCGTACCCCCTGCAATGGAAGGTGAAATCTTAGCCACTGGACCACCAGGGATGTCCCCAGATCTAGTCTGACTGGTGCAGCTCTGAAAAGCAGATGACTGATGCAGAAAAAGAAAGTGTCATGAAACATCCCCTCCAGTGAGCTGTGACCCCATCCAGCTCCGGAAGGGAGGTGCAGACCACAGCCCTGTCTCATCTCTTGCCCCCTTGCAGAGCTGTGGGGTCGATTTCGAGATCAAAGCATTCGCCACACACAGCGCAGATATGGAAGAGGACAAAATTCCCAAGAAGTAAGAGTGTGGCTGTGGGAATAGGTGAGGGGTCTGGAGTTAAGGGGTGGGGGTAAGAAACCACCCCTCACTTTATGTTTGCGAGACGGACTCTTCCCACATGGCTGGTGTGGTGGGTCACGGAGCCTCCCCGGGTCAGGGAGCCTCCCCAGGTCAAGACCATCAGGAGGGACCATCTACACATGGGGTGGGTGTCCATGGCTGACCATCTAGGGGGAACGCAGAAGAAAATGACAGGAGCGTTATCAACCTCGTGTAAGCTCCTGACCTCCATAGTCCCTTGAGTTTCCTTCTTCCTTTGCATTTTGTTGTGGTGGTGGTAAACTATACATAACATGAAGTTGACCATTTTAACCATTTTCAAGGGTACAGCCCAGTGGCATTAAACATAGTCATTACCTTGTGTAACCACTTGTACACTGTCTGCTATCTATATATAGCATTTGGGATATGTATGATAATACATATGGGATATATATGTGATGATATATCTATCCTGAATGGTATATAAATGATGTTAGCATTTGGGAAATATCCCCAAACTATCTGTATCCCAAATGCCATCATCACCCTGAACAGAAACTCTACCCACTAAGCAATGACTCCTGTCCTCCCAGGCCCTGGTGTTCATTTTTCTTGTTCCTGAATGAGGTTTCCAACTGTGCCCTCAACACTTGCCCCCTCATACTCAGCATTCACACCTGAGGATGCTTGTATCAGATGGCAATGACAAGCTGTCATATTTGTAGAGAGTTCTGAAACGTCATGTAGGCACACATTCCCATCGCAGCTGCACCTGAGAGGACCCCAAGCTGGGGTCCTCACCGAGGGTGAGAGGGACCCTCGGAGGGCGGACGGGTCCACACCACCCACCAGGCCCCGGCCCCCAGACCTGACCTGGCTATTGGTCCTTCTGCACCCATCAGGAACATCCCCAAGGGACCCCAGCCTGGGGATGAGGCGGCGGGTGGTGGGGAGACCTGGTGGGACGTCCCGAGGTGGCCCAGGTGCTGATCCCGTGATGTCTCATCCGCAGGAGCTCTGTGCGTTTGCTGATCCGGAAGGTACAGCACGCGCCACGCGAGATGGGTCCCCAGCCCCGAGCCGAGGCCTCCTGGCAGTTCTTCATGTCGGACAAGCCCCTGCGCCTCGCCGTCTTACTCAGCAAAGAGGTGACTGCGGAGCTGGCCTGCAGGGAGCCCACCCAGGCCCTCATCTGGGGGTGGGCTGCGGGCAGTCTTGGGTGTAGTGGTAAATACCAACCTCTGAGGATGACTGGACTTTTTCGTAACTTGAAGTCAGTGAAGGTGACCCTTAGAATAGGGCCAAACTGGCTTGCATTCTACTCATCGTGGGTCCCAGAAATGTGGGGGAGGTTTGCCCTCCCATCTCTGCCCCAGGGGGCCTCTTAGTGCGGCGTCAGTGGGTGTTACAAATTGTTTGCTTCCCCCAAACTGAAGTTGGGCAGTAACGGTAAGGGGGTGGCTGTGTCACGTGTGAATGTCATGGCCAAGAAAGGTGAAGGACCGCTGGCCAGGGCTGTCTCCGGTCCCTCTGGTCAACAAGAGTCACACACACATTGACACAAGCCCAGCAGACCGTATGTGTGCATGTGTGTGTGCGTGTGTACATGTGTGCACGCGCATGAATGCATATATGCATGTGCACACGTGTATGTGCATGCATGTGAGTGTGTACATGCACATGTATGTGCACACGTGTATGTGCACGCATGTGTGTGCATGTATATGTGCATGCATGCGTGTATGTGTGTGCAACAACATGCCCATCTGGTATAGCACGGAGTCGCCACTGGATGAGCTCCACCTCTGCCCCCCACCACATTCTCCTCTCTTCTCACTCATTCTGCCCCAAATAACTTCATGATCCCGCTCAAGAGCGCCGGGGCCTGCTCTGCGTGACTCTCAGGACTCGAGCGTTGTGGCCGGAGCCCACATCATCGCCTCAGCCTCTGACACACGGGGCAGAACCTGCACCAGACACATGCCCTCACCTTGTCTTCCTCAAGTGTGGGAATTCAGCCACTTTGCCTCCAGTTAAAGGACTGGGATGAATTTAGAAAGATATGACCAGATTCTCTTTGCCTTTTCTGCCCCATCTGCTGACTTCTTCAGATCTATTACCACGGGGAGCCCATTCCTGTGACCGTGACCGTGACCAACAGCACAGAGAAGACAGTGAAGAAGATTAAAGTGCTAGGTAGGGCCTTCTGCTCCAAGCTGGATGGCAGAGCCTTCCAAGTCCCCAGTGGCCAAGTTTCCTGGGGTCTCTCCTCTGGTCTCTCAGGCCCTCCTGGTCCTTGGAACCTCCCGTTTGTCTCTGTTGTCAGGGCAGCAGCGCCTTAGAGGCGGAGGTCCCTTTAGTGTCCTCTCTGTAGCCTCCTGCCCAGCTTAGAGTCATCTTCCATCCTGGAACAACATCCCCCACAGGACGTCTTCCTGTCCTTCCTTGTCCTGCCTTCCTGGAGGGTCCAGGTCCGGTGGGGGGGAGGGGTTTCCTTTCTGCAGAGTAGTGGGGGGACCTGGCCTGGGAACCCTGGGGTCCCTTGCAGGCTTGTGCTGTGCACATCGCCTCAGAATCCAGCGGGCAGTCACAGCAGGGCTTCCTGGTCTACCTTCCTGGGTTTTTGTGATCTGTTGATTGAGCGCACTGGACATGCTTTGTAAATGGTCATCCCCACTGTCACTGCTGCTGTTGTGTTCCCGTGTGATGCCCCAGCCTCCCGTATATTCGGGAAAAGGGCCTCTGACTTACTGATCCCACTGGTCCAGCACACTGCCTCAGGTCAAAGGGCGTCAAAGTGAGCGGGGATGCTCCCAGATCTTGGTCTCATGTGGGTGACGTGGAAAGACATGATAGAATGACCTGGAAGGGAGACCTGTCCGTTCACATCTCCCTCAGGCCCTTGATGACTGAGACAGAGTTAGGGTGACCAACTGTCCTGGGTTAACCAGGTTCAAAGACCAAAGACTTCCAGTGCTAAAACAAGCCAGTCCCAGGCAGACCAGGACAGTTGGTCACCTAAGTGTCATCCACTACGTTCCTCTCTCCCTCTTGTCCATCATAGATAAGGCTCAGGAATCAGATGCACTCATACTGAAATATTCTAGATTTTTCTTAATGCTAATGTACATGTTTACATTAAGGTTTTGTTTTTATGTGAGTTTAGTTTCTATGCCTTTAAGTCTCTGTAGGACCTGGTGTGATTTATCTAGCATGTTGTATGTCGTGTTCCATATGGTATTTCACAAAGCAGCAGGACGGAGAAAGTATCATTTGATAATTATTTTTTAAGTTGTTTTTCAAAATTTTATGAATCCAAACATCCAAACTGCTAATGTTTGAAAGAAACTGTTGAATTTCTGAAGGCAGACATTGAGAACTTTATATAGGCCAAGCACTGTGTTTTCTCAAATTTGATTTTAATGGAAATTAAAAATCATCTTTTTGAGGGCTTCCCTGGTGGTCCAGGAAGCTCCATGCTTCCAATGCAGGAGGTGTGGGTTCAATCCCTGGTTGGAGAAATTATTCATGCTACAAGGTGTGGCCAAAAAAATAAATAAATAAATATCACCTTTTAAAATTATCACAATAACTGTATAAGTTAGATGTGATTATCACCCCCATTTTGCTGATGGTGAAATTGAGGCTCGGGGAAGTTCAATAACTACACCACCGCTGATGGCTAGGCAGGGATTTGAGCCCAGGTAGTCTGGCCCCAGAGCCCACCTTCCTATCCACTACACCACACCCACAGATCAATCGTGTGCTGCATGATTCTCCAGGCAAGAATACTGGAGTGGGTTGCCATGCCCTCCTCCAGGGGATCTTCCCGACCCAGGGATGGAACCCGCCTCTCTTATGTCTCCTGCATTGGCAGGCAGGGTCTTCACCACTAGCGTCACCTGGGAAGCCTGGCCTGAGGCCAGAACAGGAATCTCAGCCTTAAAGCTGAGCCTGAGAGGTGCACTCGGAAGGCCAACCATGCCCCCGGGAGGCGGCAGGCAGGACCCCGCACCGAGTCACCCTACCCTGACCTCCCTTTGCAGTGGAACAAGTGGCCAACGTGGTTCTCTACTCGAGCGACTATTACATCAAGCCGGTGGCTGCGGAGGAAACACAGTGAGTGGCGGGTTGGGTTTCTGTTTCCTGGGCGGTTCCGGCTTCTTTGTCAAGTTCCCCTTTTCGGTCGTGGCTGCAGAAGGAAGTAGAGCGGTCAGCCAGCTCCCCAGCTTGCCATGTCCTTCCCCTTTTCTCACTTCAAGGGCTGCAAAGTCACAAGAGTTCTGAGAGCTGGGTCAAGCTAGGAAATGATGGGGAGGAGAAAAATGAAGCCTGAACCGTCGCAGCGGGAAGGGCTAGAGCCTTCTATTGATCCTTAAATAAGTGGGTAGGAATCTGATACTGTTTCTGACCCCCAGAACAGATCATCAAATAACCTGTCAGCCCACATGAGGGTTCTCTATCTTTTGATTATCTCCACAATTTGAAAATCTGGTACCCATGACTAGGAGATTAGAATGCTATCTCAGTACTCTGCCACTTGTCATGAGTGACTTTCCTCCCTCCATTAGAATAAAAATCAAATGGAAAACAAACCAACAATAAAACCCAAACAAGAACCCTGCGATGGCTTCTTCACGGTGCAGCAAGAGACCTGACCGGTTTTACTTTGCACTAGGCACTCAGGTTCATTTAACTCACAGCTTTCGGGGGTTACCAACCCCCCACCCAGGAAGGATCATTTGGGAAGGTGTTTTCCTGTTTTCCAAGCCCCATTGTACGACAAAAATACTCTCATCATTGGAGGAAGGCAGTGGGGTGAGGAAAGACAGCCGATTCAGCAAGAAAACATTACATAATATTTAAAAGGCCACTTCGGGATAAACTGTTACTTAAAGCAGAACCTGGCCTGAGTTTACATCTCAGGGGAGAGAGGCAGGAAATGAACCACTGACTGCCTCTGCGGGGCCAAGCCTGGGGTCAGTTCTACTTTCAGACTGCATCCTTGCCCATACCGGTGCCTGGGAGTCTTCCTGGCTCACCTGTTGGCATGTGCCCAACAATGATAGGAGGAAATGGTCCCCAGCTGAGGTTTCCCCTAATATACCCCATTATCTGGTCCTATTTTCAGCTCATTTTGCATCAGAGTCCTAGAAAACTGGACACCATCCTCGGTGTCCAAAACTGTGGGAGTGAAAGTGAGGCTTTGGGGGCTCTGGTGGGCAGGCCACCTGGGAACCAGGTCAGCCCTGATGACCAAGCTGTTACCCACCATCTAGTCCCAGATCCCGAAGGTGCTGGGAAGTGGCCAGGTGGGGCTTTGGTCCAGGGTCTTGGCAGAGGCCGTCGGCCAGGGTGCAGCAGGATAGGCCATGGTCCAAGGCCAGCCCGGGGGCCCCTTCCTACTGCAGTTACCTTGACAAGGCAATTTCTGCTTCTGTCACTCTGCTGCCCAAACCAAGCTTTTTAAGAGAAGATTCCCCCTGGGTCCCAAAGGCAAGGATGTGGGCCACCTTGTCTCAAGCAGGATGCCGTAAAGGGTGTGCCCAGGAGCCTCCTGTGTGCACTTGGAGGCCGGAGAAGCCACAGCCGCCTTCAACTTCCCAGGGAGATTGAGGAGGCTGGCAGTGGGGCTCCCCATATGTCTGGGGACCCGCTGAGGAAAGGCCCGAGGCTGGCTCCTGGGCAGGGCTTCCAGGGCCCTGCCTTCTGGCCGGGCACAAGGATGAAGGTTATGCCAGGAACATGGCTAGAGCCCGCCTGGGCTCTGCAATCAGAGAGCCCGTGAGGCTGCACAGTGGCTGTTGGCACAGGCCTGGGGGCAGCCCATGGGCAAGTGGCAGAGCCAACTCTCCAGCTTCAGAAACTGCTTCGTGAGCCGGGGACGCTGCCCCACCTGTCGGAACCATGCTGCTGTGCCCTCCGCTGCACCCAGGCCCACTGTTTGATAGGAGGTCCCTCTGTCTATCAGATGCTGGGGAGGCCCCACCTGGCTGGTGATGGAGGCCATCTGGGGGAGAAAAAGCCTGTGCTGCTCTGAACCCCAAACCGCCCAGTCTGTCCAGCTCACGTGGGGGATTCCCTGGGTACACATTGAGCCTCCTGACACGGACGACGCCCAGCCTGGGCTTGCTGTTGGCCCTGACCGGTCGCCCTGCAGCCCATCATGTGCTTCACGGAGTCTCAGGAGGAAACTGGGTGTGGTCCTTGATCCTTGGGCCAGTCGGTCTCACTTCACCCCATAGAACATTCCAGAAATTCAGCCATGGGAGCAGGCTGAGAAATGCTCCAATGTTGCTGCCAGCCTGTTGTGAGACGTGCTCTTCTTCTCATAAGACATGCACAGCCCCTCCAGGCTCTTTCCCATGAGTTGTGGGGAACCTGGCTTCTGGGAAATGCGTGAGCATAGACAAGGTCTCTTGGGGGCTGCGGTGGCCATAAGAGCAACTGGCTAAATCCGCTGTGTTTCTTCCTACAGGGAAAAAGTGCCACCAAACAGCTCGCTGACCAAGACGCTGACACTGGTGCCCTTGCTGGCCAACAACCGCGAGAGAAGGGGCATCGCCCTGGACGGGAAGATCAAGCATGAGGACACGAACCTGGCCTCCAGTACCATGTGAGCCCCCGAGACTCAGTGCTGGCAGGGTCGGGGGAAGGGGTCTGGGTCTTCTCGTCCCAGTCCTGTGCTCATGGCTGGCACACAGCACGGTGGCCCGCGGTGCAAAGCCAGTGCTCAGCGGCCGGAGCAGGGACCCTCTCGCCCGCGCCTGGTATGACGTAGTGACTACAGCTCTGGGCTCTGGAAACAGCCTTGTGCCAAAGCCCCACTCCCTTGCTGACCGTCTGGGCCACCCCGTCCCGACAGCATCAGCTGTCTGAGAGAGGACCTCAGTTTCCCCACCCATAGGGTATGAGAGCTGACACGGATTATGGGAGACAGGCCACATCAAATGTGGGGCCCGGCACACAGTAAGTGCCCCAGAAAAGTCAGCTCGTACCTCTAAGAAATAGCATCAGCTAGCCTTGAACTGAGTACCTCATGAAGGATGGAAACATCATTTATTCATTTCCATCTGGAAAGGTAAGGAACAGGAGGTCCTGACGGCTACGGACGTCAGCTTGGTTTAAATGAAACTAAGCACTGATCTGCTGACCCAACTCAGAATGTTAGGCTGAATTGAGGCAATGGATCCAGTAAAAAACTAGATCGAAGCTTCTAAGTCAAATACCCCTGCCACTCCTCACCGTCCTCTGGGGCTTCTGTTCCTGGGAACACGTGTGCCGAAGAGCCCTGATGATCGGGGGTAGGAGCTGTCACCAGGCTCGGGGTTCACTGCCAGCTCCCCATTCTGTGTAACCGCCCCCCACCCCCCGCCATCCTGTGTGACCCACGGCCCCAGTGATCGCCTCCAGGTGATGCTGTCAGGAAAAGCTCTGAGATGAACAGTTGGGGCAGTGAACACCAGGCAGAAAGCAGGATCATGGGAGCCAAAGGGTTTCTGAGGACGATTTGCCAGCTGGCGTGTTAGATTCTAAGCATGTCTGTGATGCTCTGGGAGATGGGCAAACAGGGAGACAACACTCTAGATCCAGGAATTCAAGGGTGAAGGAATCACAAAGTTCAAAGTGACATGTGCGTTTGTAAAGATCTTTCGTCGTTCGTGGAGTATTATATAAACACGCCCATCTCTCCATGCTTTATTTGGTGAGAAAGGTGAATTTCTACTCATTTCATGGAAGAGGAGATTGAGGTTTCACCAGATGAGAGGCTCAGCCAAGGTCATCGGGTCAGTCAATGGTAGAGCAAAGCACCCCCCTAGTCCCCAGCCTCGAGCTGATGCTTTCAAATTGTGGTACTGTGGAGAAGACTCTTGGGAGTCCCTTGGACTGCAAGGAGATCAAACCAGTCCATCCTAAAGGAAATCAGTCCTGAATATTCATTGGAAGGACTGATGCTGAAGCTCCAATACTTTGGCCACCTGATGAGAAGAGCCGACTCATTGGAAAAGACCCTGATGCTGGGAAAGAGTGAGGGCAGGAGGAGAAGGGGGTGACCAACGATGAGATGGCAGGATGGTGTCATGGACTCAACTGATGTGAAAGTGAAAGTGAAAGCTGTTCAGTTATGTCCGACTCTTTGCAACCCCATGGACTCTACAGTTAGTGGAATTCTTCAGGCCAGAATACTGGAGTGGGTAGCCTTTCCCTTCTTCAGGGGATCTTCCCAACCCAGGGATCAAACCCAGGTCTCCCACATTGCAGGCGGATTCTTTACCAGCTGAGCCACAAGGGAAGCCCAAGAATACTGGAGTGGGCGGCCTATCCCTTCTTCAGCCAATCTTCTCGACCCAGGAATCGAACTGAGTCTCCTGCATTGCAGGCAGATTCTTCACCTGTTCTTTAACTGAGCTACCTGGGAAGCCCATGAGTTTGAGCAAACTCCAGGAGATAGCGAAGGACAGGGAAGCCTAGCATGCTGCAGTCCATGGGGTTGCAAAGAGTCGGATACAACTTAGTGACTGAATGACAACAAATCCCCATCCACCCAGTGCCTTCCAGCGCCCCAGACAGTGAGGACACAGCAAAACACGGATGACCAGGTCTCTTGGAGAGGGTGGTCCCCCACCTGGGGAGCCTAGGGAGAAGGGTTGATCCATCTAGTCTCTGCTTCCTACTGCTCCTCTACATTCTTCTGTTTTTCTTCTCTGTTTGAACAGCATAAAGGAGGGAATAGACAAGACCGTCATGGGGATCCTGGTATCTTACCAGATCAAGGTGAAGCTCACAGTGTCAGGGTGAGTGTCCATGCCCCAACATGCTGCTTGCTCTGTCTGGCTGTCAGCCATCTGAATGGTTTTGTTCCCGAGTGATTGGGAGACGGAAAGCAAGAAAGGTCCACAAATTCTGCCAATTACGTGATAGGGTTTGAGAAAGACTCTATTTGTCTAGTTTCACAATTCTGCCTGATGTAACATTACAGAGAAAAAGGTAGAAAAGCAGACTGCAAAACACATACACTACTGGTACCACCTGGCAAGAATGGGTGTGCATGTGGTCACCTGTGGAAGTTGATCTAAAAAAGGAGAAGGCCTTTGACTGTGCTTCAGAAAAGCATCAGTTCAGTTCAGTTCATTTGTCACTCAGTCATATCTTACTCTTTGCGACCCCATGGACTGTAGCATGCTGGGCTTCCCTGTCCATCACCAACTCCTAGACCTTGCTTAAACTCATGTCCATTGAGTCGATGATGCCATCCCACCATCTCATCCTTTGTCATCCCCTTCGCTTCCTGCCTTCAATCTTTCCCAGCACAGGGTCTTTTTCAGTGAGTCAGTTCTTCATATCAGGTGGCCAAAGTATTGGATCTTCAGCTTCAGCATCAGTCCTTCCAATGAATATTCATGACTGATTTCCTTTAGGAGGGACTGGTTGCATCTCCTTGCAGTCCAAGGGACTCTTAAGAATCTTCTCCAACACCACAGTTCAAAAGCATCAATTCTTCAACACTCAGTATTCTTTATAGTCCAACTCTCACATTCATACATGACTACTAGAAAAGCCATAGCCTTGACTAGACGGACCTTTGTTGGCAAAGTAATGTCTCTGCTTTTTAATATGCTGTTAAGGTTGGTCATAGCTTTTCTTCCAAGGAGCAAGTGTCTTTTAATTTCAAGGCTGCAGTCACCATCTGCAGTGATTTTGGAGCCCAAGAAAATAAAGTCTGTCACTGTTTCCATTGTTTCCCCTTCTATTTGCCATGGAGTGATGGGATCGGATGCCATGATCTTAGTTTCTTGAATGTTGAGTTTTAAGCCAGCTTTTTCACTCTACTCTCTCACTTTCAAACAGAGCTCTTTAGTTCTCTGCTTTCTGCCATAAGGGTGGTGTCATCTGCATATCTGAGGTTATTGATATTTCTCCTGGCACTCTTGATTCCAACTTGTGCTTCATCCAGCCCAGCATTTTGCATGATGTACTCTGCATATAAGTTAAATAAGCAGGGTGACAGTATACGGCCGTTACATACTCCTTTCCCAATTTGGAGCCAGTCTGTTGTTCCATGTCCAGTTCTAACTGTTGCTTCTTGACCTGCATACAGATTTTTTAGGAGTCAGGCAAGCTGGTCTGGTATTCCCAACTCTTAAAAAATTTTCCACAGTTTGTTGTGATCTCCCCAGTCAAAGGGTTTGGCATTATCAATAAAGCAGAAGTAGATGTTTCTCTGGAACTCTTGCTTTTTATATGATCCAATGGATGTTAGCAGTTTGATGTCTTATTCCTCTGCCTTTTCTAAATTCAGCTTGAACATCTGGAACTTCATGGTTCATGTACTGTTGAAGCCTGGCTTGGAGAATTTTGAGCATTACTTTCCTAGCATGTGAGATGAATGCAATTGTGCAGTAGTTTGAAGATTCTTTGGCATTGCCCTCCTTTGGGATTGGAATGAAAACTGACCTTTTCCAGTCTTGTGGCCACTACTGAGTCTTCCAGATTTGCTGGCATATTGACTACAGCACTTTCACAGCATCATCTTTTAAGATTTAAAATAGCTCAACTAGAGTTCCATCACCTCCACTAGCTTTGTTCGTAGTGATGCTTCCTGAGGCCCACTTGACTTCGCGTTCCAGGATGTCTGGCTCTAGGTGAGTGATCACACCATCATGGTTATCTGGGTCATGAAGATCTTTTTTGTACAGTTCTTTTGTGTATTCTTGCCACCTCTTCTTAATATCTTCTGCTTCTTTTAGGCCCATGCCATTTCTGTCTTTTATTGTGCCCATCTTTGCATAAAATGTTCCCTTGGTATCTCTAATATTCTTGAAGAGATCTCTAGTTCTCTTCAGAAAAGCATGGTAGCTGGGAAATGAATTCACAGTGCATCTCAGGAGGCTCCATCCATAATGGGGAGGGCTTCCCCGCCCTCAAAAAAGCCATTACAGGACTGGGGAGTCTCCTTTTCACACTAGAGCACAGATGTCTCATAGTTCTGAGGAAATGGTTTTCCATCTTTTTTCGAATTCAATTTCTTTCCATTTAAAAATCTCATCAAGGGACTTCCCTGGTGGTCCTGTGATTAAAATTGTGTGCTTCCAACTCAATGGGTGTGGTTCAATTCCTAGTTGGGGAACTAAGATCCCACGTGCCACATGGCATGGTAAAAAAAAGAAGGAAATCTCATCGAAAGGGAAAAACTTGACTTCTCATTTTCCTTTTCAAATTCCATTGTCAAAGGCTCTGACCTTTTACCTTAATGAGTCCTGGGTAGTTCAGCCATCAAGGCAAATCTATGTGTGTATTCCATAAGTCTCAGTGGACGAAGAGTTCCCCAAATTTTGGTTGGGACCACAAAGTAGAACATGGTTGGTTTTGCAGATTTCATTAACATAGCATTGTAGTTGTCCTGTTTTACAAAGTGAATAGTGTTGAGACTTCCCTGGAAGTCCAGTGGTTAAGACTCTGTGCTTCCAACGCCAGGGACGCAGGTTCGATTCCTGGCTATGAAATTAAGATCCAAAATGCCCTGCAGCAAGGACAAAATATATACACACACACACACATATATACATATAATATCTGTATCTATATCTAGAAAGTATATGGTGCTTTCTTTCACTTTCTCTGAGAGGATCTAAAACAGTCGAATGTAACAGTCAAGGTAAGCATTTAGCAGGTATTTCGTGGTGACCTTTGTGGCCACAAGAGAAATTCTGGACTGGGGTTTATTCTTGAACTTTAGGGCTTAAACCTAAGTGATTCCTGTTTTTAACTAATCCACTTGAGAAAGACATGAAGCCACAAGCAGAGAGGAAGAGCGGAGTGCACCATGAGGAGCGCAGAGGTCCGGAAAGCCGTGGGTGATGAAGGAGCGGAGGGGGATGTGTCCGCTTCTGAATAATGGCAGGGAGGGCTGTGTTACCGCCATGGACAGTCACCACAGCCCTGTTTGTGTTTTTCTTTCCTAGCCTTCTGGGAGAGCTCACCTCCAGGTAAGCCTTATCACCTTCCTTCTCTGCTGGACCCCAGGGTTTGAAGGGGACAAACCTCGGGTTTAAAGCAGGACAGTGTCCTGCTCAGCGATGATGGGAAACTTGCCCGCTCACGCCGTGCAAAGCTTGACTGATGGGGTGAGGCTGGGATGTTCCGTGGAGACAGTAGCTGGGTCTGCCGCTGGATAAAGGCACGCACATGGACACACCCTCAGAAAACAGGCACACTCCATGCGGTTGCCCCTGTGTGTACGCACGTGTGTTCAGGGGTGAAATATACATCACGTGGAGCGTACCGTTTTAACTGTTTAAACCTGTACAGTTTAGGAACTTCCCTGGTGGTCCAGTGGTTAAGACTGTGTGCTTCCAATGCAGGGGGCACAGGTTTGATTCCTGGTCGGAAAACTAAGACTCACCTGCCGCTTCATGCAAACAAACAAAACAAACAGTACAGTTCAGAGGCATCAAGGACACTCACAATGTTGTGTGGCTCTCACCAGTCTCTAGCTCTTGTACCCTGTGTCCCGAAAGGAAACCCCGTACCTGCTGAGACTCTCCTACTCTCCCCACTCCAAGCCAAGTGCTCATCTATCTCCTAATTCTGTAGATTCGCCTCATCTGGACATTTTATATGAACGGAATCAGGCAATATTTGTCCCCTCGTGACTGGCTTCCTCACCCGCATGTTTGCAGTGTCAGTGTTGTAACATGTCAGTACTTCTTTCCTGTTGATGGCTGAGATTCAGTCCATGGTATGAGTGGGCCGCATTTTGTTTATCCATTCATCGGCGGGTGGACATTTGGGCTGTTTCCAGCTTTGGCTTTTGTGAATAGTGACAGCAGCCTTTTAAATCAGGCACACAGAGGCAGCAGGTAAGACACGTTTGAGGCAGGTGCTGACCTTATATATTCCGTTACTGACTCCTATCATCCCCCCTCCCATGGAACCCAGGGCAACTTCTCTCCTAGACCCTGGCCACATGGGGATCCACCAAGAGTGCCTTATCAACAGACAAGATTTGACCAAAGCAGTGACCCCAGGGTGGGAGGCGGTAGGCCTTGGGTGAAACAGGGAGTAACCCTTGTCCCCCCCGACCTGCCGCCCCTTTCCATTCTTCCTGTGTCCAGATTTTCCTTCTGCCCCTTCCTGACTCCCTGCCCTCCTTTTCCTGTATAAATTCCAAGCTGCCTCAAAGTCCTGTAGCTTCTGGAATTGGCTGGACTCTGCTCATCCCAAGGGACTGCTCTCCACAGACCCAGGTCTCCAGCATTGCAGACAGATTCCTTACCTTCCGAGCCACCAGGGGAACCCAGGTGGCACTAGTGGTAAAGAAATCGTCTGTCAATTCAAGAGACATATGTTTGATCCCCGGGTTGGGAAGATCCCCTGGAGAAGGGCATGGCAACCCACTCCAGTATCCTTGCCTGGAGAATCCCGTGGACAGAGGAGCCTGGGGAGGCTGCAGTCCACAGGGTCTCAAAGAGTCAGACAGAACTGAATTGACTTAGCATACACTATGTCCCTGGACATTTCACTACTTAGCATGTCCCTGAAACTAATAACCAGGAGGAAAGGAGACCCCAAAATCCTGGCCGCCTCAGCCTCGTGCAAGTGGAGTTTCCGGAACACATTTCAGGGAATACATTTAAAAATTCCTTCCTGACCACTTCCTGACTTTTGGTTTGTTTTGTTTTGGACCTCGCTGAGTCCTCCTTAAGCTGTGGCCTGGGGATCTTTCTCGAAGTTCTGCAGCCACGGCGCTCAGCTGTGCATTTACAGCCATGCGCATCCTGACCACTCTGCCTCCTTTGTTTCTAGTGAAGTGGCCACTGAGGTGCCGTTCCGCCTCATGCACCCTCAGCCAGAGGACCCAGGTCAGTCACGCCTTGTCTTGGCTTCCTCTAGTCCTACACCACCCGTGGGTTTCTTACTTAGTCTCTGCTAGTTCTTCCTTGACCGCGTCTCTGGGCATGGAGGGGGCCAGGCATCCAAGGTTGCAGGCCACATTCAAGTGCCCTGGGCCCTCCCAGAAACCAGGGCTCAGAGACTATGTCAGGGGGCTTGGCCAGTGGTCCAGGCGGTTTGTCCAGCTCCAGTGAGTGCCCGGAGGATGTAGCATCCTTGCTTGGATGTGGGCTATCTTGTTAGGTCTTGTTAGGAATGATTTAAAAGCAGGCACTTTGCTGTAAATAAGCTTGGGTTGAGATTTAAAGAAAATTCGGGCGAAAGATAAATTTGACAGCCTGATGCTTTTGCATTTCATTTGGGAGCATTAATAGGAATTTAGAAGGTGAGTGTTTCTGAGAGTGGCAGCTGTGATGGGAATACAGAAGTTACTAGAAATGAGGATCAGGCTGGGATCCTAACGCCTGGGCTCCTTTGAATTGTCAATCCATTGGCTCTTGTATGGATGTTAAAAACAAATAAAGCCGTGGTTGTACAGCTCTGTGAGCAAGCTAAAAACCAGAGGGCTTTAGCTGTAAAGCTGTGCATGTAAATAGGTGAATTGTATGATATGTGAATTGGACTTCTCCAGTGGCTCAGAAGGTAAAGAGTCTGCCTGCAATGCAGGAGGCTCAGGTTTGATCCCTGGGTCAGGAAGGTCCCCTGGAGAAGGAAATGGCAACCCACTCCAGTGTTCTTGCCCAGAGAATTCTATAGACAGAGGAGCCTGGTGGGCTACAGTCCATGGGGTCACCAAAAGTCGGATACAACTGAGCGACTAAGCATAGCACAGCTCTTTTGAAAGGGATAAATGAAGCAGCAAAATTAATATGGATGCAATCTCAGAAATTCTGAGGAAAATTCTCCACTGTGTGTTAAGGTGGCTTAGTTGGCAGGAAAGAAAAATGGATATGTCTAGATGAGAACCCTTCAGAGTTACAGTAATTAAGAACATTTTAAGTAAAAGTGGTATAAACAAGCAGGGTTTATTTTTCTTATATTTTATAAAAAGCCTTTCTACACTGATAATGAGACAGCATTTAAACATCAGAATGAGCCCCCGTATTCATTTTGGCTTTGTCTCAAAACTATTTTGTCTCAAAGTATGTCTTCCAAATATTTTGGATTCAAATACTCAATGTGCTTTGCCAAAAACTTCCCTTGGGGGAAAAACACACAGCCTAACCGTATTTTTTTTTATTATTATTATTCATTTATGCTTGTGTCATTAAAGCACTATTTTAAACTGTGAGGTTGTGATGCATTCTGGTCCCTTTCAAGGACATTTTAAAAGGCTGTTTTAAAACTATGACTGGAGGATATCGCTGGTGTCAGATCCTTTTCTGGCCCTGTGAACAGACTTTAGGACTTCTCTTGGGGGAAGTGGGATTATTCCTTTCCTGGGTATGACATCTTCATGTTCCAGTCATTATGGCCCTTACACTGAACGTATTACAACATCAAGGCTAAGACAATGATCTTTCATACTGTCAGATTTCAGGGAGAAAGAACAAATCACCCCACAGACTAGGAGTTCTCATTCCCCAAGGTTTATGCGTCCCAAGTTTCATTTGCAGATGCACACTCATATCTCACTAGCCTGGTCCCCGACTCCCTGAGTCTAGACGAGGAGACGCTAAACAGAGGAAGCATAAACTAGAGTTAAGAAGCCCTGCCAGGGCTAGAGGCCAAGTGATTTGTACGCAGTAAGTGCTAGAGAAATGCTACTGAGATTTTATTGTCCTCTGTCTAGAGCATTCTTATAGAATTCAGGTGTTGACTCTCTTCAAGGCTGATGGTCGCACTTAGTATAATTTTATGCTCATCACCGAGGCAGGGGTGTCCAGGATGGTTCTTGCCCAGTGTTGTTTTTGACGCATCAGCCTCTTGGTAGGTCCCCTGTGCAGTGGGGATAGGTCCCCTCACCCCCCAACAGCCACTGGGGTGCAGATTCAGTGTCAAGTCCCAGGACTCACCCCTAGAGAGTGGGACGTGGAAGCAGGACCCGGTGTACTTCCACCACATGGGAGGTGGCCTGTGGACAGGGTCCAAAGGACGTGTCGTAGGGAGAAAGGCTTTGAAAAGAGAAGCCCAGCTTCAGAGGGGGTGAGGTTAAGCAGGGACAGGGTCTAGAGGTGAGGTTGTGGCTATTTTGTCTGGGGAGGTGTAGGTTGTGGGGGCAACTTTTGGAGGAAGCGATGGTTAAAAATGCAGGGAGAGGGACGTCCCTGGTGGTCCAGTGGCTAAGACTCTGAGCTCTCAATGCAGGGGCCTGGGTTTGATCCCTGATCAGGGACCCAGATCCCACGTGCCGCAACTAAGACTCTGAGCAGTCAAATCAATAAATGACTTAACGACAACAAAAAATGCAGGGAGAAAGGTCCTCTGAGGGGGACCTGGCCAAGAAGCAGGAATGACATGCAATTCTCATGAAATGCGTGTTTCCTGCCCTTTTATTCGTCCACCTGTAAAATGACCTAATGAAGGAAGAAGATTTCTGCTAGACAGGATGGATGCTAACAAATGTCTCTCCTCTCTTCCACGCTCGCAGATACCGCCATGGAAAGGTGAGCACTGCCCAGCATTATCCCCATTCTGTGACCTCCTCCTCCGCAACCCTAGAGCGAGCCTTCACACTTGTGTGTGTTTTGTTTTTTTCTTCTCCTTCTTTTTTTTTTTAAATGCAAGTGCCTGACTTAAGCTTTGATTGCCGAGGCATCCACTTACTTCAAAGAGGCATCCACTCCAGAGATGGCTATCTCGAATAAACACATTGCCAGCCACAGGACTAGATCCCAGCCAGGCCTGCTCTCCCCACTGAGGCACCTCTGTTTTAGAGATTTCGGTTGATTTCAGTAACAGATCCTTCGAGCCACTTGTTCTTTTGTCTTAGTGTGCTTTAAATTCCCCGCTCTTCTGTTTTAAAACTCACCAATAAAGAGTGAACCCTCGAAACTCTAGACGTCCCCCTGCCTCGACCCAAATAAAGGCAGAACACCCCAGGCCCGTTGTCTCTGAGCTCTCTTTATCCATGACTTTGCTGTGTGGCCCCAGGTGCGCTGTGTACCTCCCAGGTCCTGTAAGTAATAAACCTTTATTTTCTCAAAGTTTCTGGATGGTTATTGCTGAAGGTCGTCTTGCAATCCTAACAGGAACCATGAGGGCTGAGCCAGCCACAACAGTGGTTACTGATAGGCTAAGACCTGCACAAAACAAAACAAACCCCTTTGAGGGTGAGACACCCCACGCTCTCAACACTGGCACACGGCCTGGCTTTCCTGTTGCTCCCTACTATCAGGGCACACACACATGTGGACACACGTATGCATGTGCACGCATACACACACAGTTATCCCAAGCACGTGTGTTTGCTCTGTGGGTTCCTTCATTGTTTCATATTTTTGTTTGCTAAAGCAATTTTACGCGGAAGGCTAGGAGGAGGATGGCCTTGTCCCCCATTGCATCAGTGGGAGAAACTTGACGGGTTCCTCTTGCAAAAGGAAGATCAAGGACCTTGTTTTTCCTCCAGATTTCATAGCAAGCTCCAAAGAACATGCCTTGATCAAAATGTTCTTTGTTTTTATTTTAGTTTTCAGGATGAAAATTTTGTTTTTGAGGAGTTTGCTCGCCAAAATCTGAAAGATGCAGGAGAATATAAGGAAGAGAAGACAGAGCAGGAGGCGGCTATGGATGAGTGAAGAGGCCGGCTCAGGACGCGGCCGGACGCGGGATGCGGGGCGTTAGCCACATGGTAGCAGGGCTAGCCCTTTAGTGATGCTAAATTCCAAAGTGTGGGTCTTTTTCACAGAAATAAAGTTTGTTCTGCCCCGGCTGTGAGTCAAGCTGACTTGTTGGGGAGGCTGACTGAGTTAGTAACACGCAAGGGGCAGCCTTGAGTCTGGGGGTGCAGGGGCATGGGAGAGTGGGTTGGAGGGGAGAAGGACCCTTCAAGGTAAGAAGCCATCCTGAAATCATTTGCTCATCCGACGGGGGGCTGGTGTGTCCCAGGCTTTCTCCAGGACCTCTGGGGTAGGCTGTTTCTCTGGAAACTTGGGGAAGGGGGTGGCGCGGGGCAGTGTGTCTAGTGACCTGTGCTATCCTAGCTCCAGGGCACCCACAGAGCCTCCACAGAGAAATAGGGCAGTGGACAAATGTGGGCAAAACCACTCTTCATCTCTTATTCAACTTTGGTAAAGAATCCGCCTGCGATGTGGGAGACCTAGGTTCGATCCCTGGGTTGGGAAGATCCCCTGGAGAAGGGAAAGACTACCCACTCCAGTATTCTGGCCTGGAGAATTCCATGGACTATACAGTCCATGGGGTCGCAAAGAGTCAGACACGACTAGGCGTCTTTCACTTTCACTTCGCTTTGGATCTAAGTCCTGCTTGAGCTCTGGGTTGTTGGGCTGTTTTTATTGAATGCAAGCAGTGAAATTCCAGTTGTCTGGTGTAAAGGGGGAAAAAGGAATGCATTAGAGGGACTCAAGAGTGGCTCAGAGAACTGACTTAAATGAAGAATCTGAGCTGCCACACCTGGGGTGGGTGGAAATCAGAGAAGTCCCAGGGGTCATGGCACAGGAGCTCCGGGTCCTGCCCTCTGGGTTGGCCATTCACCCCTGGTGGCCTAGCACCCACTGCTCCTCGTCTCTGAGGCTCTGGTTCCAGTGTGCTGTTCCTGGGAAGGAGAGTCTGGCCCGACTTTGGCCGGGGGATCAACGCCTCAGGGCCAGCGATGGCAGAGTCCAGCCCTGGGAATGGGTTGTCCTAGAAGAGGGGGTTCTCCATGAGCCCCATGGGCTTCTTGGTTAGACTGCCTTCACTGGGATTGGGCATTGAAGGGATCAGGGAGAGGAAAGCTCGTGTCCAGGAGGAAAGTGAAGCTGAAGAAGGAGAAGGTGTAACAGAGGTGATGCCAGGACCCCGTCTTTGGAGTCCTTTTCTTGGCCTGTGGTATTCCAGCCTTGGGGTCTGCTGCTGATGGCAGAGAGGCCGAATGGCTCTCTTGGTACCCACAGAGGGCCTGGGCGATGTGTTGACCCCCAAGGGGATAGGATGAAAGGAGATTGGAGCCTTCTACACAGTTTAACCCACTCACAGGAGGCATGAGGGTGGACGGGAGGGGGCCAGTGTGGGCTGGACACTCAGGGTCAGGTCTCCAGGACCAAGAGCAGTGGCAAAGGACCAGAGCAGGACCCCACACCTGGGTTTGTTCGGCACAATTCCAGGCTGTTTGTGTCCTGGGCACTGGGCTTTAGATCAGAGGCTCTCTTCAGGAACCCAGGACGGGATCCCATACTCACAAATCGAAGTCTGACCTGGAGTGTTGAATAGGAGGCCTTCCGATATTGACTGCAATGAAGATTCATTTCTGGAGAAGAGCTAATTATAATACAGGCAGAAAACTGGGCCTTTGGTCTGTGGGTGAGCAGGGTTGGACACAACCTCCCTGTCGTTTTTTTTTCTGCCATGCTAATGGAACAGCAAGCAGGCTTCCACTCCAGCCACGCCCCTGTCTCAGGACACTCAGGGTTGGAGGCACGCTCCTCTGGGGATCCAAGCCCTTCCGCTGCCTGCCCACCACCCAAGCCCACAGCTCGGCTGTGGTTGGCTCCCGCTGGAGATCCTGGGCAAGACGGGAACCTGGGACTGTGCCCGGCAGGCCTGGTGAGAGGATCAGTCACTCGGTTCCTGCATTGCTTGACCCCAGGATATCCTAAGTCAGGGTGGACAGTAATAGGCCAGACCTTTGAAAGTGTGTGGGTGTGAGAGCCAGAGAGGAAGGCCAATCCCCGGAGAACAAAGGTCAGAACAGCCCTGGCCCTCCAGGTTATTTTGGTAACAAAATGCTTGACTTTCGCGTGCTGGCTAGTTTACCATCTGCGGCTGGCCACCCCCGTGAGAGCTCTAGGGTGGGAGCAGGAAGTGAGCCACCGCTGCCTGACCAGGATAAGGAATATCGCCTGGCTGAGCCTGTGCACCAGGGATGTGTCTGCTTGGCATGCAGACCCCTGGCATCAGGACGCAGGATGTCTGTGTGCAGGATGGATGGGTGGCCCAGGGCTTTCTAGGTACGTGCGGTGGGAGACACAGGGTGCCAAGGAGCTGAGGGTGCTGCAGGGAGAAAATGGTGTCTGAGAACTTGGGGCAAAGTGCTGCAACCAAAGGGCTGGAGAAGTAGGGAAAGCTGCTGTTTTTTGGGTATCTGCACCATGCTTGGGAAGCAACAACCATGCCTCCCATTCATTAGATGAGAAAACTGCAGTTCAGAGAGGTTAAGTCCCTTACCCAAGGTCACACCAGCTAGTGAGAGTTGAAGTCAAAACTTAAACTCTGGTTTCCCGGAGTCGATAAGAATCAGAACTTTGCTCACATTTTTTTTTTTTTTTGGCCGCACCACAAGGCATATGAGACTTTAGCTCCCTGACCAGGGATCGAACCTGTGGCCCTACAGTGGAAGTGTGGAGTCCTAACCACTGGACTGCCAGGCAATGCCCTTTGCTCATTTTTTTGATGCTGAATCTGTATATGAGAGTGTGGGGGAAGAAGGGGCAGACTGGCATTTATGACTCAACAATGGCTGCCCTTAAGTTTTTTTAAGTTGAAAATATTAATATTATTGAGGTAGTTATAGATTCACATGCAGTAGTAGGAGACAATACAGAGGGATTCCCCAAAGGTAACATCGTGCAAAACTATAGCAGATACCACGACCAGGAAATTGACATTCATATAGTCCATCCATGTTTTTCATATTTCCCCCATTTGAGTTTTTACTTGCATTCATGTGTGTGTCTGTGTGTGTGTCTTTTATCATGTGTAGATAACTTTTTAGAGTATGCTTCCCTATTCCTCTAAGATTTTTCATTGCTTGCCTCCCATTCTAACCTCATGGCCCTAAGGGTCTAGTTTACTGATCCTCGGCAGGTGGGCAGGGAGGGGGCTGGAGGTGGGCGCATTTGGAAACGTATGGGGGGCAGCATTTGGTGACACAGGTCCCTGGGGGCCAGGGAAACTTTACGTTGCACACAGCAAAGAAATGTCCTGCTCCAGATGTCAGCCATCACCCTAGTTCAGGGTAAAATAATTCCCATGTTTTCAAGTGCACCGTTTCATCTATCCTAACGTGAAGCAGTTCTTTCTGACAGAAGGTGCCCTTCTGCACTGACAGGTCAAGAAAAGAAAGATTAGGTTGGATGTGAAGTGTGTTATTACTGCCACCTCGAACATGCCCTTAAGGTGGGGTAGACTCGGGAGCAGCATACTGTTAGCGACGATTCACAGTGTGACTCAACCCATCAGGAGGCGCCCGGTGACTGCGTGCTCACGGGCACCACCTCAGGGGAGGTCTCCAAGGGAACAGCTCCGCGGCCACCCTAGAACACAAAGGCTTCTCTGCTCATCAGAGAAAATATGCCAGTTACGTGCCTCCGACTGCAGAACATAATACTGTTCTTACTAAGCTTAATACTTTTTAAAAAATATACTTTATTTTCAAATAGTTTTAGATGTACAGAAAAGTGGCAAAGTACAGTGTGTCCCTCCACACCCCGCGTCTCCTAAATCACTAACATCTTACACTAGGATAGTACACTGGCCACACGGAGTGCATCAACGTATGTGTGTGTGTGTGTTAGTTGCTCAGTCGTGTCCAATTCTTTGTGAACCCATGGACTGTAGCCCACCAGGGTCCTTAATCCATGGAATTCTCCAGGCCAGAATACTGGAGCAGGTAACCATTCCCTGCTCTAGGGATCTTCCCAACCCAGGGATCGAAGCCAGGTCTCCTGCATTGCAGGCATATTCCTCACCATCTGAGTCACCAGGGAAGCCCTAGAATGCGTCAATATTGACACATTCTTATTAAGTGGAAAGTACATTCTTTATTCAGATTCCCTTAGTTTTTAACCTACTGTCCTCTTTCTGTTCCAATATCCCACATGACATTTGGTGGTCACGTTTCCTAAGGCTCCTCTTGGCTGTGACAATTTCTAGGACTTTTTCATTATTGCAAATAGACTCCTCTCCAGCCAGATTCCACCTCCCAATTCTCTCCTGAGTTCACATCTATGCCCTTGGCTTTTCACCTCTAAAATGATGGATTCTGGATCCCAGGCACCCTGTGAGCATCCAAAAGGGATCGAACCCAGGTCTCCCGCTTTGCAGGCAGACACTTTACCGTCTGAGACACCAGGGAAGTCGTAAAGGCTGTGTTCCCAAGTAGGGCTAGTGGTAAAAAATAACCCACTTCCCAATGCAGGAGACGTAAGAGATGCGGGTTTGATCCCTGGGTCAGCAAGAACCCCTGGAGAAGGAAACAGCAACCCACTCCAGAATTCTTGCCTAGAGATTCCCAAGGACAGAGGAGCCTGATGGGCTACCATTTATGGGGTCGCAAAGGATTGGACACAACTGAAGCGTCTTAGCATGGCCATGTTGCAATTAATTGATATAAAACCACTAGTCTTTGTGGAGAGGCAGGACAGCTTCCCCTTGTGCCCTTATCAGTCAGCTCCTTGCTGTCATAACAAGGTACCACAGACCTGCGAGCCTAAGCAACAGGATGTATTTTCTCAGGATTCTGGAGGCCAGAAGCCTGAGGTCAAGGTGTGGTCAGATTCTTCTGAGGCCTTTATCCTTGGCTTGCAGATGACTTCTCTGTGTGTCTTCACGTGGTCTTCCCTCGGGCCCTGCCTGCGTCCACATTTCTCCTTACAAGGATACCAGTTGTACTGGGTTAGGGCCATCCCAATGGCCTTATTTTAACTTAACTACTTCCTTAAAGACCCTGTCTGCATACACAGTCACATTCTAAGGTCCTAGAGGATTAGGGCTTCAATGTATGGCTGTTGGGGGACACAAGTCAGCCCCTAACAAGACCCTTCTCTGCTCCTTCTTTGAGCTTCAGCTTCCTAGGAGGCCTAGCCCTAGAAGGTCAAGGACTTGGGAATCACATGGTCCAAGTGAAGTTCTGCCTCTCTTGCCTTCCTTGGGAGGGGTGTCTGAATCTCAGGTCTTCATCTCTAGAATGAGACCATCGAGCTTGCTCTGGGGGACTCGTATGCAGACCAGAATTGCTGGTCAAGTGTTTGGCACGTGCCTGGTGTCTCGTCAATGGGACTCATGCACTCCTGCATCTGGGACCTTTTTGCCACCAAGAAAATGTTCTATCTCGTGTGGCCTTGGGTGGTAGCAGCTAAACCGCATTTACCTACTGAGCAGTTGAAATGTGGCCAGTGTGGCTGAAGAACTGAAAATTAATTTTAATTAATTGAAATAGAATCAGAAGTAGCCACGTGTGGCTAGTGGGTACAGCAGTGGGCAGTGTAACCGGTGGGCCAGGGGCCCCTAGCGTGTCCCCAGAGAGTTTCTGCATCAGGCTATGCCATGCCCTGTCCTGGCTGTGAATCCATTCCCCTGGCCATGTCCCCCTACTAGATGCTACTTTGTGGCCCCCATGGGTGGTGGGTCTCCTGTATTCTGCCTCTGGAAAGCAATGCCTCGTGCAGTGGGGGCCAGAGCATGCTGACCAGCAGGCAGGACAGCCTGTGTATCCCTAGCCACTGTGTCCCTAGTAGCAGCCTTTGAAAGGGCAAGGGGACAATAGTGTAGCTCCATAGTACCGCAAGGACACAACTTAGGAGCTGAACGACAACAGTACCTCAGAAGGTACTGCATTTGGAAGTAGGGTCTTTAAAGGGGATTTGTCCCTCTGTTCAGTTCAGTTCAGTCGCTCAGTCATATCCAACTCTTTGTGACCCCATGGACCGCAGCACGCCAGGCTTCCCTGTCCATTACCAACTCCCAAAGCTTACTCAAACTCACGTCCATTGAGTCAGTGATGCCATCCAACCATCTCACCCTCTGTCGTTCCCTTCTCCTCCCGCCCTCAATCTTTCCCAGCATCAGCTTGTCCCTCTGAGGTAGCATCAAATCCTTCTCCACCTGGATGTGCCAAAGGGTGGCAAAACCTCAGCTGATGTCACCTCCTCCAGCTTCACTCCCACTCACCCACCATCAACAGTCTTAGCTGGGAAGGAGGTGGTGGTGGTGATGGTGGTGCTCAGTCATGTTGGACTCTTTGCGACCCCACAGACTGTAGTCCACAAGGCTCCTCCGGCCATGGGATTTCCCAGGCAAGAATCCAGGAGTGGGTTGCCATTTCCTCCTCCAGGGGATCTTCCCCACCCAGGGATGGAAATTTTGTCTCTTGTATCTCCTGCATTGGCAGGGAGATTCTTTACCACTGTGCCACCTGGGAAGCCCTGCTGGGAAGGAGGGGCTTATCCCAAATTGCCTCTGCCTCCCTCGTAGCGATCACTCTGCCCTGAGTCCATTTCTCTCTCTCCACAGGTCTCTCAAAAATCAGGGGCAGCCACTTGATCCATTACTTCAAAGCCTGGATCATAGACCTCAGCTTTGTGACCTACTCCCCGCCTAGGGTTCAGATCGCTCAAGGGCTTCCAGCTTCCCTCAGTTCACTTCACTCGCTCAGTTGTGCCCAACTCTTTGAGACCCCATGGACAGCAGCACACCAGGCTTCCCTGTCTATCACCAACTCCCATAGTTTACCCAAACTCATGTCCATCGAGTCAGTGATGCCATCCAACCATCTCATCCTCTGTCCTCCCCTTCTCCTCCTGCCTTCAATCTTTCCCAGCATCAGGGTCTTTTCAGGACTCAACCTAAAGAGCCCAAGCCCTTTATTGCCCCCAGGCTCATCTCTTCAAGTGTTTTCTTTCCTTTAGGCTAGTTTCCCTTTTTCTTAGAAATGTGTTCTTTCTTGCCTACAGGCCATTGCATCATTTCATCTTTTGGCCCCCTCCCCGCCCCACCCAACCCGAACAGGGTTCTCCGGTTAGGGATAACCCCTGCTCACATTTTCTGTCTCACGTTAAACATTTCTGCAGGAAGCCTTTTCAGATGGAACCGGGTATCTGTGTTCCGGTATCCCAGAGGCCTGTGCTAGTATTTTCTTCTTGGTATTCGTGCACACATACACGCATCCACTCGCGGTGCAACTAAGTGTCGGGCTCAGCTTTAGATGCTGGCGACACAAGGCAGGACAGGAAAGAAACGGTCCCAGGCCGCCTGCAGGTCACTTCCATTCTTGAAGGGCAAGATTAAAGCCTTAAAAAAGTGAAGACAGAAACGAACAAACAAATAAACAAACAAGACACACAATTTGTGTCCCAGGGAGAAGCAGACGCTAAATTCTGGGCATCCGACACTACAGGTGGGGCCGAAAGGGTGCGGGAGCCGGGCGCGAGCTCTCTCTCTGCGCGCGCGCGCACGCGGAGGGGGCGGAGCTGGGGACCGTGCGACCCGGCCCCGCCCCCGAGCCCCGCCCCCGCGAGACCCCGCCCCCGGCCCGGCGCGGCCCGGCCCCCGGCCCCGCCCCCGCCCGCTGTGCGCGCGCTGGCCGGGCAGCATGGCGGCGGCGGCGGGCGCCCCTCAGCCGGGTCCGCCGCAGCCGCCTCCGCCGCCGCCGCCCGAGGAGTCGTCCGACAGCGAGCCCGAGGCGGAGCCCGGCTCCCCGCAGAAGCTCATCCGCAAGGTGTCCACGTCGGGCCAGATCCGCCAGAAGGTGAGCCCGCGGCGGCGGCGGCGGCCCGGGCGCGCGCCCCTCAACGCCGCGGCAGCCCCGTAAGGCCCGCAGCCCTGCCCGAGCGGCTGCCCAGGCCCAGCCCGGCCCCGGCCTAGGGTCCCGCCGGGCGCCGCTGCCTACACGGGGCGCGCTCCGTCGGGTAACGGGCTGGGCGCCCGGGCTGAGCGCGTTCACCCCCACCCCAGGCGGGGCGGCGGCGGCGGCGGCGGGGACCCCGGGGCCGGGGGGCGCAGGTGGGCGCCGGGCGGGCCGGGCGCTCGGCGGGGTGGGCCGGGAGCACCCGGAGGGCAGGCCTTACAGGCTGAGGGGGCGAGCGCACCAGAAATGGGGGTCCTGGCTGCTCCCCGCCGGCGAGCGCAGCCCGACCCCGGCTTCTGCACGTAATTTCTGAGCAGCGAGGGGGCTGGTTCCCGCTGGGAGCTCTGCGCTCACCTGTGTGATTTACCCCCCGAGAAACGCGGTTCGAACCGGGTGTGGGGTGTCTTTTCTCCCCTCCCCTCGTGCGGCTTTTCTTGTGGGAAAGGGCCAGGGATGCACGTCCTCTGACTGTCTCTCCCTCTCCCTCCCCGGGTGAGCTGGGGACCAGGGGGTTGTCCCTGGCTGCTTTTCCCGCTTGGCACCTCGCTCTGCACGGAGAACTCCGAGCGCGGAGTGTTAGCTGCAGAAAGACGCATTTCCTTTCCGCAGGAGTAAAGTCGCACCCTTTCTGTTCCCGTCGCTGTTTCCGTTGCCCACTGCTTGGGGGGTTTTGCTACAACAGGTGAGCCTTGTGTTAGCTCACGGCTTCCTCGGGCAGGTGGTTGGACAGGTGGCTGAGGGCAGGCGGGGTCCGTGGGCAGCCCCGGGCTGGCAGACTTTCTCATCCCGCTGCGGTGCGCTTTTCCTTCGCCGCCAGCGAGTTCAGCTGGTACTTTTACAGTGGGAGCCATTTCTGGCTTAATCATCTTCTCTTGGCCTCTGATACCTGTGTGTCGGGGGGTGGGGGTGGGGGCGGTAATCTTTGGCCCTAACGTTACAAACACGTTTATTGTGAAGTGCTCCAGTTATTCAGCACGTAGGTACTGAACACCTTCTTTGTTCCAGGTGTTAGCAGTCGGAGTAATAATTATAAGTTGTAGTCATTCCCCAGTGCTTACTGCGTGCCAGGCAACTTTTCTTGGGTTAACTTGAGAGCACTTGACATGGGTTAACTCATTTAGCACCCATTCTGTTGGGTGTTATCTGTCATCCCCTTCTCTCTCTCTTTTTAAAAATTTTATTTTAAACTTTGTATTTTGTATTGGGGTATAGCTGATTAACAATGTCATGATATTTATAGGGGAACAAGGAAGGGACTTAGCCATACATATACATGTATCCATTCTTCCTCAAACTCCCCTCCCATCCAGGCTGCCGTGTAACAGGGGGCAGGGTTCCCTGTGCTACACAGTAGGTCCTTGTTGGTTATGCATTTTAAATAGAGTAGTGTGTGCAAGTCCATCCCAAACTCCAACTGTCCCCACCCCCTCCCCCCAACCCCCAACCACAAGTTGATTTTCTAAGTGTCATCCCCTTCTTATGCAGTTGGAGGTGGAGAGGGTAAGTGACTTTCCCAGGGTGTCACTGATAGGAACTGTGGGTCTGGATCTGAACTATGGTCAGGAACCCAAGATGGAAGGCAGTTTCTCCATTTGGGGGTTCCCAGGCTGTAGGAGATGGACACTTGTCCACATGACAGGATGATGTAGTAATGCTGTGGGAACTCTGAGGACAGAGAATCCAGCTACCCCAGGAGGCATGATCTTGAGGGAAGGTTTGTCAAGAATTAAGGAAATTAAGGAAAAGAGGGACTTTCCACGTAGTTGAATGACCAGGTGGTTCAGTAATGAAGAATCCACCTGCCAGTGCAGGAGACACAGGTTCAGTCCCCAGGGTGGGAAGATCCCCCAGAGGAGGAAATGGCAACCCACTCCAGTATTCTTGCCTGGGAAAGCCCATGGATGGAGGAGCCTGGTGGGCTACAGTCCATGGGGTAACAAAGGTTCAGACACAGCTTTAGTGACTGAACAACAACATCTACAGGTTTAAGGACGCCTGGGAATGGTCAAAGGTGAGTGGGTCAGATTGAGAGGAATGAAGAAGAGGCTGGAAAGGCAGATCAGGCTGGATTTTGAAAGGATAGCCCTGGAGCTGGGTTTTTGGCCTTAGGCAAGAGGGAGCCACTGAGGGTCATTCAGAGCGTGAGAGGGATGGGTCACATCTGCTTCTGGAAAGATCTCCAAGTAGAGCCCTCAGTGGTACTGATGGGAGTGGTTCTCTCCTGCTGCTTGGTCCTTGGGCATGGCGTGTGCCCAGTATGGAGTGGATCATTTATAGCTTAGATTTATAGCTGTAGATTTATATCTTAGTAAGATTTGAGCTCTCAGAGATTCCATTGTTTGTCCAGCATTCTGTGCTTTAGGAGGCTCCCCCCCTCCTTAAAACAATAGCTGTTATAACCAGCTGTTCTGGTTGAGGAGGAGTGATGGGTAGAGGTTTAAAAATACACCCGGAGGACTTGGGTTTCTGAATGCAGCCACATCTGCTGTACAAACAGCTTAAGGCTGAGTTTTCTTTTGTGTTGTTAGAGATTGATGGAATGTGAGGTTTGCTGTGTGTGCAGTGGCTCCCAGCCTCCAGATCAGCCATTCAGAAAATTCCTCTGCTATATGTAGCGCATAGAGGAAATATCCAGAATGGTATGGGGTGTCATTCTGAATTCAAAAAAGGATCCACCCACTTTAAGGATGTGAAGCAGAGGGAGTTCATTCAGTGTAGGGGAGTGGTTGTACAGGTGGTGAAGATTTGAGAACGCAAACAGTGGACAGTGAGGCGACCCTGGACCCGGAGGACCTGGGGAGGAGGCCGCGTTTCAGACCTGAGAAGCACCTACCCCTCACCAGGGGCTAGGACCACCGTGGGTCATCTGGCGGTGGCTGGAGACTCATCCCCCCGCCCCAACCCCCCAGCCCTGCATGGGAACCTAGCCCTCGGTGGTTCAGCCCCTCTGCAGTTTGGAATAGAGCAGAAGAGTGAGGAATGAAACCAAGGACAAGCTGGCCCAGGACCAGAGCTGTATGTGTGTCGTTTTTGCACTGAAATATTAGTCCCGTTGCAAGCTAGAGCTGTCTTAATGGAAAAAGAAAAGGCAGTATCTTACAACAGTGCTTCTCAAATTTTCATGTGCAGATTGGTTCCCTGGGGATCTTGATAAAATGCAGTAGATCTGGCAATAGGGGTTGAGATTCTGCATTTATCACCTCTCAGGTGATGCTGCTGCTGGTTCATGGACCAGACTTTGAGAAACAAGACCTTAATGACATATGTGTAAAGTGTTAGTTGCTCAGTTGTGTCCAATTCTTTGCGACCCTAAGGACAGTAGCCCTCTGTCTATGGAATTCTCTGGACAAGAATAGTGGAGTGGATAGCTATTCCCTTCTCCAGGGGATCTTCCCGACCCAGGGATTAAACCTGAGTCTCCTGCATTGCAGGCAGATTCTTTACCAACTGAGCCTCCAGGGAAGCCCTAAAGAGAAGCGTTACCAAGAGCCAAATAAATCTCTGTTTACAAGGTTCTTTTAAAACTTTCTCCTGAGTCTTTTAGCATACTGAAAACTTGATCTGTGTAGATTTGGATTGTGTTAGTTGCTCAGTTGTATATGATGTTTTGCAACCCCACGGACTGTAGCCTGCCATGCTCCTCTGTCTATGGGATTTTCCAGGCAAGAATACTGGAGTGGATTGCCACTCGCGTCTCCAGAGTACCTTCCTGACCCAGGGGTCGAACCCTGGTCTCCTGCATTGCAGGCGGATTCTTTACTGTTCGAGCTACAGGGAAGTCCCTTTACTGTTTGAAGTGAAGTTGCTCAGCTGTGTCTGACTCTTTGCGACCCCGTGGACTGTAGCCCACCAGGCTCCTCTGTCCATGGGATTCTCCAGGCAAGAATACTGGAGTGGGTTGCCATGCCCGCCTCCAGGGGATCTTCCTGACCCAGGGATCGAACCTGGGTCTCCTGCAGTGCAGGCAGACGCTTTACCCTCTGAGCCACGTAAGTTGAGATTTGGAATGGTCATTTATTAGTTTTCCTTATCATGGCTGTCTCACATTTTCATATGTTCTAACTGCCCCCAGCAAACACATTGCTTCTTTTCATTTCCTACCATAGTGCACAGTATTTTCTAGGATCACATAGCTAGTGTGAAAAGTAGAAAATGGAGCTCATATTCTGGTAAATTAATTTACTAATTTACTAATTTGAGGTGTTCTCAAATTTGAGTAGGTAACTGTGATTCTGTGAAGCCTTAACAGTTCAGATAGGGCTTAATTTAAAACTTTTTTTAAAAAAAACATTTTTGGCTTTGTTCATTAACTATTGCTGATTTCAAATTGAAAAACAGAGTATTTCTTCCATTGTGAAATAAAGACTAGTAGAGATTAAGTAAAACATTCAAGTTGTAAAACACTTTAAAAAAAAACAGCTTTACTAAGATAAAATTCACATACCATAGAGCTCACTCATTTAAAGTGTACAGTTCAGTGGTTTTTAGTATACTCACGGTTGTGTAATCATCACCACAGTTAATTTTAGAACATTTTCATCACCCCCGAAAGAAACCCATAACCATTAGCATTCACTCCCCATTTCCTCCCAACTTTCTCAACCTTAGGCGACTGCTAGTCTGCTTTCTATTTTGTGGATTTGCTGATTCTGGACATTCTGTATAAATGTAGTATGTAGTATGTACGCTTTGTGTCTGGCTTCTTTCACTTAGTATAATGTGTTCAAAATTTATCCACGTTTTGGGCTGTGCCAGTACTTTTTCTTTTATTGCTGGATAATATACCATTGTATGGATATGCTACATTTTCTTTACATTCATCACTTGATGGACATTAGGGTTATTTCCACTTTTTGGCTATTATGGTTGCTGCTGCTGTGAACATTCATGGACATATTTCT